GTTTAAAACTGCCGCTACACTAGTTGAGGAAGAAAAAAGTCCTTCTGGAAGGATGGCCATAATTTCCACCACTCCCCACCGCCCGACGCGAAAAGAGCACACCGCTATCCAATCAGCCCTGCTAAACCACACCTTCTTGAGTCTTCTCACGGTGCTGAGAGTTAGCTGTGCTCCTAATAGCTGGACCTGGACCTGGACCTGATCCAGTGGCGACTTGATGCAAGGGGATAGGCTTTACCGACTGGCTGGAAGGAGGCGTCATGGGCTGGAGACTTCGACAAGAGTTTAGAGTCTTGTGCCGGGCTCTAGGATAGTGTCCCCGTTGCAAGCGTCTTTACATGCTACCAGTAGACTTCATCATCTTCAATGTTGTGTATTAACTATACCAGAAATGACGTCCACCGAGATGTCATCTCATGTCTCCTTGGAAATGTCTTCAATTTCGTCTTGATGAAGCCGTCACCAGTCCGTCAAGTCTCCAGGCTCATTCTCTGGTCTGAGAACCCCCTGGCCTCTGACGCCAACCCCTAGTTCCTGTCGCGTTGTTCTCTTGCAATTCACATCACTCGCCAAGCCCTTCCACAACAGGGGTTCAACCAATCAACAACGTCCCAGCTTTCTTCTTTGGCGTTCCCAGGACGCGGGCTCGGGCCTCGGGATGTTCTGCTTCTGGTGCAGCGGGTGTGACAAGCCCCCAGCCTGTTTTGCCTTTTCCTTCCTTCTGTTCTGTTGCGTCCCTGAAGTGCAGGTTGCCTCTTTTTCTTTCTTTTCTTTTTGCGGCGTCTTTCGCCATAAACGTCTCTGTTGATGCAAGGATCATGATGACGAGCATTCTGGAATCTGTGTTCAGAGACATTGTCTGGGATCTGGCAGTTGTGGTCATGAACCAACAGTCCAAACGCCAAACCGTTGACGAAATTGAAACTTAAAACTAAAGCCCTGCTTTTGCTTGTTTGATTGGTGAACCTAAACATACGCTGTAATCTGCAGTTGATGTTACATGTGTCGTCGCATCCATTTCCATCGGAGATCTTAACTACATCATTTCCTCGCGTTTTATTTCCCTTTTTGCGGAGGGAATGCATACTGTTCATATGATCCTTATGCAACCCTTCACGACGTGACCCAGACCGAAGACTACAAGACGTGTCAGTCGCGGCCATTGTCTCGGAGCACTTTTTTTCTTTTTTTCGCCCTTTCCTTTGCACCGATTGCTTGGTAAAGTTCCGCTACAGTGCAGTACCACCGTACCGTATCCTATCCTTACCCTGAGACCTGATCCTTCAGCCTGGGTACTCTGTACTAGTACTACCGTAGCAGAACAGCCTCCCATTCCCGAGCATACGGACTGGTAAACCCACCCGAAGCTCTCCAGGGCCCCATCCTGACAGGGACGCTGGACCGGGGATCTTCGTCAGGTCAGCGTCAGGTGGTTACGTTCATGTTACCAAGAGAGAGGTCTTCCTTTTCTCCTGCCCGGGCAGATCATATGGATCGAGTCCTTGTATGCCGAGGGATGATCTAATGGGGATCCTCAGTGAACCAGGGAGTTGGGAGCAGGACAGGACAGGCTCAGCCTTGGGTTTGAGAGTTCGGACTGACGGCATTCCCGAGTCTTTGGGTTGGCCAGGTTAGCGAAATCAAACGAGGAAACAATTGAGACAACAACTGCCAGACTGAGACGGTGAAATTAGCTCGGGCACTTCTGTACCGAACTAGACTACTGTCAGTCCAGTCACATCATACCCCCAAGCAAGCTGTAACTGCAACTACCGAGTATGCAATAACCAGAAACAGAGCATAAACATAACATGTACGGATACAGCTCCAAACGGTATGTGGAGTGTGCATTATTTTTTCCACAGCACTAATGTGAATGATGCAGACCAGACCGCCACTTGACAGCTGTACGAACGATCCATACCAGTTCAACAACGCATATCACGGAGTCTCGACACATCTATTTTTGATGCCCGAGATATTATCGGTCTGGCAAAGGGTAGGGAGACAAGTATTTGCCTCAACCCTTTGTGATCTTGTGAATGGTAGGAATGTTACGACAGGTATGGGATGCAAGGCATGACCCCAGACTTGGCAACCATAACATAAAATTTGAGCAAGGAAAGACTCTGCTATTCCTCCTTCGCTTCCATTAGCGGAACGCTACCGCTTTGAGAACGGAAGCTATCGTGCGGAACGGAACAGTCCTTCACTAGTTCACCGGTTTAACTACTGGGTGCGTCAATTTTACCTGACTGCTCATGCTAAGAAACCATGATGATAACATTGCAATGGGGGTTTACACTCTTTTGAATTGTCGTCACTTGATCGTGAGAACCGCATAATTCCTGCTTCGAGTTTGTTTCATGTGATCACTATCATATTATCGTATTCGGCGTGAGTTAATACTTCTCCAGACAGACTATATGTCGGGACCGGAGTCGGAACCGTAGGAACCATACCCTACACAAGACAAGGTAGAATTCTCATGGTGTTGCCTGGACTAATGGATAGGCGAAGGGACATGATATGCCTTTATCAGGATCACACGAAAGCCAAGCCAGACCATTTACCACGCCCAGCCTTTATGATCGACCTGGCGATGGTGTAACAAGGTATGAGCATTAGCACAGCAACCCACGGCGGTCATGGGCGTGCCGCTCTAGACATCAAGGTAATTAAACCCGTATGGTAAAGTATAATGTAGCTATGACTCTTCCAGGGCTGTCACGCTAATCGTCCACATCACGAGTACTAGACAAGCCCATGATCTTGCAAGAGGGTCAAGGTACCGAGACTGTTTCAGGGTAGTGTCCATTTATTCCAAGATAGAGTCCCAGTTATTCCAAGACTCGCACGATTATATCTCCCTCGGTAGACATGCACATCAGAAAGAAAATGCTGTCTCAGTCAAGATGTCTGTGAACTCATGGATACAGTTATCCGTACAGGTTGACCTATCGTGGATCAAGGAACATGACCGTCTTCACCCCCAGCCAAGACAATAATGTCCCTGGTCTGGTAAGAACCAGCCCGTTGGGAAATTGGCGAGATGTGATGTGCCGTTCTAGGCAAGTTTTAGAAAAGCTAAGCTACTCGATAAGTTTATCTCTTATAACAATAAAGTGATATTACCGTGATGCATGAAAGGGAAAGCATTGCACGGACATGTTACTGTTACTGTTACTGTTACTGTTACTGTTGCTGTTGCTGTTGCTATCGCGGGGGTGTGTATCTGGCAAGCATCATTCTCTCCCTGTGAGACAAAGTTCCCATGTCTTGATCTTCATTTCTATCTGTGCCTGACAAGGGGCTATGATTCTTGGAAGAGGGAGAAGATTGGATGGCAAAGTACACTGATCATTCCCCCTTGCGGCATATCAAATGCCGAAAAATAAGGGTCCAACCAGTTTGTAAGGGTTAAAGATCTGTTTGAGATGAAGATTTGGGCAGAAGAGGAGAAGAATCGAGAGTTGGGCATCAAGATCTTCATCAATTCTCGATGGGAAATATCCACTTTTGGACATCCCGAGGCAACGGATTAGTTTAGTTCATCTCATCCAGGTACGGATACTGTACAGGGCTCCACGACTGTACCAAACGGTTGGAGAAAGCTTAATTTACTGCATTTAATTCATTGAATCTCAAAAGAAGTCCATAATATCACGTACTGTAAATACCCAGAAGTTATGGTTTATGTTTCATCGGTAACTAGCTCTTTGCGTTAGATTGGGAATAGTGGCTCTTTTTACTTCGGTCTCGGAGTCTGCCAAGCTCCCGAATTATGAGACCATCCTTGTATTTCTAGAAGAACCAGCCTTTACTTGGCAATTCGTTTAGCGAAAGATACACTGATGATGTACACTGATACTGTCCATTCCCGTGACCATGATTGCATGTGGAGATACGATTGGTAGCTCAGGTGAAGCCATCATGATTCAAACACTATCACTTATCATATTCCGCTACCCAGAAAGCGAGCGGCCCGTGGGCACTCTTTCTTAGATGCATATATGCACGACTTACAGAATCACGATACGACAGCTTATCAGAAAGAAACATTTTGCGTATTAAATGAATCGTAGGTGAGTCGATCCTACTAACCACCGTCGACAGATCATATAGTCAAAGCGTGCCTACGTAACTATAGTGAGCTTTGCTGAACTATTTGTAGAGCTTCTGAGGCACAGCAGTTCGTAATGATACCCCTGCTCAGCACAACCCTGTTGTATATCAGGACGATCAAACCTCGACAGCAGCGTGAATTAACTTGACTTGATTTCTTGCTTCAACTGAAAATGGTTTATCATAATGAGATATTGCCGTCGAGTTAGACATCGAGTCTGTCTTACAATAGAGGATACGGGGGGGGAGGGGAAAGAAAGGAAAAGGTCCAAACTCTAACTAAAGGCGCACCACCCCCAATTACACCTGCAGGCCTCCTCTCAAACTGAGTTTGCAGGGGAAAGAATTACTAGCGATAGGTGCTTCGGATTGGGACGTAGTATCGGCATATGCGTGGGCCTCTCATCAAACGGCTGTCTGAGTCCGACTTGCCAATCAACCACCGAGGAGCTCCTCTCCGAAGGACGGCGGATGCATCGTAAAGCTTCCCCTAGCGGGCGTCTGTTTTGTTTTTGCTTCTCCTCAAGACCAAGATGTATGCCCATCAGCTTCAAACGTGGCGTTACTAGGAAGGGTACAGTAACCTGCCGAGAACTTTAATACGCCATAGACGGTAAGGTGTACGATAGATAACCCCAGGTATTCGCTGGAGATGTAGGCAATATATTGGATGGAAGGAGGCAGGGAGTGTATATTGGCGAGGTTGGACTTGTTGTCTCTTCTCTCATCTTCACATCTCCCGAGGGAATGCCGGCGAACAGAGACGGATGTTACGGGAACAGATAGTGGCTGGGCAAGTAAACGAGATGTGGGCGTGGGAAAGAACCCAGAGAACCTAGAGGAAGATTTAGAATTGGTAACTCGGTCCCTGAGGATCACATTCCTGTCTTGGAAGAGCTGATACTCGTCGGTTCCAGATCTCTGGGTCCGTTGGGCATCAACTGGGCTCTCACGATGAAGAGTTTGCCACTTGGGAGAGAATAATGGAATTTGTAGACGGGAGTAAAGAGATTACCATCGGAACGATGGGAGTTTGGGGAATCGCATGTGTAGTTTGAGTTAATGCCCCTGAACGTATCTGTAGAGTCCGGGACTGCGTAAGAATTGTAGAGTTTGAGGTTGGGTATGGCTGGTGTTCTGTTGGGGGATTGAAGCACCTCTTAGAAACATGAACACTGCTCGATATTAGGTGGAAGTTGTTGAGTAAACGCAGGTAAGTATTAATGAATTGCTTCTTGAGTCTCCCTTGCTTCTGTTCAACAAGTGAAGCCCCTATACTATCCCTCTACCCGTACACAGCCCGTACACTCATCCAGAACTCCCCCCAAGAACAACACACACACTCACGAATCTATCAAAGGTTCTATTTCACTCCTCAATTCCACCAAATGCTTCGCCAGCGCCTCCTCCCGATCCCGAAAAGCCTGAAAAGAAACATCCACAACCCCCGAGAACATAGACGATGCCGCGTTCCCAACCCCTGACCACCGCGCCGTCGAACCTCGCAGACGAGATAAAAACTCTTCTGCCAGTTGGATCGTGAGAGACATCTGCAGATAGGGGGATGACTCGACGGCGAACGAACCGACCGTCACGGCGGGCAGTTTCCAGAAACTGAACGTTGTGGTTGAGTTGGTTTGGGATAAAAGTTCGGTGTGCACGAGGGTAAACACTCGTTGATACATGTCCAAGAGGCGAACGTATGTTGATAATATGAGCATGGCGTTGCCAGGATCACTTCCATCGATGGTGGAGTGATGCATCTTGTTACCCTCGTTGGTAGACGGAGGTCTCTCGAGGATATCAGCGACTCGTCGCGTAAGCTTGAACATATCCTCGATGGGAAACCCCTGACTCCTGAACCTCTCATCAACAGGACGTCCCAAGAAGGGCCCGTTCTGAGGAGAAGGTAAAGCGGACGCGAGGTCCAGGAGCCTGGCGTTGATGTCGGACAACTGCGCCATCCAGTGAATCGGGGGAGCCTCGGGCTGCTGCAGCGGCGAGAGGTCAGCGTCGTGTCGGAGAGTGATCTGCCTCGGTCTAGACCTTTGCTTGCGTCGCTGAGGCTGTGACGCGCGCTTGTCAGAGGAGATGCTGTGTTCAGGTGCACAACTTTGACCTGCACTGGTCAGGGGCACAGACTGGTCACCCTCTGGTGCAACTTGATAAGAACCTACTTCTTCAGGTTGATGATAGAGGGTAGAAGTAGTTGATGAAGGATCCCAATAGACAGGAGGAGGAGGAGGAGGGAACTCGGGATGAGATAAATACTGAGGATTGTTTGTATAGAAAGCAAGCTGTTGGTCGAAAGTGAAGGCAAAGTCGGTATTGGTATCGACGGGATCAGGTGAGACAGGGACATGACTCTTAGACGTCAGGCTGTCTGTATGGGGTACTATTGGCACTGCTTCTTGATTGAGTCGGTTGGATCCAAGACAGGGACTGAAGAGAGAAATAGAGAGGGCACCTACCCGTGTCGGGTGAGACAAGACTCGGATCGTCCTGACTGTCGGTCCGTCGTCGTTTCGGAGAGCGGCGTCCAGTTGAAGTCGACAATGAAGAGTTTCCAACACTGTTACTGTTATTCCCAGAATTGACGTTGCCCAGACCCTGTTGCTGACTCTCTATCAGTTGCTGCTGATTCTTCCTATATCGCAACGAAGGACTCGATTTGCACTCGGTCTTGAGCCTGACACAGCGCTCGCAGGCTTCGTCGTTGTATCGTTTGCAGCTGAGTTTCTGAGCGTGACAGCGATCGCAAGCTTTTCGGATCACCGTCTCTGCCATGTTCTTCTTTTCACATTACATTCAAAAGGATAAAAGTGAGAGGTCGGGCTCAAGACATGGGGTGGTTTATAGAAAGGTGGACTGCAGTGTGGCACAGTAAACCGCTGGAAAACTAGAGGGAGAAAAACAAAAAAAGCCCTTGATGCATCAACTCGCCTAAGGAGCGTGTCGTGCTGCATCTCGTCTCCTGTATCTTGCCAGTGAGGCGGTTCCGATGATGTCGGTACCCTCGTCGTGAGACGTTGTCAGGGGTTGTTAATCCGATCTCATGGATCTGTGATGACCTTGCTGAGAATAGAAGGAGAGAAGTTGGGATGAGTTACTGTGTTCAATACTCAATCTCAATTCGCTTACAAGTTCAATAGACAAGTTACGCCTCAACACAGCCTCCAAGTCAATAGAACACTCCAATGTATTCAGATCTATCAATTCATCTCTTCAAACCTCAAGAAGCGGTGGCGTCTCGTCACATTTCCCTTCTTTTCCAACGTATCACAACAGCACGCCTTGTACATCCAACAGACCTCGAGGATTACTCATGTCGTGCGACACAAGTCACATCTTCCCAACCTACTTTTGCTAGCCCTATTATTTCGAGGGTTCTTCATTTTTCCGCTCACCGTAGTTTCGGACAGGAGGGCTGAAAAGTGATATATGACTTCTTTCCATTGGAAGATAGTCGGCGAGCTGCAGGTCTTGTGGTGGTGGCATTAATGGATTGTCTTGGTGAGGCGAGTAATTAATGATAATGACAGGATGGAGATGAGACTTTGAGATGAAGAGTTCCTCTTATTGGTGTTTGTGCTGAAATGAATCCCTACCTAAACTATCAGTATCGCTTGCTTGCAGCAATCACATCACATCATACCATTTCCGCAATCGTGATGCCCTGTACTAAGGGTCCTTTCTGACCCGATCCCTAGATCGGCTATATCCGATCTCATCCTATCTCTATAACCCTGCCCATCAAAACAAGGATCCATTCGATTCCGTCCAGCCACTGCCTCTATTGCTCTGTAGAGGTAAGGCCCCCAGCCAATGACCAAACAGGCGAGACATTGACAGGTGGCGTCCAGTCGTAACTCGAGCCTTGCCTGGGAACAGTATCGTTATTGTTACTGTCTCTCGTTACTTTTACTCGTGGCTACTGTAAGACGTCTCACAGCCCTGCTGCTATTCATCGACTGTATTACATTGCGCTCAGGTTCTGGTCGGCTATTTACCAAGACATGGCTGCTAACTTCCAGAATTAGATAGTGAAGGAAGATATAATTCTTGTTCGAGATGAGGGCAGGAGGCAGTTTTTGGAAGTGTCCATCTTGGGACTCTCTCAAGACTCGGCTGCACCGTCCAGGTCGATTGACACTCAGCGTTTTCGTACCCATGAAGACGTGATAGGCACTGAGAAGTACTTATCCAAGAAGAAGTTAGACGAATATATACTCTTTCATATTAAGCATACCGTTTAAAGCAAGACAAATGACAAAAGACGCATCTGCGTCCGGTCGGATTATCCATTGCAACGAGCTCAAAATGCTACGTCCAGCCCGGATAAGCCATACCAGGGTATACCGCGGCCTTATCTCACTTGACATGAGTAGAAATCATTCGCAACAGTTGAAAGAATGGCGTATACGCAAGGAAGAATGATACAATTGCCGATTGATACTCCGTTCAATGGCATTAGCGTCCTCGGATCCGGAAATGGCGGGGAACCCAAATGTTAGTGATTGTGTGAAGGATACGCACATACACTAACGTTGACGCCATGGCGATCTGATACTACACCATATACAGCATTAATGATGAAGCTTCAAAGTAACATCTTCCTCGGGCAGAGATAGCTAGTTGGGTGATAGAAAGTTGTATATAAAGAAGACAGTAGAGTGACTGCTGTAGGAACAATGCCATTAGATCGAAGCGATTACACAATTGATAACTCCTCAAGATGCGATCTTCAGCCTGGATCAAACATATACTATTGACAAGTTCACTGTCTGCTATTGCGGCTGGGAGTAGTCAAGCCGCCTTATCACCCAAAGATGAAATCCCTCAACTTCGGCCAAATGCAACCAATGGAGACAAGAAGAACATTGTCTTCATTCTTACTGATGACCAAGACTCTGTTTTGGACTCAGTCTCATACATGCCGAAGCTGAAGGAGCATATCGTTGACAAGGGTATATCTTTCGTCAACCACTTCACCACCACAGCAATCTGCTGCCCAGCCCGTGTTGCACTTTGGACAGGAAAGCAGCCACACAGTACTAACGTAACGGACGTTTCTCCGCCGTATGGTAAGTAAATAACGCAGTTGTCGTAGGAAGTCGTGCTGACCAGAAAGGTGGCTACCCCAAGTTCATCTCACAGGGCCTTAACGAGAATTATCTACCAGTCTGGCTAAGTGAAGCCGGATATAACACATACTATACAGGAAAACTATTCAATTCTCACACTATCAACAACTATAACTCGCCTTATCCTGCAGGGTGGACAGGAACCAACTTCCTCCTCGACCCGGGGACATATGACTACTTGAACCCGATTTACCAGCGTAACCAGGACGCACCGATACATCACAAAGGAGAACATACTTCAGATTTGATTGCTCAACATGCGCAAGAGCTCTTGAAGGATGCGATTGACTCAAAGAACCCTTTCTTTGTTGCCCTCGCCCCCATTGCGCCGCACTCGAATATTGACTCGGATCGGGAGGCTGCGACTTCTATGACGATACCTATTCCTGTTGAGAGACATGCACATCTCTTTGAAGGGGTCAAGGTTCCAAGAACAGACAACTTTAACCCAGATTCTGTAAGTATTGTCTATTTATATTGTCAGAGTGTCAGAAGAATTGGCTACCGAAAACATAAGAGACGAAATACTCTGGTCACTTTATGCTAGCTAAGACTAGCATTCAGGCGACTTTGTTTGGTATTCTAAGCCTTAGACGTCGCTTCTGTTCTACTCCTGTGTAAAGTCATAGCTAATAAACAACAGCCCAGCGGAGTAAGTTGGATTCGCAAACTCAAGCAACTCAACGACTCAGCTGTAGCGTATATCGATGATTACCATCGAGCACGACTCCAATCTCTCCAAAGCGTTGATGAGCTTGTGGAGCAAGTCACGAAGCAGCTGGAAGACGCTGGCCTCATCAATGAGACTTACATCATCTACAGCTCTGACAACGGCTTCCACCTAGGTCAGCACCGACTCCCTCCTGGCAAAGAGTGTGGATTCGAAGAGGATATTCGCGTGCCCCTTTTCATCAGAGGACCGGGTGTTGTTGCTGGGCAAGTTGAGAAGGCTGTGACGACGCACATCGACCTTGCTCCCACCCTGCTCAAGCTTGCAGGTGTGTCCTTGAGAGAGGACTTTGACGGCACTCCTATTCCTGTCTCAGCTGACCAGGAGGTGAAGCGTCATGAGCATGTTGCTGTTGAGTACTGGGGTATTGCTATCGCTGAAGGCGAAATCGGTGGCTTTGGTATGTGGATGGCCCCGAGTTTCAGTGGATTTACTGACTCGACTTGTTTAGATGGAAAGGGCCAAGCCATAATGCCCAACAACACGTACAAGGGCTTGAGGATAGTGCACGAGGACTACGACTTTTACTACTCGGCCTGGTGTAACAACGAACACGAGCTCTACGATGTCAGAGTAAGTTTCTCGTGACCCCGTCCTCTGGGTGTCAGAAGAATTAGCCTCTGAGAGCATAAGAGACGAAAGGATCGAGTTACCTAATGCTAGCTTAGACTATCATTTAGGTTACTTGATTCTGGCGTCCCGAGCTTTAGAGGACAATTCTTCTGACACCTACATAACCGTTTACTAGACCAATACTTACCTCTTTTGAAGACCGACCCAGGCCAATTGAACAACATTTACCCCTTGAATAACACCACGACTGCAAGCAAGACTTTCTTAGGAACCACAGTCCAGCAAGTCGTCAACCGTCTCGATGCATTAATGCTCGTCCTAAAGTCCTGCAAAGGCGAAACATGCATCGAACCATGGAAAGTTCTCCATCCTGAAGGTGACGTGACAAGTTTGAAAGATGCTCTTTCGGGGAAATTCGACGTTTTCTATGGTGACCAGGTAAAGGTTCGGTTCGATCGTTGTGAAGCTGGGTATTTGGTTGAAGCTGAAGGGCCGCAAGTTGGATATGAGTATCGGGAGGGTCTGGCATGGCATCATTGGACCTGAGAGCTGGTGACGACGTCGTCCTCGGCGCAGTTAACGCTGTAGCATCTGGAATCTTCCGGTATTTAGATCCAGGGAGTTTCCGTATTGGAATGAGGTTGTAATTCGAGAGTCGGCCTTTGTCGGCATAGGACATAGCTCTTGGGCACTCTCTCAACCCATAAGCCCAAATAATCCAGCCATCCCATACCAACTGGGACCATCGTTTGTTCTGTCACCCCAAGTTAGGCCTTAAACTTTCGCTGCCCCTTGTCAGCACCGACACATCACATTCACGACCATCTCGGCATAGGATTGCGATGGCATTGCTAATCCTTGCTCGAATTCGCTATGTTCTGATGCTCTAGGTCTTCAAGACAAAGAAATGAAGCGGCTGAAGAAGGCCTAAGCAATGAAGGCGATGTGTGCCCGTCGTTTGAGACAGATGGTGCCGATGGGAAGCGCTTCAGCTGATGGCGGCCTCAAATCTCGAAATGGTGTTGTGCTGAATTCTGGTAAGATACGGCATAAGCTGCGAGCCCAGTCCTGGATCAAATGATGTTGTAACGGGTTAAGCGTTTTAAGCCGAGGGAGATTTGACGTAAACGAGGGTGCATATTGCAGGGTCATGAGTGCAAGATAGAGAAGAACACAGAGTTTTGAAAGATATTGTTTCCCAGTTGCATCATTCATGAGCCCTCACCTAGGTGTGTAGGTGAGCCCAGAGCCGGCAGTGGCCCGGCCCCACCTGATGCCCGCTGTCATCTCGACACTGAAGTTGCGATCACCCTCAGCCATGATGGCGCAAAAGAAGAGCTCTAGATGATGGAGATGCAAAAAATATAGCATGTCCATCAAAGAAATATTACTGAACGGAAAATGATCATTCGAAAGGCATTTGGTGATGTAAAGTCGGCGTGGTAATTCGTCGACATTCATTGGCCAAAAATTGGTGGGTGCCTTGTATTTCCGGCACGAACCAGGATCCGACCTTGAACCGAGGAGCATCTCACGACAGCTCTGCTAATCTACGACAACCTCACATCACGAAGCTCAATTGAATCAGCAACAATGGGTTCCGACGCAATCACCGAGCCGCGGCGTACGTACCGACCGACGAATTGATATCCAGCACATATTTTTCACCCGAACCTCGACCGCTGACTTCATGAGTAGAAGCGACCCGCGAGGAGATGCGCGATGCCAAACTCCCTCTGGCCTACCGAGACAGCTGCGCGCACCTTCTGATCCCTCTCAACAAGTGCCGTCGGGATACGTGGTACGCCCCTTGGAAGTGCTCCGTAAGTCATCTATCATTTTCTAGAGCGAGGCACGGCAGGTCCAAGTCCACCGTAGCTACACCGAACGTGCTCAGCCCAGGCCAGCCGAGCTCAGTCCAGCTACAACCCAAATTCAAAAGCCGATCTTTGCCGAGATATCAATCAATAAGACAACATGCTTACACATAGGGGTTTGACTAGGATGAGCGACACAGCTACGAGAAGTGCCAATACGTCGAGTTCAAGAAGCGAGTCGCCAAGATGGACGAGTTGAGGGAGTCGAAGGGCGGTGCACGAAGCAACTAGAGGAAGAGAAAAGACCGAATTTCTTGACAAATCCCGGGTATAGGGCCGGGCCGGAACTGTACATTTTACAAACAAGCCAATGCGTTTGATGAGAAAACCGGAATAGAAAGAGGCATTCCACACAAATGAAACGATTCAAGACGCAAAACGAACAAGAAAGACGACAAAGTGAAATGATGGCGGAGCCTACTATGGCGTCAACGACTGGGTTTGATACAATCGATGGGCTAATGGAAATAGGCATGCGACGAGTTTTGGGCAGAGCCTCATGAGATGTTTGAGCCGCGCACTCCAGCGGCATAAGAGAAAAGGCCAACCACAGGCCCTTTGGGATGGAATGGACCGGAAAAGAGTGGGCTCACCGGGGACGTAACAAGTGGGACTGGCAAGTTGGATGGTGAAAGGAACATGAGAAAGAGCTGTAATGTTGCAAGCAGACGGGTTTTGGCGTGGTCATCGTGGCGGACAGTACCCTGTCTGGGCCGGCTCAAGAAGAAATACGCCGACATGGTGTTGTGCGGGCTCTCAGGAGAAAATTATATATTGAGCCCGTGAGCCACCGAGAGGTTGCGAATCTGAGATGGAAAGGTGCCAGGCGAGTTGAATCGTGGTGTTTTTACACCTACTTCAATCATTCATCTTGTGTATCACTATCAACCTTTTTTGTTCTTCAAGACGACGATCGTCTCATCGGCAGTTGGCTTCCGCAGAGCCTCAACACCAAGATTTCTTTTATCGCCAAGGTCTTATCGATTGCACTGGTTGATCGACAGCCTCAGCCTCGACAATGACTACGAAAGTGTCACGATAAGATATGGCTGCTATCGACGACCTCTGCTGGTGGCTCAGTCACTTGACCTCAGTCAGTCACTTGATGGCGCAGTCATGATGAAACTGATGATCAGAAATGAACATCGGATTTTATCGGCTCAATCCTGATGAGACAACCTCAATCTCGGATGCGATAGGGCAGTTGACTGCGAGTCGTGGATCCTTATTGTGAGCGACATGGTCTCAGCTCCAACGAGTCAGACCACGACCAGTCGGTGCAAGCCCGGGAGCCACGCAGTTTTTGGCCACAGTCACAGCTCACAGCCTCAGAGGCGCTGAAAAGAGCCGCATGCAGGCGGTTCAGGCAAAGTTGTGCGCTATGCAAGGTCCCACATGCGCTGAAAAAAGCCACCCGCACCCGACAGGAACCCTGGCAATGGAACCACCTTTAACATGATTTCCCTTTAGATGAGATCCACTACGATCCATCAAAGGGAAACCTTCTGTCAACGTCGATCCACTGCTGGTCGGTTTGGCTCGGTATATCCAGCGAAAAGCAAACCGGCCCGGTGCATTGAAACCTATCGGCCGGGCTGTGGATATCATCTCCATTGTTTTCAATGCTTGGCTCAAGGCTTGTGTCTTGGAATTCAATGCCAAGGCCACTTACAACGGAGCCTCCGGTCTTCATTTACGACTTCTCAGCAACACAACTGGACAAACGTGGGACCATCATGATTTCTCTTATGCAACACTTTCTAACGGACTCGGTCGAATGACACACATATTCAAGGATGCCGATTTCAGGGGACAAACGTAATGCTCTGACAAAGAGTGAAAAATGATTGATGCTATGCTGTCTAAACTAACGGAAAAAATAACTGGAGACTTATACACGAGATGAGACCTGCTCAGAAGATGGAGTTGCTGCCACAGGAGAAGACACCCTGGATGGAACTGGAAGCATTGGCAAACAGATCCAACAGCTCAGTGATTGATGACCACAGGCCAGCAGCGTTCATGAAGAGTGAGATTCCAATAAGGAATGCGTTGAGGCAGAACAGGGCAATGTTCTTGGGGCTGGAGAAGAGGTTGTTCCAGTTCATGTGGAACCAGAAGATGCCGCTGAAGCCGAAAGTGAACCACGAAATGGTAGTGGCTGAGGCAATGGACAGGATGGAGTCAAAGACGGGGATAGCGTTGGAGATGATGAAGCAGAGGACCCAGAAGACGGTCACAATGGTCATCCAGATGGACCAAGAACGAACGTTGTTGGCAGTCATCTCGCTCTGGAGCTTGAAGTGCTTCATGACCTGGACATACACGTATTTGATACCAGTGTGGCCAAAGGCAAGACCAGTCGAGAAGATGGCAGGGAGAACGATGCCGTAGGCAATCCTGGCGATAAGCTCGGGAGCCGAGCCAAGAGCAGGCGAGACGGTGTACTCTCCAGCCAAGCAGTAAATGGCAATAGCCACAACCACGTAGAACCCGATGGAGACACACTCCAACCAAGCGAGAGCAAAGCCGAAGTCGCGAACGGGGTCAACCATCTCGGCCATGTAAGTGACAAAGTTGATGTTACCCGAGTAAGCGTAGCAGATCTTGAGACAGGCGTTGAGGCCGGAACGGAAGTCTGGGTTGGCGACGACCAAGATCTCCTTGTGCCAGTCTGCGGGCGCAGCTGTGGGATTCTTGGCTCCGAGAGAGGCCATGACGAGGATGGAAGCGGCGATGACGGAGACCATGCAGGGGATACCTGACTGGGAGACGAACTTGGAGGTTCGTGGCGCGCAGAGGACCCAGCAGCAGAGGCAAGCGATTCCGATGTAGCCCACAGTGCAGATAGAATGTCGTGAAATGGTGTTGAAGGCAATGGAGAGAGTAACACTAGCTGAAGCAGCTGTCATGATGACCTGAACAAGCAGACCAATTCCGGCGGCGATGGAAAGAGGACGTCCTCCAACAACCTTGGCCATGTCCACCACGTTCAAAACATGAGAATGACGGCCATAGAACTGCTTCAGGACGAAAGCGGTATACCAACTTAAAACTCCGATTCCGATGATGGCAATCAAACCAGGGACTGAAGCTGTTAGCGATGGTGTTGCAAAATCGTGATTCGAAAAGTGAAGCTATCGCGGGTTTTGGGGCGGTCGGTCGCCCGACTCACAACCCACACCCGAGACAGCTTCCATTTCCCTAAAGGATAAACTTACTAATTCCCATAGTCTTTAAAACACTAGGTAGTGACAAAACACCGAGTCCAACTTGATTGGTAAGGAGAGCGAAAGTTGTGTCCCATTTTGACATGTTGCGAAAGTTCTTTGCGCCCTCACCACCACCGAAGCCGTTTTCCACGACAGGGACATTGTGAGCGGACTGAACGTCATCGATGTGGCCCTTCTCAGCATCGAGAGGCATCTTCTCTTTGCTGTTTGTCTTGCTGGAATCATTGCCCTGGTCTGAAGGGTAAATGTCGTTATGAGCGTCTTGCGGGTATGAAGCCATGATGTGTGTATGTGAAGCAACTGCTTCTATGTGTATATAAAAACGGGTATATTAGACTGCTCGCCTGAGGAAACAATACACAAAACTAGAAGAAAGAGGTTATGGTGGGAGGGAAGAGAGATGATAGAGGACAATGAAGAGTAAGAGCAGATGGAAAGGAAGAAATATATAAGTCAATAGAGCTTCGTAAAAGGACTAGACTATCACGGAATTCCCTCATTAAGCTCCGCGTCCTTTTTTTTCCCTCTCTTGGGCGTGGCCGTGCTTGTGCTCCAGCTTTGTTCACGACTGTACGGAGGATATCCTGGGGTTCCACCTAAGATAGGTGCTTTTCCATCGGAGTTACAGTCCAAGGGTTTGACCAGCCTTGGTACTTTTTCTGGGGTGACCCTCATCTTCTTACATCGGCGGCGAACTTGGTGCCTTGCTTGGTAGTGTTCTTGTTTGTTTAGGTCTGATGATCATTCACATTCAAGAATTCCTTTCCCCAACTTGATTCTCCTCATTTGTGGATCTTTTGTGTCTTGTTCAACACTGGGAATAAGACAGTTACTCTATGTACAGAAGCAATAACCCTTGTGAATGAGGAGAAAGTCTCCATTCACCCCCTGGTCTATCGTATCTTTTTTGTTCTGTGAAGGAATTGACAGTACGCTGCCCCCAATTGGATGTGAAAAGCTGGGGACAAGCAAGACAAGAATTGAGTGGAAACGCACTAGAAGGTCATCATCCATGTTTACGTACATGCACATTGTGTGTGTCTCCTCCACGGTGTGACCGTCCATTTACTGGGGATATGCACTACATGCACTACACAATCCGGGCCGTTTTTATCTGTTTTTTATTTGCTAACGTGCTGTATATCTTTTACTCAAGGCGGACCCTCTCAGGTCTATCAGTGACTTTTAGCATCAGCTCTGTCATCATCAACTCGGTAGTTGAACATCCATCATGAACAAATGATCTACACTGAGTCTCATCTCTAAAGGGACTTTTTCTTCACATCTACTTGTGCATCTTTCTTCAGTTCGCCTCTTTTAAAATGTGGTCCTCCTCCAATGCTTGGCTTTTGATAATGTCCAAGAAAGGCATGTATACTGCTAGTATCCTTCCAACCTAGTTTCAAAACTTTGCTCACCCCTTGTCTTCCGAATTGCGAGGCTGACGGGCGCGTTACCGAACCGAGTTTAACTCTCCCAAGCAGGGACCAGGTCTAAGATGGAGATCCGAGGTGGAGAACCAGGTACAGTTTTTTCACTCTTCTTACTCTTTTGCTTCATTCCGCTTTATTTCCCATTTGGATTGAATAAGGATTGTTTAGCCGCGGGAGCGGAATGGGAAGAGACATGGATAATTCTAGCCGCGATGGTTGACCGCTTAAGCATAAGAAACAAAATACTTTATGCGGCACTAGACACAACGAGTCAATAAGTATACGTACACCTCGAATTAAACATGTCATGCAACTAACAAGAGTCAGTTGTATGGGCATTTCATCCAGTCGGGTTTCCCATCAGCAAAAAGATAACCCACCCCTGTTCCTGTTCCATGTCGTCATCCCTAAACCCTGACACGCACGCTCTTTCTTTGCTTGCCTCAGGTTCGGGTGTTCCTGCACGCGGTAATATTTCTAGTCGTTTTCTAGAAGATGAGCTGAAGATGTGATGCGATGTGATGTGATGTGACATGCACGCGTGGGGTGTCAGATATCATGATGTGATACTATCAGGCATGGGCTGTATCAGACTCATTCCTTTGCCAGTAATTACCTTCTTTCGCACAATGAACTGACAGAATAGTACTATAAGCCTATGAATTATGCTTGAATGGGTCTCTGGGGCACCGGTCCGGTTATTCCTTGGCCACATAGCCATAGCATTGTAAGGCCATCAAACACTGGAATTACAACCACACGTAATACCTTCAATTTCCCCATGCCTTTTACGTACAACAAACCAGTAGTCCCCATGGGACATCTCCATACTTTTCTTTTCTCCCCCAGCTAAAATTACCGCGGGTTCATATCCGGGGCATAACACTACAAACATACGTCTCTCTTCTTATTACTGGATATGGAGGTTCTTCCATGTTTGAGGCTAGCAGACCGAGGATGAAGTGTCATCAGTGCGTTTTCAATATCGCCGAAGAATATGCGCTTCGCCGTTGTGATCAAAGTGTCGGGCTTGCCCGGTTCTTTGTTTTGACCCTGCAGATCTTTTGTATCTCAGGGGGCTGACTTTTTCTAGTGTGTCTTCGGTGCAGCTGCTTGGTGCCCGAAATGGACACTGACACTTCAGGATCGTCGATATAGTGTGAGAAATATCTGATGGGTAACAAACGGTTCGATTATCGTCAACCGATGAAGACACAGCCTATCAGAGTTATACATTAGAAACAATGATATCACTTAACGCTCAGATAGTCATCTACACTCGCCTATTTGCTGCAAGACAGCCCAAGGCCAGACTTCCTCGTTAGGCAAGTATCGACTCGTCCCGAGCTTCTGTCAATCTCCTCCTATCTGTTTCACGGTCAAAGTAACCGGACCGTTACCAACGCAGATCACAATCCTTATCATCAACGGCGTGGGATATCAGGATATCTTGACAACGGGACGAGTGATAAACGGAAGGCATATCATGACATCGGGGGGCCTCATAAGGATCCGAGCATAAAAATGCATGCATCACCTTGCTCAAGATATTCGGAAAGCGACGGTCCTTGTAATCAGGGTCGTCTATGCTTCTCCGCTTCCGAAGGAGTTCTGGCGAGCCTGATATCCAATTAGCATTCCTTTCAGGCGACTGTCGCCGAGTTCTCCCATTTAGATCCCGGCCTCAAAGCCGTTGATACGCGAGTCCTAAGGGTTCTCGTCACTTGCCACGGCGATTTCTCGGGTGTGAATGAGTTCTCGTGGCCACATGGTATCGGAGATCTGTAACGTGGAAGGGCTCAGTACGGTCCGGGGATTCATATGTTGAAGCCGTTCCGGGGCAGGCAGATAGATACCCAATGTCTGTCATTGATGGATCTCGAAGTGGCTGTGTACTCCCGAGTATCGCAAGATAATACGTATTGATCATGACATCAACTGGTATCACCCAGACGGGACACTCTTAAATCTTACGTTACGAGTATAGCTTCAAGGCGTGGTCAAGGAGCCACTTCACTGCCGAATCTTCCGACTGGTGAGAATGTCGAAGGCATCAGTTACCAAGTATGGAATTCTATACCGGTGTCATTCTGGCTGATTCTAGAAAGACTGTGAAGTCTTGAGCTGTGTATGCGCGGTTCGAGGATGCTTTTGATGCGGTGCCTTCCGAGTGTTGACCCCGTCTGTACAGCTCAATACTGCGCATGAGGTAGCATATCCTCTTCCATAACTCTATCATTACGATACACAACGCCCTTCTCTTGAGCGATGATCATGTCAACGCTAGGATTCGACGATCGGGTAGTCGCTTGGATACTGGCCACTTCGAGCTTTGACTACTTGAGTGCTCCCGTTGATAGCCAACATGGCTGGCACTTGCTCTCCAACATTAGAACAGCCCCCAGAGATACATACTTGGAGTAGTACAAGTCCAAAGTTATGGTTACCTGTTCTCTTTCGTGTTGTATCCATTGGGTAATGGAGGAGCTACAGTATAATGCTTAGACTGCCGGAATTAGGTAGCCCAAATGCTGGTCTAAGGTGGCCAACCTATTTCGTCTTCTAAGCTTTGGGTGGCCTATTCATCTGCCGCCCTGACAGGTATCTCAAGTCCAAAAGACCCATTATGGATTTAGATTACATTGAAGCAAACTCCTTAAATATAGCAAAGCGCTTAGCAACTATCACGACGTAAAATCCCATCCGCTATGGAAACAAGAATCTCGAGAGTAGTAGTTAGACATGTTGGAGTAGTACCCAGTCACTAAAGAGAACATACCCATTGGGACCAGTAATTACCTTGTTTGCAACTAGTAATACTTACGAAGTGAAGCAGATGGGCTTGGGTGTTATAAGTATAAGAAGATGAATGGAGTAAATGAGCATTGGCATGCTCCCTCAATCCACGCATGAGGGAAATCGCCGTCTTAGGGGTACAGCTGGTAGCAATGTGAAGCTATGAAGCCCTTTCCTCGGCAACCAATTTTGTCTCTCCTGGTTATCGACTTTAAGAGCCTCTTGCGCTTCAAGTGTAACTTGTTAGATACAGACTGTAGCGACGGCATGTAAACAAAGGTGAGGTCATCGCCTCCAGGTTCTGTACTTGATCACAGTCTCTATTTGACACAACATGAGTTTTGATTATATCGACTATTTTGAAAGCATGGGGGCTTTACACTTTCAACAGGTGTCTCCATGCTATAGGTCGTAAAGCTGTTGGAGACAATCATCTTTGGGCTAGTATTCGAGCTCTCAGTTCTATGGTCTCTCATATTCTAATCAAGCCATTTGCAATTCAGATCAGTAAACAAACTTCCCTAACGAATCCCCAAGGCTAGTCTAAGTTTAAGACATCTAAGCCCAGAGGAAGTCCAATAATTAGCAAATGGCTTCCTCTGAGGGCGTTAAGTAGAACCTAGTTGGCGGTTCTTTTCGCAGCTCGTTTTTCTCAAAGGTACAGGAGGAACTGCATCCTTGAAGGCCTTTCTACCGGCTGTGTGCTATCGTTCTACCTCCAGACCTACCCAGCATACAAAATTCCATACCCCGACTCACTAGCCATACAGAAATCTCTAACCGATACTACTGCTACTGTATCTATGTTATCTAATTACCATAGATTTTACTATAGCGCTTCTGATGTTGCAAAACGGAAAAGATGCATTGCTTATAATCATTTGCAATTTCTCTAAGGAAGTCATCTTGCTTCCTATAACCAAGGGTTTATCAGCAAAACCAGCGGCAAAGCTGCCATACAACAATTCTACTTTTGCCAAACTGGAGATATCCCAATATCGTCATCAATAGAATGGTTCGCAGATTCCTAGCTACACTGTTTCACCGTCCAACGGATGGTGTTAGTAGCCATTCTTTGTCACACATTATCTCTTCAAGGAAGCTATACCACTAGTCTAAGTGACAAACTACCAATTGGGCAGTATGCGTCTGACACTACCATCAAGCCCTAGACCTCAAAGACAACTCATGGACTGAGGCCCTGCTCCGCCAGATCCTCGCAGGATTGTGGAAAGCTTAAGGAATAACTCCTTAACAATCTGTCTTGGCTGGCACTTGGGAATATTGCCTGTATTTACTCCTGTGACTTTTCAACGGCGGCTATTTTGAGAATATGATAGTAAAGGAAGAAAATAGTTCTTTTTGAGTATTTGGTATCTAGTATGCAGTCTATTGACTCGCAAAGCTCAAGCATAATACAATCTCATGAAGCAATCTGTACAGCAATCCATCCCAACGCCCTCCTATGCTAAACGACCCATCTCGCAATTCCATTTCGTACAATTACACCTTTGCTTGCAGTGCAAGTAGCTTAAACATCACCGGTCTTGAACAGCTCAAGGTGCTGGCGCTCACGAGGAACACCGTTCTCCTCAAGGAACGCTCTAACCTTGACCATCCAGTCCTCAGGACCACAGATGAAGTACTCAGCATCAGAACTATCAAGCGCAAGAAGCTTATCTTTCTGAAGACGAGCAAGATCGATTTCACCCTTGAAGTCGTACTGGTCGCCCTCCTTAACGTCCTCGAGGAAGATCTTGGCTGTGATGTTGTCGTGCTTCTTAGCTGAGTCGAGAACATGGGGTACGAAACAGGTTGAGCCTGAGTAACGAGCTCCGTGGATCCAGGTAATGGGTCGCGAGGCGGTCTCTGATGAGAGGACTGAGTCGAGGATGGAGACGAGGGGTGTGGCGCCGACACCAGCGGAGAGGAGGACGAGAGGCTTCTTGGCGGCAGAGGCATCGGTAGGGTTGAGGAAGAATTCTCCAGCAGGAGGGCTCAGCTCGACCTCATCGCCGACGTTGTATCGCTTGTGAAGTCTGGTGGAAATAAGACCAGGAATCTTGCCAGCAGCGAGATCCTCGATGGAGGGCTCTTCCTCGGGACCCTGAAGCTTGACACTGATGCGGTAGTGGTTGGTTCCAGGAGCCTCGCTCAGACTGAACTGACGGCTTTGGAGAAGGCCATCAAGTTCAGGGATAGGAATCTGCAAGCTGACATACTGTCCGGGGAGGAACCTGGGGAGAGGCTTGTCGTCCATGGGCTCAAGGTAGAAGCTCGTAACAGAGTCGTTCTCAGCCTCCTTCTTGGTAATCTTGAACTTGCGCCATGAGTTCCACTCCCCAGCAGCATCGTAAAGTTGACCCTCGCGCTGGATAAAGATATCAGCGAGCTGGCCATACGCAGCAACCCAGGCCTCCTTGATCTCATTTGTCAAAGCAGAACCGAGGACTTCGCCAATGGCACCGATAAGATGTGTGCCAACGATGGGGTAGTGCTCAGCCTTGATAAAGAGCGAGACGTGCTTCTGAGCAATACGTTCAACAGCGTGAGAAAGCTTTCCGAGGTCGTCGATATATGTGGCGTAGGCGAGGACGGAGTTGGCGAGGGCAGCTTGCTGAGCGCCAGTCTGTTGGTTGCGAAGAGAGAAGTAGTTCTTGAGCTCGGGATGGGCGCTGAGCATGCTGCGGTAGAATGTGGTGGTGATGGTTTTGCCATGCTCCTTGAGGATGGGAGCTGTGCTCTTGACAATGGCTACTTGTGCTGCGGTGAGAGCCATGATGTATTATCTGTATGATAAGTCTGCTAGGAGATGGAGTATTGTGAGACTTGGAGTGTCAATTGTGTCTTATTGATAGACTATGATGCCGAGAATAGTGGCTCTGTAGGATCCAGCTCCGACTCTTTATATCAAGTCCCGGAGAAGTCATCGAGGCGCGGAGAAACAACATTTTGTCATTCTCGTCCTCCATGACTCTCAGGACAATAAACATCATGCGATTTGAAAGCAACAGAAACAATAGCTCATGGTCCCTGATACGGTGGGTTTCCTGGATCACCGACGGTGGTCTGATGGGTATTGACTAGAGCATCTCCGCGGGACGCTAACGGTAGTACGACGGGGATTGGCGCCGAGATGCTTCTTTTTTTGGGTCTACATTTTTGTAGATGCTGTTCTTGTTAATAACGTTATGTTTCATCCGATTCGGATCCAAGCTGATGGGAACTGCAACGCAAGGTTCTGATGTGTATCCAGGCTCTAGGTATCTGCCCCGCTGCTTGCGTATAAGTCACCAGTGTAAATTCTTGTGCGTAATATTTTACCAAGGTATCCATCATGATTGGATAGACGATCTATCGCTGGACAGGACCCTCATGAATACCTGACCCAAGCATCAATTGCATGGCCAAGAATATTCTACGTTCAGCGGAGAAGCGGAAATGCCATCTATCATCTTTAAATTTTCGATGCCACGAGTTTGGGACAAGCAATGTTGTGACAAAGAGTGGGCTGACATCTTGAAATAAGCTTCGGATAAGATCGGAACGGGTCGAGGATAATCGGAACGGGTCTTGCGGCTGTAACGGAAGAGTCAAGAATCATAACATCTGACTCCATTTGTTTGGCAAATTCAACGTTAACTTAAAGTCGTACAGGTAGCGGAATATCACCGCGCGAATCATTGCTGCAAGATTGATAATCATCACCAACCTGGAAATGCCGTTACGTATTTTGACAGATGGATCCGGGTGGAGTAAGGCTCATGATACGATTCCATATTGTGTCCCTTGTGACTTGAGCAATATATTATAATTGATGCTATTCGTTTCATCCCGCATCCCACTCTGGTATACAAATTCAGCTTGGTCATCATTGCATGCGAGCACTGCCGATTTCTCCACGGGCTGTATGGCCTCATGCCCAAGACGCGGGGGCTCGCGTCACGTATCCCACGGGCCCTCAGAGCCTTACATACTCAGATCATTTATCGTCTGGCTTGGGGAGTCGGTGATCCCAATATGTCCCATTGGGGTGTTGGACGACATCGATTGAGCGACATCCAGGATGCCAATGATCCTCCTCCGTCCCAAACGGCCACATCGCAATCGTAGACAATTCGTCCGGTGCACAAGCCTGTGGTTTCTTCCAGGTTGACCATCCCAGTTCGCTAATCAATTGCTGGACCATGGATCGGCCATGTTTAACCGCTTTTTCAAGTTTCTCATTGGACTCGCCGTCTCCCTTACTTGTAAGTTCAGATGGATCAGTTGACGCTTCTAGTAGGCGACCACGGACAAGATACAGCGTATCGCAGATCGTGCTTAGAACTGTGTCGAGAGATGTATAGATCAACTCGTCTTCAACACTCCATTTGCCCTTCATTATGTGTGCTGGCCTCAGATAATGTCTCCTGCATTCTTCAATGGCATCAGCAGTTCGGTTCGTGTTCTCTTGCTCTGCCAAGGAAATATCTTCGGGCAACGGCGGTGCGTTGAACCAGGTTGATGTAGCACCCAAGACTTCATTTATAAAGTAACGAGATGGCAGTGGCTCATATGCCATAAGCGCGATCCTCTTGCTGTACCGGCTCACGATGAGATCAACAACACCTTGCCAGTCCACGGTGAACCGTCGAGGCTGGTGCAAAACATCCTTCAAATATGCCTTGACATCTAAAAGCTCAGTCAATGTTGCAGCGCCGAGCCTTTTAAGATCCGGTCGCTCCGGATCTGTGCTGGAGATGTTGATGGGAAAGAAGAGGCCAGACACCATGGAAGAAAAGTCGATCCGTAGTCGGCCGCCTCCGATACCATCGTATCGCTCTCCAACCCCCCTGATCCATTGGAACATGGACAAGTCCTGGTCATTCATAGTGCGATTGCGCATTTCTGTGCGCATCATGTTAACCAGATTCAAGCCGTTGCTGAAGTCACATTTGATAACTTCCACACCAATCTCCATCCGCACAAATCCATCTAAGCCCCATTCGGATGCTATCTTGCACAGATCAGAAGCCCGGTTCCATTCGTCAAAGCTCCGGCCATTGCCCTTGCTCTCACGAAGGACGAGATCCTGAGAGTCCAATGTACCCATGTATGTCTTGCCTGCACTCATACCGTCAAGTAAAAGAAGGTTGAGTTCACGAGTTGTTTGATACATATGCAGATAGCCACGATGGTTTACAGGGTCGTCATCGTCAAAGGGATAACCAGAGTGGTCTCTTGTAGCCTCGGCATCGTTGGCTGCGCTATGCTCACTGCGACGTCGCAATTCCTCACGGAACTCTTCTTCGCGTAGATCCTCCTCTTCGTCAGATTTGTGCTTATCGGGCGGTGGAGCTATTGGGTGACGCCCTCTGCCACGTCTTGTTCTATAGGACATCGCAAAGGCTTCGGAATGTTCAATATCGAAAGCCAACCACTCTGGCCCCGTCGGCGTTACGTTTCGTTCGGCGCCATGATAGAACAAAGTGCCTGCCGGTACAGTAGCTGGGAAGAAGCCGAATCCATTGTGATAAAGAGCTGATCCGAATAGTCGACCGGCAGAATGGATTGCATTCAGGACCATGTGCGCTCGATCTTCTGCATGCTTATGGTCTGGCTGTATTCGTTCTTTATTTTCGTTTCCATTTGCGATGTGGAGAAACAGCGACAAGAAAACGCCGAAAGAAGCTTTGGGGACCATCTTCACTTATCGCATCGGGATATCTTCAGTTGTATGGCAAGTCCTAGAGGTTCTGATGCTCATACACTCATATCAGTAAGACTCATCCTCTTCGGCGGGCCGCGCGGCCCAGCAAAGTTGCCCACCCTGGTTGCCGCTATCCACATCCCGTGACTGGTGATTCTAGGCCAATCTTATTCAGGCTGCGTGGAGATGTTAGATCATCTCGAGATTGATAACGAATGCCTTTTGTGGGGAGATCTCCTCTGCTCAATTGGGAAGCTTGGCATTTTGGGTCGCCGTTTGAGTATTTTCCCTACAACGACTGACCACCCTCTCCATGATCTCCTCCATATTCATGGTGATTGTCGATAAATGATAGCATCGCATGCGACCAATGTAGAGCTCTTCGGTCGCAGTATTGTGACAGGCGCGATTGCACGATCCTTGAGCGACGCAAGGCCACAGGATAGTTGATGTAGACGACGCGATTAAGTCAATGCGGCTATGCCCATGCCATCGGTCGCGTCTGTAAAAGATTTGAGTAAGGACCATGAATCCATGATAGAGTGAAGTATGAGGGCATGGTATCATGAGTCAGCACTCCCAGGAAAGGTTCGAGGGCCTGTTGGTACCGGTACATCGATTGTTCGCGCCAGTTGTTTCACTGCTTAATCTTCGTCGACTTTTGAGTGATACTGGAGGGTTGGAGTGCATGTCGTGGCTGCACGGCGCCCGGAAACTCGCCTGTCCGCGTCCTAGATCTGTTGAGTGACCTGGTGCAACACATCCAGAGTAACTACAGATCCAATGAAGGTGGTTGTGAGGCACATGCAACAGTGCCGATGGTGGGGTGATGGGCACAGCATCAAACCTCAAAAGGCTCACCGCTGGTCAGTGATCAAGGGAACGCATAGATTCAAGGTCTTTTGATATATGCTCTGGAACCTTGATGCATTGAACTAGGGACATATCGGTAGGTATGGTCGTAAGCCACCATTGACGTTGAGACTGAACACTGGTGGCCATCATACGAGTCGAAAGACAGCTGACCGAACGCCGAGACGGTGAACGATTTCACAAGCCACGATCTGTACGAGGGTTGTACCGGATGCCGTGCAAATTCGGTGAGGCGGCTATTCTTAAATAGGGTATTGTTGTCGAAGAAGTCATGGTGAGAATCGTGTTGAGATGAAGTGTTGAGTTGTGATTGAAGATCCTTGACATCGACTGCGAAGAGTTTGTTGAAGTCTGTAATGTCTTACAAGACTTTGTGCTGCAGGATTAATTGTCGAAGGACCCTTTCAGCTTGAGACATTCCTGCCACCCGTAAACAAAGGGCTTGTAAATCCAAGGTCAGTCAGTATTCCAGGCTCGAGGCAAACAATAGATGCTTTCAAGCATCATGGTTAGAAGGAGTACCTTGCATGCTCACCGCGGTCCCATTACAGATCCAATCGTGTAGGATCCATTCCAGATGGGTGGATGAATTCATGGATGTCTTCCCCGAGCCTTGAAGAATGAAGGACTGGGGGCAGGTTTCCACCCGGGGAAGGAACCCCGCCTACAGCTGCCCTGCCCCCAGACTTTGTGGGACGATCTTCCAAGCTCCAAGCTCCAAGCTCTAAAGCTCACGCAATTCATGTCGCCAGCGCGGGGTTCGGCTGCGCTACTGTAGTCAATTCTTCGGGTACCTCGGGTTGGCAGCCGCTAACACGTACAGTAGTGTACTTCTTTCAACTGACAGCTCTATGATCTCCACGACAGCTCCGGGGAATAAAAGAGCTTACCCTGGATTTCTGTTCCTGTCACTAGCTCATAAGGAGGGAGGGGTTACAGCTTAGATTGGAGTTTATTTTGTTACACAACAGCAACTCAATGGTGAGCTCGATATGAATGAAGCTAAACCAATGATGCCGTGGCTTCCTTCTCTGACTGGTTCGGACAAGCTGGAAGGACTTCAGGGTCCCCCTCTTACTACCTTCCTTGTGCTCAGAAATGTCACTCGTCGTATTTCATCTTCCTGCTCTTTCCTCTTCTCCTCACCTCAGTCACTTCATCCAAACCTTCCACCAGTACATGCTACACTCACGAATGTGACGCCGTACCTGCATCAAGCACGTTGGCGGCGCTTAGATTTATTACTTTGTATCCCCGACAAGAGCTTCAATTGCAACGGCTTCATTTCTTTGTTGATTGTAACAAATACCCAGTTTCACGATCCGATTCACACGATCTGGTGATCTCATAGCGCATATCAGACCACCTTCTTCATTACCTCACTTCACCTTGCACCCTCGTTCGCCTGACCCCCCTTTCCGTGATCCCGGGCTCTTCGGCTTTGATAATTCGATTTCATTACTTGTGAAAGTTGATAACAGGGAATTTACTCTCTCAGTTAACCACCGAGATAAGATATTGCCAGGGAAGTGTCGTCAACTAATACACATTCGACGCACCTGAGCAAGCAGGTGCCACTTGCAGTTGCAGTTTCCTACACTACGCCCGCTGCTCCTTCCTCCCGCCCAAAATCTTGACTGGTCACCGTGTTTCTCTTTTCTCCTCACCCAAATCCTGGTCAATCAACCCATTGCTTGATTCATCGCCTTCCCAAATACGGGCTCTCATCCAAACATAAGTCAACGTGATATCACAATCCAAGCTTTGTCCATCTTCAGCACGCCACTCATCTCCTCACCTTGACATTTATCTGTCTGCTCACCTTGTCACCGCGTCCTTAACTGGCTGTTTCCCCCACGTTCTTCCACGGTAACCCTCCCCGCCCCCAGCTTGTGGCTCGATTTGGTCTGCCACCTTTTCTCTTGTTTTACAAGATATCATCAAGTACAGTACATTGACCCTGGTCCCCTCCTGCAGAGACCCGCGCTGACGGGGCAAGAACCTACCAGCATCCCATCTTGTGCCTGTGTCTAGTCGTCCGGGTATCAAAAAGATTGGCTGCTGAGAGCACAAGGAACGAAATAACTTGTACATTTTACATGAGTTCAGGACGGCTCTTAGCCTACAAACTTTTGTCGTCCTAAGTCTTGGAGGACATTTTCCTGCTACCTACCTGGCAGGACCTACTACCATCGTCCAAGTACCTCACCCCTCGTCCCTGCCTTTTGACTTGTCTGACCTGATCAAGGGGGTGTTCCAAGGCAGGTATATCTTGCCTCTCGACTGCAATCCTTTTCTCTTTTTCTCATCCTTTCCACATCCCTCTGCTCTACCTACATTGTGGACTTTGACTCTCTCTTCACCTTCAAGAGACTGTCGTTTCGTTTCAACTCGCCGATAATCTATTACCCCTCCATCCTTTTCATTACCCCGCCAATTCTTGCGAGCAACCGCCATCATGAGTTCCAACAAGCCTACCCGCAAGTTTTCCACGGGCGCCACCTCGCACCGCAAGAGGCAGATGAGCCTTATGGTCGAGAAGGATGGCCATGTCAATGCTCCTCTTCAGGTGAGATCATTCTATTTCTTATGTCATTCTACTTTCTCATATCATGTCTGCTATGTCATGACACCTTGCGTCATAGCAACTTCAATTGTTTGTTCATAATCCCTGCATAGGGTCCATTGTCGATTTTTTAGACTTCTTCAGCAACGACTAACACAACTCAATTACAGACCTTGTACCTGGGTATCTCTGCCGTCTTCGCCGATGACCATACCGCCGTTATTGCACTTGCCATTCACGACACTGTTTATCTCAATGACTTCTCTATCAAGCACATCTCTCTCGATGAGGAGATGCGTGAGGGACAGGATCTCATTGCGGATCACATCATCAGTGAGGTCGAGGCTTACGAGCATGACAACTTTGTCAAGTTCATTGGAGCCGGTCTCCCTGTCACGCTCAAGTATATGAGCCCTTCTCTGTGCTCGCGTCTCTGGCTGGATCTGGATATTGTCCCTGTGGTCCTTAGACCTGACCATGAGGCGAAGGAGAAGAACTTCTGGGATGTCAAGCGCGTCGATGAGCAAGCCGATTCCATGGCTCGCAAGTGTATTCTGTGAGTCGCCATCAATCACTGTCATTGAGTGACTACTGACCGCATACATTAGAAACTTCGGGCCCTCTCTCACACCGCATCTTCAGGTCGGCTACCGAGGCATTGTTCAGACAGATGCAGGATTCCGCGTCCATCTTACAAATCTCCAAAACCACAAGGATACCTGCTCCAGCGCCACGTGGAACGCTACACAGTTCTACGCTAACAAGCTGCGTGAGAAGAAGACTAAACTCGCCTTCTTCAGTGCTACCCCACAAGGCGGTGGTGTTGCCCTCATGCGACATGCTCTTGTCCGTCTCAGTCGCCTCATGGGAGTAGACGTGACCTGGTATGGTAAGTTCAGGCACAATAAGAACTCATCGCTCTCAATTGACTAACCTTCTTAGTTCCCAAGCCACGACCCGGTGTTTTCAGAATCACCAAGAACCAGCACAACATCCTTCAAGGTGTCAGTCACCCTGACCAACGAATCTCTGATGCAGAGAAAGGTGCCATCACCGACTGGATTGAGGACAATGCCAAGCGATACTGGCTCTCTGAGGGTGGTCCCCTTCGTCCCCCAGAGGAGGGTGGTGCCGACATCATTTTTGTAAGTCTAATCACTCTTAGAGTTATTGGTGTAAAGGGAGATGTGCGACTAACAACGGTGCAGATCGATGATCCTCAGATGCCTGGACTTATCCCCATGATCAAGAGACTCACTCCTAATCGCCCTGTTCTTTACAGATCTCACATCCAAATCCGAAGTGATCTCGTTGCCAAGGAAGGATCACCTCAGGCCGATATCTGGAACTATCTCTGGAGCAACATCAAAGAGTCCGACATGTTCATCAGTCACCCCATTCCCAAGTTCGTTCCTCATACCGTTCCCAAGGAGAAGGTTGTCTACCTTCCTGCTACCACAGACTGGATTGATGGCTTGAACAAGCACATGAACAAGTGGGACACTGGCTACTATGCCCATATCTACAACACGCAGTGCAGAAACCAACGAATGACCGAACTTGACTGGCCCAACCGTATGTCTATGTTAGATACTCTCCAAAAAGCCTGACTGACTCAATGCTATAGGCAAATACATCGCGCAGGTCGCGCGATTCGATCCTGCCAAGGGTATCCCTACTGTCATCGACTCGTACGCAGAGTTCCGTCGCCGCTGCGATGAGGCTAACATCACTGATGTTCCCCAGCTTGTTGTGTGAGTCACTTGAGTGAGCGAAACACATCCTTGACTAACTGGTGAAGCTGCGGTAACGGTTCCATTGACGACCCAGACGGAGCCATCATTTTTGACCAGACAATGACTCAACTGGAAGATCATTATCCTCACCTCCTCGACGACGTTAGCGTCATGCGTCTTGACGCCAATGACCAGCTTCTCAACATGGTCATTGCCAACGCCCATGTCATTCTCCAGCTGTCAACTCGTGAAGGATTTGAGATCAAGGTCTCCGAAGCTCTCCATGCGGGTGTTCCTGTCATCGTGTCCAATGAAGGTGGTATTCCTCTTCAGGTCAAGGACAAGGTCAATGGATATCTTGTTACCCCTGGTGACTACAAGACTGTTGCCGGACATCTCATGGACTTGTACACTGATACCGAGCTCCATGCTAAGATGTCTCGTGAGGCCAAGAACGGTGTTAGTGATGAGGTTGGCACTGTCGGCAATGCCCTGGGTTGGTTCTACCTGGCTGCCAAGTGGCAGGAGCTTGGTACTAACCCTGGCCTTCGTGGTGACGAGAAGTGGGTGAACGACATGGCTCGTGAAGAAGCTGGATATCCCTACACCGAAGGCGAGAACCGTCTGCCTCGTCACTACACTCAGCGCAAGGAGGAGGAGAAGGTGCAGGAGAACGGTCATGATGAGTAGACGCGTATGCTTGCTGTTGCAAAGAATTACTAAAACGTTCCGTGTCCTTGAGAAAGTTTATACATGCACGACATGTCTTGCTGCCAGGTAGTTTTGTGCAGCTTCTGGTCACCTTCACTGAGGAATATAGTATGATTTCATGAAAGAAAATATCACTTATGCATCTATCCTTGATTGACGTTACACTGTAATGTGCGGTTATCCGTAGTGGTATATGATTTCCTATATTTGTTTCCAGCACAAAGTCCCGAATAGTATCAGTCTGCTCACTGTATTAGGTAGAGAGGTTCTGCGGGAGATTTTGTGGTGGGTTTTGCGTTGTCACTGTCGGGCAGGTGCAAGGCAGCTGCGTCCCGTCTGCAGAAAACATCCGCGACTCACCGCGGAAGGAGTGATTGCAAATCACTAGCTCTCTTCCATATCATAACAAACTCCCCAAAATCATGTTTCCTGCTTGCATGGTCCCCTGTTGAGACCCTCTACTTTTCATTTCTGTTGTTTGTTTGCCGCGCTTCTTTTCCTTTCCACTCGCTGTTTCCAGGTGCAACGGAACCTGAATTCATTCCTTTCCCTTTCTTTCTTCTTTCTTTCAAACCGTCGCAGTGATCGCATCCTTCACATCAACCTAGCGATCATGTCACCTCCACCCTCGGATGGAGCTCTTCAGCCTCAGCCTGCACCCGAGCCTGCCGCTCAATCTGTTCAGCCTACAACTCCTCTTGTAGCTCAATCTGCAGCTGAGCTTGTAGCTGAGATCGCTGCTGCTCATCCTGCTGCTCAGCCTACTCAGCTTGAAGTCCAGCCTGTAACCCAACCTGCAATTCATGGCGATGTCATGAATCCTGCTCGGGCGCAGATGCTTGCTCAGGTCGCCCAAGGAACAACTAGTCCGTCACCACCACCAGATCCCAAGATCGAGGGGGAACGTCGGGTTGGTCCTCTCAAATCTGGTGCAAACTGCAGTGAATTGGGCGATCCTTCTCGGCGCATCTCTCGGGCCTCCCAGCAGCCCGAAGATTCGCGAGCGGCCTCTGTTTTTAGGTCAGACGTGAGCCTCTCGCGCCCACGAAAGACCGTGAACTTTGCTAGGCTGCCAAAGCGTCCCTCAAGCATGCTGATCAAGGAGGAGGAAGATGTGAAAGAAAAGAAGCCGAGGCTCAGTTCGCGCTACTACACAGACATTCAGTCACTTGGTCCAGGTAAGAGCCAAATCAAGTGACCCTGGAGTATTCGCTGACATTAGTACAGCTCCTCATCCAGACGAGCACACACGATACCTCACATCCCTCCTCCGTAACCGAAAGCTGTTCCTCACTCTACAGCGTCTCCCGAAGAAGGATGACGACTTGATCGAGCCCAAGACTTACGAGTTTCGCATCTCCCAAGCGGGACTGGTGCAGCATGAGAAATTCTCTATCATTGCCCACACTCGAGCTCTTCCACTGGTTCCGCAAGGCTCGGCCGATGGAAACATCTCGCAGACCATCGTTGGTGAGCTGCTTGAGGACGTCTGGCCAAATTTGTCCAGGCAGGAAAAGTATCAGTACGCTCGTCAGCTTCGCAATATACTTCAAAAGTTGCGATCCAATGACAGAGCTTCAAACAGGAACTTTGGGTCGATCCAGGCGGGACCATACAGTCTCATAGTTGACAACCACCCGAGCCACACCTACTACGCTGTGAGGGTTCGACCAAGCCAGGAGGAGTTCATGGCACTGCTAACATCCACACTGTATTCCTCGGTTCCCAAGCAGGTGGGTAAAGCTCTTGTGAAGCAATTCCGCAGGGACTATCCATGCGTCCTCACGCATGGGGACCTTTGCCCCAGAAACATCATCGTCTCCAACCACACAATCACATGGATCCTCGGTTGGGACTGTGCAGGATACTATCCTGTGTGGTGGGAGTACGCGCGATTCTTTGAGGCGAGAACCAGCGAGGGCAACAGCGATTGGTATGAATATGCCGAGGAGATCTTTGTCGATGAGTATCCGACAGAGCTGGCGGCCTACCAGGGCATCGCCAGATGCCAGCAGCCTTGATTTCTTTGGGATGAGTGCGGTATGCGATTTGCATGCCCTGGAGTTCGGGGCCTTCAAACAGCAATGAATGGGTGCTCACAGCAAGTCGAAGTTTTTTGGGGCATGATATGCCAGGTTTCGGGTCACTATGTGTATTTATTCTTCGGAGATTCTTTTATTGAATCTCATGGTACTATACACTCGGTATCTTGACAAACAAACAATTTGCGCCCGGTCGATGATCCGTCGACATCGTTGCGCAAAGTCAATCGCTATTTTGACATTCATCCTCATTCAAGCTTTACGCTTTGCTATTATGGACCAATTTATTTCTCAAATCGCTTGGCGACAGTGCCCCAGTTGATAACCTCCCAGATGGCGCTGAAGTACTCAGCCTTGCGGTTCTGGTACTGGAGGTAGTAGGCGTGCTCCCAGGCGTCAATTCCGAGGAGGGGCTCGAGGTTGCCAGTAACGGGGTCCTGGTTAGGTCGGGTAACGATGGACAGAGTGCCAGCGTTCTTGTCCTTGACGAGCCAGGCCCAGCCGGAGCCCTGGATACCAGCAAGAGTAGCGTTGGTCTGCTTCTTGAAAGCATCGAAAGAACCAAAGTCCTCGTTGATGGCAGTCATGAGCTTACCCTCGGGCTCACCACCACCGCCCTTGCCGTTGGGAGCAAGGTTCTCCCAGAAGAGAGAGTGGTTGACGTGACCACCACCGTGGAAGTTGAGAAGAGGAGCCTGAGCAGCAGCGGCCTTGGCGTCGCCCTTGTGGTTGGCCTCGGCGAGGGCGTCGGAAGCGTTGTTGAAGCCGGTGACGTAGGTCTGGTGGTGCTTGGAGTGGTGAAGCTCCATGATCTGACCAGAGATGTGAGGCTCAAGAGCGCCGTAGTCGTCTGGGGCAACTGGTCAGCTAGCAATTGGAGTTTGCGTATTGGAAGAACGTACAAGGAAGGTCGGGAAGAGTGGCCTTGCCGCGGACGAAGCTGGTGGTAGCCATGGCCGCGAGAGGAGTAGAGCGGGCGCGCAGGCCGGCGCGGAGGGCGGGAGTTGATCGAAGGAGAGCGGAAGCCATTGTGGAAGCTATTCTGAAGGTATTATTAGTATTGAATCAATTGAATGAAACCGAACTCGATGGTGATGAAGAAAGTGAACAAATGCTTGCTAAAGAATCTGGACAATTGATGAGAGACAAGACTTACGAGACTGTCTGATATAGTCGGTTGATAATCTTTGTGGATGATGTCAAAAAAATGGAAGAGGAGGGGCAGTTACTGGGTTAAAGAGCTGCTGGACCCGGCAATGTCGGACTGCCGAACCAGACCAGAGGGAGCTTGGATCAATCTGTCGTCATATTTTCGAGAGCTTGACTTGATGGATGCATGGGCTTGAAGATTGTGGCTGGTGTGGCTTTACAGGTTGAAGATGAAGTTGAATCACAGCAACAGCAATGATCATTTATTTCTTTTACTATTGTAATATTTATTTGGTTGTTCTTTTCTCGTACATCCGGTTGTTCAAACTCATCCTTTGGGTATAGAAGAACAGCTGTGGTTGTACAATACCGGTGATAAACTCAATTACCATCGTCATCATAATCATGAAGTTTACCGTGCTCGGTCTTGCTGGGGATACCGAGCAGCAACACTGAATGAATCAGCGGGAAATAACCTGTTCAGTTCTAATCCATGAAGAGTTTCGAAGCTGATTCTCGAATTCTCGATTCCAAATACCCATTTCTCCGAGTGCCGATCTCGGATAGCGAAACTGTGAGCTGCGAATGACGCAAAATTGGTGGCCTACCTTGACTTACAGGTGCGACTATTGCATTCTCTACTGCATGAATCTCAATCATATCTCTAGGTAGTTCGATAGTCCTCATTGATAGACAAGTTGATAGAACGTATGTTTCCCGAACACAATTTGGTTGTGCTGCAGGGTAAGCAAAAGATTATGTCATCGCCCAACGCGTAAATCACAACTCCAAACCTCTCTACGCGTCTCCCTCACCTCCAAATCACCAACCACATCAAAAAAGTTAACTTCAAGATGTCGTACTATGACATTGACTCCATCCTCACGGAGGCAGAGGTAACGCCCTCAAACTCACTCCTACCGAATCATGCAGAAACTGACAAACCCGCAGAAAGTCCCCTGCCAATTCGAAATCGACGTCCCCTACCTAGGCCATCTCGATAACTCTCCCCACGGCCTCAAAGCAAACACCCCTCTAACCCTCCCCCTCTGGCTCGCCGAAATGCTCGCCCTCGCATCAACACCCACATCCAGCGCACCCCTAACCCTCAACCTCCCGCCGTGCCTTTCCACCGCTGTTCTCTCCGCTTTAAAAGCTGATCCTCGCGCTGTGCCGTTACGAGACCAAAGTCCTCATTTCTACGGCGTGGGCGTTCGTATGCTGGATTTGTTTGATGAGAAGGATGTTGCCGAGGTGTTGAGAAAGACTTTCGTTGTCAGGGCGGGTGAGGTTGGATTGCATGCGAGAAAGGCGGATGAGGCGGGAGTCGGGAATGGGGAGGAGTTTTTGAGAGGGTTGGAGGAGTGGGAGAGGGGAATATTCAGAAGAGGACATGAGGGAGTCAAGAACGCAAAGGAATGGACGGAGAAGGTTAAGAAGACTTGAGAGTTATGATGGTGGTCAGGATAGAGATACCCATGAGTTGCCGTGAGGCACTACGCGTCTACGATAAACTACAACTAGAAGCACAAAAAAGAACCACCAAATTCAGTCACATCACATAGAAAGAACAATAATGCAGGGATAAAGCGTGCATCTTTCAGCACAGTCTATTACTGACTCTGACTGTTATGTCTCAAGCCAGCAGAGGTTCCTATCTGTAGGCAAACGGTACTCATCAACCCATTCGCTCAGTACTTTTCCAACCGAACGATACAAGCCCGGCGCATTTCCCTGCATGCCGCTCAGATTTCTAAAACCCCTGAATATCCCCAAACACCGAACCCAACCCAAATGCTCTTTGCTCTAACCAGTACAAAGCACACAAAAAATGGCGAACTCTTCAAGCCATACCGCCCGTCCGAACAGGCACAAAACAACAAAAAAACGCCATATGCTCTGATATCCCCAGCAACTCCCTTCATCCTCATTTCATGTACAGTTTGTGATGAAAATAGTAATGGCAATAAAAAATGCAACCGACTCCTCTTTTTCCTCTCCTGGGAAAATTCCTTCCAGATACCGACCCGGCCCAGTTATATATCGTAGTCGCGCGATGAAGCACTTTCGATCGCGCTGAGAATAAACGTATAGGCTTCGCACCGCTCAAGCGGTCGAACCTTGCTTGGCTGCCCATCTAGGGCTCAACAGCCAGGATTGAAACGTATCCACCAGTTTAGTTTGCCAAGGTGACTCGCTGAAAATAAACCAGAGAGAAAAGGTAGTAATCATCGACGCCGTGACGGTAAAGAAAAAGGAAGTGAAAAGAGAATAAAAGTCGAAATAGTGACGAAATAGAAATAACCACAATCATAGAACAGGCTCCTGAAATCATTATGTGTGAAGGCGAATGTGAAGTGGTAAATAAGCAAGGGTGTGATGCTTGCTCATCAAGAATATTGGCGTGCGCGTTCACCAGAACGGCACAACACCGAGGAATAGTAGTCTTAGCCAACTGGGCCATCATCGTATCGACTCAAGTTGGGCTTAGGCTCGGGCTCGGACGCGAGTGGTTAAGGCTTCTTCTTGTGCAATCCTCATCCCTCGAGGCACGAGATGCTCACCGATGAGTCGATGTTGAGATCGATATTGGTGAAGCATGTCACCCGATGGAAGTAGGGAGGATATTGATGCAAGAAGATCGAGCTTCATGATCATTACTCATACTGCGGAGCATTTAGGAAACCCAGAGGCCGTTATCGGGCATACTCATATGGGACATATCTTGAAAGGTGGCAGGAGTGATAGTGTTGGAAGAAGAGAGATTGGACCCATAGGCAGAAGTGGCATGCTCGGAGTAGGCATAGTTGTCAGGGAGTCCGACAATAGGAGAGCCGTTGGAGAAAGGTGAGTAGCCGAAATTACCAGAGGCAGACGAGATGGGAGCCGGAATAAGCTCGCCATTGACACTAGCCATGATGGCAGGATCAGCAGCACCGTCAACGGCGAGATCGTAGCCAGTCTCCATGTTGAAAGGAACCATGTTGCTACCAATGCCCTGGAACATCTCCATCTGGGGAGGCATGGATCCTTCCATCTCGTTCTCAGCCATGTCATCAGACTCATCTTGCTCAGCCATGGGGGACTCATTCAAGTCAACTTTGACTTTCTTCTCGACGAACCAAGCCTTGAGTTCGGACATGGGAGGCCAGTCGCCACCACCCTTACCACCACGCTTCTCATCAGAGTTGGCACCCTTCTTACCGCGAGGGGTCTTGGGCTTGAAATGAGTGCGTCTAAGATGAGCAGCGGCGTTGTAATAAGCACCGTACTCTTTGCCGGAGATGCAGGCCTTGCACTTAGACAAGGGGTTGACAGCCTTGACATTGGTGGGGATGCCAACAGTCTCGGGATCTCGACAGACGAACTTCTTGACAGTGCCTTCGTGCTTAGCATTGACGTGTCGGCGAAGCTCATGATCACCACGGAAACCATCGGGGTGCTCGCTACACTGAGTGCAGTAGACCTTGGGGTGCTTGGGACGCTGGTAGTTGCTCTTGTTGACGGGAAGCTTGGCCTCCCTGTTGGCGGCAGCAGCGCTGGCTTCCCTGGCAAGCTCCTCCTTAGGCTTAGGGGCGAGCTGAATGGTCTTGGCCGCCTGCAGAACACGCTCTCGGGCTTCCTTAGCACGTCGCTCCAGGTTGGAAGCATTTGATCGAACACTCGACATGCTAGCGTTGGAGCAAGATCGCTCCATGTCGGTCGACTCGGGGGATGCCATCAGAGTGTTTCCATTGGAGTCGACGTACTGCTGAACGTTGGCAGCGGTGAGGTTGGCGCCGAGACCGAAGAGATCTTGCTCAGAGGTGTATTGCTTGCCGGCAGGGTACATGTTGACAGAAGCAGGAGACATATCGGGAACGAAGAGCGCATCGGCTTGAGACTGGCAGGATTCCATGCGCTCCATGCCGACACCGTAGTTGTCGAAAGAGCTGTTCTGGCGGGTCAAGGGGCTCGCGGCCTCGGCGGCAGAGGGACCAGAGATCATCGAAGGGCAGGCGGACGACATGGGATAACTTGAAGGAATGGTTGACGAGAGGTTGGAGTAAGAGGCGTCGGGCACCATGTTGTAAGCCATTCCGGTGAAGGATGAGTCGTAGTGCTGAGGAGCTTGAGGAGTCTCGGGCCACTGTTTTAGGAAGTCTTCAGGGTCCATGCCGATGTTGAGTAGAGGCTGGTTCTCCTGAACGGCCTGTAATTGATTTGAGGCGGCTTCAAGAGGCAGGTTGCTAGACTGATTTTGAGGCGAGCTGAACCGGTCCATGGAAGAACTCAAAGGGGCGATGCGGTTTCCGGTTTGTGTGAAAGGCATATGAGACTCTGAACGATTTGAAACACTGCGGCTCATGGGGAGGGCGGAGTTTGACTGTTGAGAAAAGGCCCTTCTCTCACGTTTATGCGCCTGAAAGCGTTCCTACATTGATGAGATTAGATAAATGGAGATGAAGGGTCAGGGTGGGAATGTATTACCGTGATGGCAGACTTTATTTGTGTGGGATATGTAACGGTGGACTTGCTACGGGAGAGACCGACACTTCGTGCATTTGAGACACCATTGCTGGGGATCTGAAACCCTCCCTGAGCAAAGTTCTGAGCGACATGATTTAGGACTGTAGGGTCTCCGTTGAATTGACTTTGCACGAACTGCTCAAGCTGTGAATTTCTTGCGTTGGCGGCTTCTAGCTGACGTTGTAGCTCCTCGACAGTGTTGACGTTTTCTAGATTCATTATAGATAATGAGATGAGATGTAGATCGATAGATAGATAGTGTTTGATAGGGATAGCCTTGAAATGTTGATAGGCGTATGTAAGGCGAGTAAGTGGATGCTGAGCTGAGTAGATGGATAAGATAAGTTGTAGCGTAGCTGGAGTGTAGCGTTTGGAGAAGTGAAGAAAACCCAAGGCGAACCGAACTATTGAATGAGAATGAATACAAGTCTCGGATTTGCGACAGGCGAAAAAGATTAAAAAGTGGGATAGTTGGAGTCGAGACAGACGACGAAGAAAAGAAGGTGAACGAGATGCGGATGGGATGGAGGATTAATAGGTGAGCCAGGATGGAGGAGAACAGGCGGCCCAGTCGTTCTGAATGAGGCTTCCAGAGTCCCCACTCAGTTAGTGACAAGGATTGTGAAGGGACAGGGATGTTGTAGTGTAGCTTGGGAAGGATATTCAAGGGTGGTGGAACTGGGCGGTATTTGCGAGCTGCGGTGTGTAAGGTATCCGTATGGATGGTTAGGTTAGGTTAGGTTAGGTTAGGTTGCTTGAACGAGACAACGTCTGTGGGTGGGCGGTCTAATTAGGCTTGGCCTGACCTGGCTGAAAATGCAGTGCTTGACTACAAATGGTGTCGGGTGTGATGATGATGTAGCGTTGCGTCTTGTGTGGTGTGTTTAAGCAGCAGATTCCCGATTTTAGACTTGACAGATTTCAAGGTCTTGGTCTTTGATCTTTGAGGCAGATGTGATAGTGCCCGATGGCCTGACGTGACCTGAGGTGTTGAGATTGACGAGGTGAAAAGAGACAAGATCCTGCAAATGAGATGTATCGTAAATGATCCTTGGTGTCATACGTATGCTATGCAGATAATAAAAGAAGCTTGTGGATATGGGTTTGATGATGCTGCTAAACAGATGCCGTGTTGTTGAGATTGAAACAAACATGAAAATGGGAAGTGGACCAGCATTAGTATCAGAAGGGGAATGGTGGCAAGGTACGACACATGGAATTGGAACGTCGACGGGCTAGACATGGCACTAATAAGACGGGATACGCGTGACGACGACAACTGCACTTTGAGTTTTGCTCTCTGACAGACAGCGTGGGGTAGGCACGGTAGGTCAGTTTGACTTTGATTTACAGCGGTCCACCCACTACAAACCAACGGCTACCACTGGGAAAAAACCACCACTGAAATCAACGGATTGCTCGGGATGGATATACTAATAAAACACCCCAGGGTAGAATATGTGACTGGACGTGCCCAAAAAAAGAGTGTTGTGTTAGAAGAACGGACAACTCACCAAACCCTTGTCCTGTAATTGTTACTTGCTGACACGCCCGGTCAGTGCATGCAGACGCTGTTGGATCTGAAGCGATTGGTCCTCTCCTCACAAGGTCTGGCTTGCTGCGACCACTAGAACCTCGTTTCTCATTGCGCGTACAGCACAGCACATCTCTAATCACTGTCCACGAGATGCCATGCTTTGAAACGAGGCATATTCTATGGCTTTGACATTCTGATTCCAGCAGGTCAGAGGCTCAGCTGCATCAACGTCAAAGTGGTGGGCTGTGTATGGTCTGTTCACTAGATATTGACAATACTGCACTATCACTCAGCGGAATCAATTCCCACTCGATCCCCAGCTCTCAACGATCTAGGACTGCTCTCCAGTCAGACAGAACGGCAGGCCGCATATCTTCTGACACCTCAAATGTTCGTTCAGTTTCCGACCACCGAACCGTGCTCTAAACATTCTACGTAATGGTTAAGCGGCACAGCATCATCATCATAGTTCATGACTCTGAGGAAACAAAAAGGAAAGAGAAAAGAAAGGAAGAAGCAATGTGATACAGCGCAAGCAACAGCCACAGCCTGCGCAGAGAAGACGCCATGACGGCATCCCCCTTCGATCCTTGCTACAGGGTACGCAGTACGAAATCGGCAGCTCCAGAAAACGAAAAAAGCAAAAAAAGAACGAAGGAAAAGAACACATCAACCCAGTGCGCCTCTTCCTTGTCAGACCTTGAACCTGCGAGATGTCATGGCTCATGCCTATTCCTGTCCTGGTTTAGCAAATCATCCTCCATCCCACCAAAGCGGGCACTCTGGAGATGGGGATGCGGATCCGATTAAGATAACCCAAGGCAGGCAAATCATTTTACCCATCAAGCCCAAGCCCATCTCTTTTTCTTGCGCCTGCTGTGCTGTGCTGTGTTGGTTGCTGTACAGCACAGCGCGTCAAGGTGAGTTGAACATGTCATGCGCTAACCCGCTAGACTAATTGACCGGCTGCACGTTGAATGCCAGCCAGGCGCAGGTGCTGCTGTCAGTTCCCGGACAAGACGCGGACAAGAATGGAGTCTAGTACGTAGTAGTATTTTAGGTCTTATGCTGTGCTGTAAGGTCTGTTCTGTTTTAGCTTGTTTGAAGATATCCCCGATCAAGCAGGTACCTAACTATGTAATTAATGTAGGTGTAGTTTGATGAACACGGACGAAACATCGTTAATGCTTCCTTACAAAGTTAATATTATTTTGGCTGTTGTTCTGCAATTCAGTGTTCCGTGCTTGTTACTATTTTCAGCCCTGCTATAGTAGCAACAGCATCTAGCTGAGAAGGGTGTAGTGCACTCCCAGTCTCTGCCAAAACAGAATTTGATATGAGATTATCTCATACGCGAGATCACATCGAAAACTAATCCACGAGCCGGTTGACGACGGCACTGCTGATCACCATTTTCCCTGCTTGACTCTCAAAGCCAGGAACAGGATTAATGTGCCGCCGACGTACGTGTTGACGATATTTCAGCTGAGAGAACAAAGAACAACCCCTGGCATGAAACGGTAATTGTTAAAGAAAATGTTATTGATCGAAAGCATCCTCAAGGATTCTATAAATCGAGAACAAACACAAACAAATTCTCACCTCATATCATGTTCCCTTCCTTCCCTCCTCAAACAACCAACTGTGAGCTCTCATAAAAAAGGATGCCATCACCACAAAGACTGTCTCCTAAATGGGTTTGGTCTCTTCCTTTCTCCAACGGGTAGAATCCCTAATCCCTGCATCAGGTACACTCCATCTTCTTTTTAGCACCCACCTCTTTACGCAAAACGAGGCAATCACTGAGACGGGGCATCCATCGATTGGCTGTCGAACGCGGTCAGCCATACCCACCCTCCATCTCGATTGGCTCCCGCAGTCGTAAAGAGTGAGGCGGACGGCGCCATCACTTTAACAGCTAACAGCTAACAGTAACTGTACTACACTATGCCTAACTCACTCAATCAATCCCATTACTGCATTGTGCCAACGTCCAGTCTATCAGAGAGATACTGTAGGCAGTCATTCACCAGATCAAGCAGTTCAACTACATGACACCCTCTTCTATAGTATAGTTTGTTGTGTTTTGATATTCCTCCGGAATAACCTCCAATGCTACTCTGTTTCTGCTGGGACCAGGTGCCCATGTTACCCAAGTCCCCGTCTTCTTCCCCCATCCCATCCCATGATGATGATCTTCGGTGACGAATTCTGCGTAGCATCACCACCGCAGTCTAGACCTAATGATCTTCATGACCGGTATTTGCCAACTGCACGCTGCACTCTTCCGTTTGGTCAGACAATCGCCCGAGTATTGAGTGTCATGCACGCCAGGCAGTTGGAGTTGCATGCGCTATCGATGGTTTCGGGTTTCTTCTGACTCTGACTCGAACTCGACAAAGCTTGGCGCAATTCTATACAGACTACCTACCGTCCTCTATTCCTAACATAGGAACGGCAGCACTGAGCACGGCCATAAACCCCCGTGTTATAGTTTGCTTCTCATCTATGCTATGCTGGGTACTAGTATCTCGAAACTGTAGTCTATCTCCACGGGAAATCCTTCCGATCCAATAGTTCACTTTCCATAGTCGCAAGATATTCTGTTTCCCTTCGTCCGAGACGCCTTTCTCGAGATTAGATTGCGATGGATTTTGGACGGATTCACTTAGACAAGTCCCACTTTCTAACCGTATTGTTGCCCCTGGACATGGAATCTTTCTTTTTTCTTCTTGGCTTAATCTTTTCCTTGCGGTGATCATGCAGGCTCGACCCCCGTCTCAACTCTCATTTTTACGCAGATCATTGATGGACTGTTCCATTGATAGCTTCATGACCGTGCTGGTGCACGTGCAATAATACGACTCCCCATCGAGAATGGAGTGATTGATGCGTTGGCAATTTGGGTTGATCCGCTGCTCGGCTTAGCCACGTGCCTGATAGCATATTGTACCTTGATGCTTGCTTGTTGTTGTTGACTGAGTTGAGCTGAGCCGCAGGTTGACTGACAAACTGTCCCGAGTGAAGCCATCCAACTGCGAACGGTTCGCGACAACATGAAACACCTTCAATATCCAAATCGTATGCTTAACACTCTTGGCGCGGACCAACGGCTCCTTGAAAGAAGGGTTCTTAGTGTGTGATGAGCAGTCAATGTCTTAGACTCTGTCATTCTGAGTCAATCTATAATTGCCTTGCCACCTTCGAGAATTCACTTGCCTCCTCGATGGGATCTTTTGTTGACAATCTACCCTGCATCCAACACAAATATCCAAACGCACAGCCCGTGTCTTGCGCGTACCTTTTGCCGTAACGTTGATGCTAACCCAAAACACTAGACGAAAAAGAATATGCCTAGGAGACCCTGACTCTAATGCATTCCGTCCGACCAACAGTCCCTAGACGCATAAGTGAGTCGTTGGAGAACCCTAGCAGAAGCCAGAGCCAAAGCCTTCAGGGCTGATGATGCATTAAGTCGATCCATTGAGTGCACGAACTCCTGTCGGTAGTCCTCGGCTTGTGCGCCGTTGGGCCAAAATCGGTATCAAGCGAGAAGACGCTACTGTATAATATGGTATGCTGTCGGGACCGTCGTGAGAACAATGCTCAGAATCATGCCATGATAAGCACCTAGCGTTGCGCAAAAGTAAGAAAATACGTCACAGAAGACTATATTTGAGCAAAGGCAATTTCATCTCGCCGGGTTTTGGCTGTATTCATCGTTGTCCTAGCTTGACGGGCCGACAAATTTGAGATAGAATCCTGACATGAAACTCGTGAATCTTGCGGAGAAGTAAAGCCAAAGACCCTTTGACACCAGGATGAGCCTACCGTTCGAAGCTCTTGATACCTGAACATGCGGAACCGTTTGTCCACTCGGACACGTGTTCCAGTAGGAGTAACTCTGCTGATCGCCGATGGCCCCCCGAAGCGAGGATGTTCCCAGGAAGGGCATGTGTTGATCAGTCTCTGGTGTTTTTATTCCCGTTTGCCACGCAACATGACAATGCCATAGACACACACGCTTGTGCCCGTGCTTCCTGAAACGGTTGAAGATTGTGGGCTTTTATCGTCCCATGTTATTTGGAGCCGCAATTAGTCCAACTAATTTCTGCTCTGCTCTTGAGACGAAGAGAGATGAGCTGTGATGTAATGGTCAGCAGTTCTAGATTGGCGGGATTATAATTAACCACGGACTCGTTATGTAACTTTGTCCTTGAGCGGAATTGCCGATGTTCGGCCCCTCTTCATCCCCTAGACTCCGGAGTATGTCGCCCGTGATGAGATGAAGTGACCGGCGCAAGGACCCTTCTTTTTTCGGTGTCCGGAAGAAGTTGTCGGAAAACTGGTTACCCATTCCTTAGGCCTTGACCGATAACGGTTAAACGTCGGTTCTGGTGCTGATAACGACCCCAGGCTAAACTCCACTACTAGGTCCATCATGACACCTCTCACAGTAACACTTAGCATCCAATAGAGTGCGTTGCACTTGGTTGACCTTATTGCAACGATCGCTTAAGCTCTATGTGAGCTGTTTTTACATCAATACGGCATAATGCGCCGCTTTAATTTGGCTCTGCTGGCTTATCTCCAGCTTGCTGGAGCTCGTTCACCGGGCTTCAACATCCACGAGGACTTGTTGACGTTTCCTCAGGTAAGCTGCCCCTCGTGCGTCATACCATGACCTTATGCTAAGCATTCGTAGTTTGAAGTCGTATTTGATAGTCAATACATATCCGAGAAAGACGCCCATTCACTACTTGATAGTCAACATCCTACTTATTCCGCCGACTTTGCGCAATCAACGGTCGATCAAGCTCGGGAAGCTGACGAACGCGACAATGGCGACAACCAGGACCAGAACGGCCCATCGTTTACATACGAACTTATGAAGCTACCGCCTAACGAGTATCTTTGTTCGATACCTATTATACAACCCCCCGAAGCAGAGAATAAGACGGCCAACGAACTCGCCAAGGCAGAGGAAGCGCGCGAGCTTAGTCGTGCGACGGCGAGTGGATGGGGACTTCTATCAGAACTAGAGGACTCATGCCTCTACTTTATGTCGGGATGGTGGAGCTACAGCTTCTGTAACAACCGCGAGATCATCCAGTTCCACGCACTTCCTTCAATACCGAATGGTCAACCTCCCAAGCGCGACCCTCATACTCCCGACTACGTACTGGGAAGAGTTCCTGCCATCCCGGCTAGTGCAGCGCAGAAAGCGAAGACAACTGGCCAGGATGCGCCACCTCCAGCGGAACTACAAGTTAAAGGTGACCAGCGGTATCTAGTTCAGAAGCTTGAAGGAGGAACCATCTGCGACTTGACAGGAAGAGAGCGCACGATTGAAGTCCAGTACCACTGCGTACCAGGAATGAAGGCTGATCGGATTGGTTGGATTAAGGAAGTTACTATCTGTGCTTACCTGATGGTCGTCAACACGCCGCGACTTTGCAACGACGTCGCTTTCTTGCCTCCTGAGGAGACCCGGGCGAACCCCATCCAGTGCAAGCTTATCGTGAGCGACCTCAACCAGCCCCCTTCGCTCGGCGAATCAGTACCCGTTAAGGAGGAGGAAGCTCAGGTGCCGCTTAAGCAGGAGAACACAGAAGAAAAGTCCGAAGACGCAAGCCCTGGAGAAGCCGCAAAGGAGCCAGTTAACATCGGCGGCGTTGTCGTAGGCGCCAGAAATGTGCTCTCTGGCGCTGATGAAGCAGGCAAACCACCAGCCAAGCTCCCACCCCCACGCAGCTACTTTTCTAGTTCCAACACCGACAGCGAGCGTCTCCTTCAAGTCGTAGCATCGGGCAAAAGTAAGGAAGACGGCGGCGGGGTCACAACACTCAGCAACAAGGAATTAGAGGGGCTGGACCTCAAGCCCGATACCGTCAAGGATATGGCCGATCGTATGCAGAAGCTTGCAGGAATTAACGGCTGGAAGCTCGAGCTCGTGGAGTTACCTGGCGGAGAGAAGGAGCTTAGGGGATATATTGATGCTGATGAGGATGAGGTTAAGAAGAACAAGGAGAAGCTGAAGAAGGAGAAAGAGGCTGCTAAGGCTGAGAAGAAGGATGGTGATGAGGATAAGACTGAGGGCAGTGAGGAGCAGTTCTTTGAAAAGAAGGATGAGCTGTAGATTACGAGCCTGATGGGAAGATTTGTTACCAAGATCGCACGGTGTTATGAGATTGTTCTTTTATAGCGTGAATGCATTACATTGTAGTGTACCTTACTCTTGTCTGTCTATGATCATGCTGCTACAAAGTACCATACAATCATTGAGCCAGGATCGTACCTGTGTTGTGTTTGCGAGATTGCCTATACGGCTGGCCAACGCCGTGGCAGATGGGACTGGTTACTACCTGGATTGAGGAAGTGTATTTGACATCAAACTTGTTGAACAACAATCACAGTCGAGTGCTGCTACAAGGTTTATCACACTGCCACAAAACAAGAGTCCCTATTAAGACTAGGTAGAGCTTTAGATAAACTATGTACTTGTGTTGCTGGGTCAAATTGGCCACTCCCATTCAATACAGTGATTTCAAAGCTTACCTCGAAATGATGACAAGCTCTGTATCCAGGGTAGCGGTTGCAAAAACGTTGATATGATACTGGAAAGACCATATCATTGAGACATGACGAGCCACGAAGATTCTTGCCCATGTTGTCCTGTGGCTGAATGTCAAGGTAGGTTCGTTCTACGAGAGAGATCATCGCTAGCAATGGAGTCGTTCGTATCTTTTGTCACGATGGTGTAGAAATATAAGGGTCCAATAATCACACTCATCTCTTAGGCCGTGGCTCTAGTAGCCTTAGCGAAGGAGAAGGGGGGCTTCCTACCCTCCCCATGGACGCTGATCGTGGTTTGACATGTGAGATATCTCCTTGATGCTCCGGCTCCATGCAATCCGCATCTCTAATTGCCTACCCAAGCAGAACTCTAATAGATGAAGACATACCGTTTCATCATGTGATTCTACTATTATATGCAAGTACCTATGACCACCTGCCGACGGGGATGGGTGATGTGCACATCCGAGGCATCAAAGAAATGCGGTATGATGTCTCGGTAGTTGTGAGATTGATGTCTGTGCAGTAGCATCTAAGCAAGCGAACAGATGCATTTCAGTCAAGGATTCTAAACATTCCCGGTTCGCCGATCTTTACTGCCGACCAATAGCGGAATATGGAAGGTTTTATATCGTACGATGATGTTCAGATGTAACTGTATCTCACCGCGTATACTGATCTCTAATACCCATGTGGGAGTCCCTGGTCAACATCAAGTTAGAGCCGCGGAACACGGATAGCTCATCATTTGAGGGACTCTGCCGTTTTGACAATATGATGTTTGCAGAAGCGCAGAATTTCGGGGTCTTGCAGTTGCTATGTCGTGGCGAGGGGTTTGGAATGCCATATTGATCTTGGTATTCCATATTGGTGTCGTGGCGTGCTGTGCCATTGAGAACAAAGAGATGGTCATGCGTTTATTTTATGGCTTCCATTTTTGAAGCATTGCTTTTCTGCCATTGGGTGATCCAGATGTAGTAGATCTACTGCAAGGTACAGATACTTGCTTACAGCTAAGATCTGGGCTTCTGGTTGTCATCTATGAGGCGTGAAGCTTCAATTGATGCCATTGACCAATTATCTTGGAGTAGCAAACATACCACACGTGCATGAAGCAGACAAAAGTATTCAGTCACTTTAACATAGTCTAGATCATCACTGCGTTCGTTTAATTGTTGCCCTCCTTCAAGTTCCCTACAGCTGTCTCGACCAAGAAGCGGGCTGAGGCACCAGAGTTCAGATCTCGGCATGTTACAAAAACAGTGCGTATCTCAAGCCACAATTGACCGCTCACAAGTGTTTGCTCTCAATTGCACCATTTACTGTCCAGAATTGCATGATTGAACTGTATCGAGTGAGAGGCGGTATGCAAACCTCAGCCGTTGAAGCCAAGGGTCCACTTCCGCTGCATCTAGAAAGGAGAACAAGAACATCAGGAGAACAGATCTTGAAAGCAGAGAAGGTTTACAGTATGGATCAACATCACTGGACGGTAAACGCGGGAATGGCTGTCGGGGAAGTGTTTGGCTAGACTTTGAACCGTTTCCGTCAAAGGTTTAACTCTGGCCGTTTAAACTTTTCTAGGGGACACGGGACGGCATCTATTACTTGAAGCCTGAAGCTAACGCGGACCGATGCATACAAGTCCAGGGCCGGACTCAGTAGTGTAGTGAGAAATATTTTTTACTTTCATCATCTGTGGATAAGTTGCATAGTGTGAGGAAGGATACGAGTTGATGTTGAATTATTGGACTTTCTTTGCTTTTTTATAGGAGCAGAAATTGATAGTGACCGCAGGCGAGACAGAGACCCTTGAACGGTTTGGTTATGATCGTCTAAATGTCTAGGACATTTATGAAACTGAAACATCCATTGAAGAAAAAGGGAGAAGATGCAATCACTCAACGTCGTAACGATTAGAGGTTAAGCAAGGGCAAAGTGATTCAATGTTGGTTCCTCCAAAAGCAAGCGGATCTACTGCATGTTTGCTCTCTTGTCAAGCCACTACTACCCCTTCAAAAAGCAAGCAAAAGTAATCACACTACATAGTATCACAATCACAGTCACTCTCACTGAAAAAGGAAGGGACAAGTGACGACATGGAGTACTAAAGACTCTAGATTGGGTGGCTTTTCTGTTCGGAGCACGGGCCGCTGGCCGGGAGCCGGGGCTGTGAGCTCCCCAAGTCTGTGGAACTGAGATTGATTGGTGACAAGACAAGTACAGCTTGTTAGTGGACAGATGGAACGATTCAAGAAGATGAGGAATAATTTGACAGTTCAAAGATAGAAACAACTATTCGATAGACTTTAAGATTGGATGAAGCGATTTGCTCTGACAACCGAATCGTCAACAGACAGCACAGGGCAGTTGAAGGCTTCTTGTCAAAATAAGGGCATTGAAGAGGGATGCAAGAACCCTGTTTGCCCTGTAACCCCCCACTCTTCAGCCGGAGACACCGCTGTACTACCTTCTGTGTCAAGGGCCCAAAGCAAGCAGGGTGACAGGGTCTGACTGGTTTTGACACGCTCAGACACGTTAAACACGTCCACGTTCATCACGTCCAAGGGTGATAAATTGAGACGCGTATTCTTCTACCGTAGCGTTTTATGTCACTCCCGGCACTAACAATCGCGACCTAAAGTCCCATCGGGTCTCCATCAAAGTGGTGCCTGAGAGGAGATGCAGCGCTAATGCGGGGGGCGCCCTAGAACTGCGGGCTCGGCTGGAACCTTCACTGCTCTGTACTGTACCTGTACCTGCCCGAACTTACTGTGCCAGGCTCTGGAATGAATGGCAGAAGTGAGGTGGGTGATGTTGGTGGCAGAAGAAAAGAACTTGACTCTGCATACCCTTATTCCTACAGGATTTCCTCCTCTTTACTCTCTCTCTCATCCATCCCCTAGAGAATCATAAGATTGGGATCGAATCGATATATCCACTCGTATCGGCGAACCGAATCGTATCGTATCGCCCTGTCCTGAGGAGTAGGTAGTCTGATCTACTAGGTCACTCAAGACTCAAGGCACTCCCTGCGCCGCAAACGCAAGGCGACCATCGCCAGGTCCCTTCGCTTCGTCCCCCACTCCAAGCAAAAGTCGGGATCACTTTATTCGAGCCCGACTTAATGCCGTCCTCATTGTCTCCCTGATTGTTTTCGATCGCCAAATCTCTCATCTCATTCAAATTGTTCGATACTGCGCCCTTGTCTCATTTATTCGAATGCCGAACTTGCTCTTGCTTTTGCTCCTCTAAACGAACCGAGATTGTACATATTCTTTTGCGAAATCGTCGGGCTTTCTTTCACTCAGGCAGGCATTGGATCAAGACCGCTACTTCCTGGACATATCGAAACCGGCACTTGCAACCGATTGACCACAAGCTCAAAGACGAAACGTCAAGCATCGCTTGATTTTACATCGTACCTCGCTTCCTGCAACGACATCCGACATTCATTGGGCGCATCCGTAATGAAGTGAATCAATCGTCCTCATCGTGATCTACAACCCAAGACACGGACCTACTCGACATGCTACACGACTCCTCTGTCTATACTCGTCTTTTACAATACTTAATCTCGATATCTTTGCGAAGCTGATCATAGCTTGCCTGTCACTGCTCAGCTCAGCCGTTCTTCTGTACAAACAGCATCCTGCAAGCGCATGCGAAACAAACATATTACTTCACCTTTGAACCTGATACCTGAGCCTCCAAATACTTTAATACCAACTTCTGCTACCTAGAATGGAACGACCTGTTTCGCGGGCTTCTCATGGAGCAAGAACTGCTTCTCGATCTTCAACGAGTACCAACAACACCAAGACCTCAATGCATACGGCACATACTTCCAATTCAAACCCTCCTGGGTCACCGGGTCCATCACATGCTCACCGATTCTACCATGCTTCTTGCCAAAGACCATCCAGCGCTACCCCGCGAACAGTAGAGGGAGGGTCTCGCTTGACCACTCAAGCTAGCAGCGAATCTACACGACAGCCTGCGATGTCCGCATTCCTTCAAGAAAAGCTACGAGAGTCTCGTCAGGCGGAGAGCGACAGGGCATCAACATGGTCGCGCTCACATTCAGACGCCAATTCTTCTAGAGAGTTTAGTCGAAGCCTAGGATCTCCCATTAAAAGTGTGGAGTTTGATGGCCACCGATCTCATTCTCCAGCTACAACCGAGACGTCCAAGAAGAAGGGAATGGGGGTCTTGGATCAGGAGAAGGTAATTTCGTCGCTTCACAAGAAGAACTTTGACCTCAAGTTAGAACTGTACCACCGCCGAGAGCGGCAAACAGCACTTGAAGAGAAAGTAGAAGCACTTGAGATGGAAAAGTCACAAGCAGAGGAGACGAACCGCCATCTTTCGCAAGAGGTGGAGAAACGCGACAAGGCAATCGAAGAGGCGGTTGCTATGATTGTGTCGCTCGAAGCCAGCCTCGAACAGTTTGCCAAGGAGAGATCAATTATTGACCATATCGAAGCTGAAGGCCGATATGCTGGACACAACCTTAACCCCTGCTACGAAGATCCCAGACCAGCTACACGATCACCGGATACGACGAGGCAAGGTGGAGGTGACAAGATCATCAATCGCATGCCAAGCTTCATGTCCGACCACAGCGAGAATACCGAGAACTTGCGCAATGTTTATCTTGGAACTAGAGGCAGTGTTTTGAGTCTTGCGCAGGTTCCTGAGGGACCTGGCGAAGGCGATCATGGTCGCAGCCCCAGTCTGAGCGTCTTGAGTGAGAGTTCCTTTGTCAGTGTGTATGGTTCCAAGGAAGATGAGGATGATGAGCCTACCTTTAATGGCTCTGCTAGCCTTCCACCCCTTGCCAGCACTATCAAGCGGCCAAAGACTGCTTTTGTTACTCATTCCTCACCGACCAGATCAGCGCGATCAAACTCCGCCTCTGCTCGCCAAGCACATTTTGACTCGATTAACAACGTTATCGAATACAACTCCCCTCGGCAAAGAACTGAACGTCACCACTCCTCCATTAAGATTGGGTCGCGACCTCAGAGCCGGGACCAAGAGGGTTCAGAGAGATTTACCGGTCGTGCTTCGATGTCTCCAAACCATCAACGCCTTAAGCATGAGAAGATGGATTCACTTCGACGAGTCACGACCGATGCCCCTGGTGGTGTTAGACTGCAAGATCATAATCTCCCACCGACGCCGGATACCATCTCTACCTCTACGCTTCGACGGTATCAGAACTCCGACGACGAAGCAGTGCCCAGACCTCCAACGGCGAGACCAAGTTATGGGGCTCTCTCTGAGGCATCTGAGAATGATGGCAGTGGAAGCTTTGGAACATATTCGGGCGTCCGTCTTGAACAGGCCCCGATGCGTGCAGTCAAGGCTTCAGCTCAAATTATTGACTTGAACAACAGAGTGTATCGCGAAAACCAGGGCCGGTCAATTCAGCGTCCTCGTTCCGCTGACGAAACTACTATCTCTAACCGACGGGGCAACGATTGGGATTCCGATACCGACGAATCTGATGTTGAATCGCTCGAGTCGAGTATCGACATCTGGATGCGTGAAAGTTCTAAACCTACCAAGAACAAGAACGGACGGGCTTCTCCTGATCTCTTTAGCTTTTCACCTTCCGCAGCAGCTAATGGTGGTTGGGCAATGGATGCCATGTTTGGAGCTGGAAGCGGTGTCCAAGGAGGTGCAAGCACAGGACTCGACCCTGATAGGATCAAGGATCTTATGCCACTCCAGCAGGAGCTCTTTTCGACCAACGTGGCCCCATCAGCACCTCGTAGAGGATCGAGCTTAAACGCCCAGGCTGTGCAGCAAAGCAAGACTTCATTCCTCAGCCGACCACTGGCCAATGTTAAGGCTTCTAAGGGAGGTCGTAAGAAGGGCCATCAGAGGAGGAACAGTGATGATATCCAGATTAGAACTGGGGGACACGCGCACACAAAGTCTGAGGGGCAGCCTGCTGGTGACCAAAAGAAGAACCATTACCCTCCAATCGTCCAGCAACCTACTCAGAACAAATTCACCAAGTTCTTCCGTAGGTCGTCTACTGGACCTCCGAGCGGTGCCCCGACTCCAACTCCTCAAACGGAGCATGGCCCTACCGAACCTCCTAGTAACGGATTCTCGAGCTCTAATGGCGCTTCGGCACCTCCACCTTGGATTAGTAGGACAGGTGCAACGGAAGAGGATCGTGACAGCGCGACACCACCACCAATTTTACGAAAGTCACGACAAGGACGACACATCTCGGTGGATACGGATATGGCCAACGACACAATGATGAGTCAAGAGTCCACCACACCAAGAACACCGAGACTATCAGGCTCGGCGAATGAAAGGGATACACCGGACCGAACAGACAGCCCGAGAGTGGGCGGCGCGACAGGAAGCAGGAGAAAATGGCTACCTGCATTTGGTCTTAGAAATAAGCAAGGATAGAAGATTTGGATTCATTATGGCATAGAACTTGCATACGGAAAATTGAGTAACAGTGCTCCACAGCAATGTGTCGATAAGGAGGATCACATGCATATCACGAACAGGCGTTGGATTCCTTTTTCTCTCATTAAAGCGACTCGGTTTGCTTTACTTGGCAGATGGTTTGGGTGGCTACGACAAAGGACTTATGATGCTATGGTAAAAGGGCGTGTTTCGGCATAGCTTATGATAGGGTACGGGGCGTCAGCGAGTTACATAAATTGACAGAATCAATTCATATATTCCATTTACGAGTGTCAGGGTGTCAGAAGAATTGATCACTGTGAACATGAGAGACGAGATAATCTAGTCATCTTGTGCTGGCTTACACCAAGACTCATGCTACTCTAGTTTGACGCCGTAGGCCTCAGGGACCACTTCTTCTGTTATCCACCTGCGTGGTTCATTTGAGAGAGCATGCTGTTAAACATGGCACAGGAAATAAGGCAAGTAATGTGTTTATGAAGTTTATTGTCTTCGTGTTCTATCGTCTTTGTCTTGTCTCATAAACCATCTCAGTTCATCATCATCATAAACCATGCCACCTGTGCCTCCTTAGAAAAGCCTCCCGTATGTCCGAGGGTCGTAAGTATGTTCGAGAAAAGAAAGTAGGTGCAGAGATGTAGCTCCGCGATCACCGTAATCATAGGTGAAGGTCTCAAAAAAGAGTGTCGGTTTAGACCCAGTTCCATTGGCCATTGGCGCGGCCGATTTCCTTAGAGCCCATCGACTTCTCGAAGGCGGCGGGAGAAACGTCGAGATCGTTGTCGGCGCAGCCGTCGCAGCGACTGGAAAGAGTGTTAGTTGCGTTGATGGGAGGAAAGGAGGAAGGGGAGGAGACTTACTCAACGACAGTGACAATCACCTCACCAACATCACCCTTGAGCTTGATCTGCTTGCCGCAGTAGTCGCCAGAGTCGTAGAGACCTTTGCCGATGGCAGCGACCATGTCGGCGTCGCCGTTGTCCTCTTCGCAGGCGCCCTTGCCGGGGGTGTAGAAGGTGATGCTGCCCAGAGTTTGGGGCTGGAGGGGAGCCGCAATAGCGAGGGTGGAGAGAGCGACGATGATGAGCTTGGAGAACATCTTGAAGGTGATGATAGTGGTTGTTGTGAAGAGAGTGTAGTAGTAGTACTAGAAGAGAGTGTGTATGTTGTTTGAGTGAGTGTATGCTTGAAGGAATGATTGAAAGTGTGATGAGGAGGAAAGAAAGAGAGGAGAGGAAAAGAAGAGAAGAGGCTTCTTATAGTTGAGATTCTGTGGAGTGATTGCGGAGTGATTGTGAGGGAGTGATTCACTGATTCACAGACCTCATCGTAACTTCGATGCCTAGCACGACCTTTCCTCTCAACACCAACATTGGATAACGCGCTTAAGTGTATGACGCACCTGCAATGTCACGCAGGCATAATTGGGATCATCAAGAGAGTTGCCGCGGCTATGGGCGTCAAGAATGTGCTTTAATTGGGTTTCTGGGGAGATTGTTTCACGTGGAATTACTTGCATGTTTCATAATGGCGGCGGTTGTGCGATGATGTTGACGTTGACGTGTGGGGAAGAGAGGCATGAGAGGGAGGGAGATGGTTTAAGTGTAGTGATTGGGGAAAGTACGGTTATCTTAGGCCTCGACTGTCTTGTTCATTGGGTTGGAGCGGCGATGCTAATCTGGGTCGAGAGTGTCTCATTATTTAAGTGATAAGGGAAATGAGGCTTGTGTTAGTTGGGCATCATGGAGATGTGGTAAGCATGGCAATGGAGGAGGCCTCAAGGTGAAGCGCTTTACTAAGTAGAAACCAACATGCAATACTTCACACTCCACATTCACTACAAGAACAATACACCGTAAACCAATCTGTTGGAGTGTCTACATTAGCTACTGCTGCATCGCAACTCTCCTGCCAACTTAGCATACTGCTGACATCCTATAAGCAAAGTGTAAGCTGAGAATGATCACCGATCCATCCCTCTTTTGACCACAATGGCTGCAATTGTGCTTGATGAAGAGCCAATTGCGTTCCAAGGTACACGTAGTGGTGCTTTGTCGAACAAGAGAGTTGCTCAAGCCTTATTTGTTCTGTGGGATGTGGTGCGAGAAGGGACTTGGTGTTGTTTGACGAGGGGAAGTGTGTGACTATATACTTGTTTGACTAGAGACTCGAACAGCGACGAGAATAGTTATCACGGAGACGGCATGGTCTTGAAGACATCCATAACTCCTTAACTATAGATCAGAGCCTGGAAAAGCATGGCATCGGCCGTTGAAACACTCCCGCGTCTTGCATTGTTTCCTCTTTTCGCACAAGTCTCCCCAATCAATCTCCTCCAAGAGAATCATCTTCGTATTTACGGGAGAACCTGCATATGGTTTCGGTTCCTGGCATTGGATCCTCACACACAACTCCCTCTCAGCATAAGTTCAACAAATCACAGGTCTAGCTTCATTCTCGCCACGAGAATAAGGTGCATGTGGAGAAACATATACACGGGAAATATTGGTGGTACGACATGCTGACATGCGTTGTCGATCAGTGAAAGTGGTTGGTGTTACACATGTGGATGGCCTCAAGGGATGATCGGGATCTTCAGGTACGTGAGCAGGACATTCTATTTTGAGTTGAGGTGGATATTGGAATGATCACCCGCCAGAACGGTTGGAAGCTGGGGAAGTTGTAGATGTTGGTCGCAATTAGTCAAGTTGGTGATGGCGATCTTGAAGATAACGGCGAGTTAAAAGCCTCAATTGATCGGACGGAGGATATTCTTGCTATAGATATACCCTTGACCTTGTCAGCTGAGTTCAGCTTCACATCGAGTCCCGTTAACGACAAGGTTATCATGCAGGTGTCATTTCCACCTCGTAAAGTGACGGCCTGATATAGAAACAATCGACCGTACGGCTGAAGATGAGACATCTGTTCACCATGGGATAGATCTTATAAAAACAGCTATTATCCCAATGTCCGGAACGATGGCCCAGAAGCAAGTGACAAGAGGTCGTTGAAGGGAAACTCCCCTTCAGAATCGCCGTCATGATGTTCAACTTCAAACTTCTCCTCTTCAGCCTCCAAGCATTTCTCACCCTCTCAAACGCTGCAGCATCACCATACCCACAATCCTCAGCAAACACCCCCGCCGCTCTAAACGCCTGCCTCGCCGACAAAAAGGTTCCCTACATCCCACGCGACTCTGCCCAATGGACAAAGGAAATAAAGCCTTACAATCTGAGACTCCCATTCGATCCTGCTGCGATCGCTCTTCCTACCACCGTCAACCACATCCGCGACGCCGTCAAGTGCGGTAACCAGTACAAGGTCCGCGTTAGTGCGAAAAGCGGCGGCCATAGCTATGGCTCTTTTGGGTACGGTGGTGAGAATGGACATTTGGTTATTGTTGTGGATGCGATGGATAAGGTGACTCTGAACAAGGACATGAGTTGCAATATTCAGGCGGGCGCGAGGTTGGGACATGTCGCTACTGAATTGTTCCAGTTTGGGAAGAGAGCCATTGCTCATGGGTCGTGCCCTGGGTAAGTTAATCAGTACCACACCACGGCTTCAACTGACGATTGTAGTGTCGGCATCGCTGGTCATGCTCTCCATGGAGGATATGGCTTCGCCTCACGAACCTACGGCCTCACCCTCGATAGATTCATCGGCGCAACCATCATTCTCGTTAACGGCACAATCCGATACACAGCAGACTGGGAGATGCCCGACCTAAACTGGGCTCTTCGCGGTGCCGGTTCCTCCTACGGTATCGTCGCAGAGCTTGACTTCCAGACTTTTGCAGCGCCCGAGACAGTCACTCCGTTCAACATCGAACTGGACTGGAACGAGAAGCAGGCTGTAGAAGGCTTGTTGGCTCTACAGAAGTTTGGAGCGACGGCGCCGAAAGAACTGAATATGCAGATTTATATGGCGCCGACTGGGCAGACGATTCAAGGTGTTTACTATGGTACGCGAACTGCCTTGAACACAGCATTGAAGCCTCTGCTGGGAGATCTGGGTGCTCAGATCACTACGGCAAGTACGGGAGGATGGATTCAGATGTTGAACAAGTACGCAAATGGTCAAGCGCTCGATCAAAGACGTCCTTACGATCAGGTAAGTTCACCTCTTGCCATGAAGTACAGTGATGATACTGACTCCTCGCAGCACAGCACCTTTTACAGTACCAGCCTCATGACCAAAGCCCTCACCCGCACCCAAGTCCAATCCTTCACCCGAACCCTCTACGACAACATCAACGACCCCGACGCACGCCACACAACATGGTACATCCTAATCGACCTCTTCGGCGGACCCAACTCAGCCATCACCAACGCCAAAAACCTCTGGACCGACGCACCCCTCAACAGCGCCTTCCCACACCGCGACAAGTTACTGCTCTACCAGTTCTCCGATCACGGGAACTATGCCACGCATGCGAACAATGGGTTCACCTTGCTGAAGCGGTTCAGGGAGAGTGTGACGAAGGGGATGGCGGATGGAGATTGGGGTATGTATGCGAACTACTTGGATACGCAGCTTGGGAATGAGGAGGCGACTAAGAGATACTATGGGAAGAGTTTGCCGAGGTTGAGACAGTTGAAGAAGGAGTATGATCCGAAGGATATGTTCTGGAATCCCCAGGGTATCAGACCTGCTTAGTTGTTGAGAGGGGGTGGCGAGGATGGTAGGAGGATAGTGTTGACGTTCTTTGTATATATCTTCCACTTAGTATTGGATACTAGCCGAATTGACCAGTGAACTGCTCTGCTATTATGATCCGAACCGGCCCGGCTGCTGTGAGGAGGAACCATCTTTACCCGACGGCATTGCCACTCAAGCGCACTCCGACGAGGTACAGACCCAAAGTCTCAAAGATACTTGCAACTTGACCTTCTAGAGATGCAGAGTACAAAGGATATGGAGGCGACCATGTCAACGCCTTGCGCGGTTATCATTACGCGCCTCCATTCGGACTTTCGAGAACTCCTAGCCAGGCACCAAAATTCCATCATACCAAACCTCCACTTACATCTCCAGCCGCAACTCCAAACACCTAATGGCGAAGCTAGTCAAAGACCCTATAGGACCCCCTCCAATCTCCCTTGAAGAAGATCTTCTCATTACAAAGCGGGTAGTCGATTACCGCTGAACTTGGTGGGGTTTCCAGGAGGAGATACTCCAGTTTATCTAATTGGACAGCACTAACACAACACTAGGGGAAGAGCCGTGGAAAAGGCGATGAGTTAGTTACTCCAGATAGTTAGCGCAGCTGTGGTAGTTGGGTACGCCACCCGAGACTTGAATCCGCCATTGAGGAAACGACCCGGATATGCTAAGAGTTATGCACAAGCATAAAGATGTTCCTGTGGCATAAACGGGTAGCTGCATCCCGTGGGAACAGAGTTCACTGGTACAAGTGATTGACTTTCCAGGTTGCCATGTTTGGTGGGCTAAAATAGAACAGTCAGATTTGGGATCGTCTACCCGCCTAACAGATCAACACTGCAGAAAGGACCCTCGAATTGGAAAGTCGCGATGTTCACATGCAAGATTGGGTTTGTGGCTGATGCAAATGTGGTAGGTCAACGTCTTTACCTGAACTCTCTTGTTTAGATCACAGATCTAGAGGATATAAGGGGGTGGTGTGCAAAACCCGTGGTCAGCTCTCGTGTATAGGGTGGCTTCTACTATTCACGATATTACTGTTATAGGTAATTGGAGGCAATGGCGAATAATTAGCCCAAATTGCCTTAGGATTTGGAGTGTAAATCCTACCCTATGCCTGTAAACAAGTGTGGTTGTCAGGTGGGTTGTGAAGATAAGCCGGTATGAAGCATCATCGCGGTGTTTGAATGGAGTCAATAATGAATTGCAAGATTATCCCAAGTCCTTATGCAAACATGCTATCACATCCAAGTATATCTCATTCTGGTACTTGGAGTCATCAAGCAAACAGTATTGAAGACAAAGACATCGTGAGACTCAATTGCACCGAGTCGTGGGAAGTGGAACTCAAAGTCATGATTGACTCAAGGGTCCTCTTTTCGCATGAAGCTACCATCGGCAATCTCAATTCCGGCATCCACTCTCCTGGTAAAGCCAGCCACCATTGTCATACTGGATCTCAGTCCAACACGGTGGATACGGGTACCGTCTCCATTATCCCAGGTACATGTTTGTTGGAAAGGAGTACATCGCATGCCAACAAGGTCTTTTCCTTTCTAGGCTCACTAAAAGTGGGAGATAGTCAGTCCAATGTGAGGATCGACAGATTGTGGATGAGTTGATTTCCTAATCCAGGGCACAGATCAATTGAAGGTAGGCGGTGATCTACCAACTGCCGATCACCTAAACCAGGGCCCATAGAAATGGTCTTTAGGGCTGTCTTCCACTGTAGGGCCACTACACGTGGAGGCGGTCCAAGCACCGGGGAGGAGGATTAGGAGGTCTACGACGAGACGGGACAAGACACGATGTAAGACAAGTAAAGGCGGTCGAGGGACGGGAAGGAATTTGACGTGAGTACTGTAGAGACTTGGCAGTGACGCTTAGCATTATGACGAATCTTGACTTAGTTGACCTCTAATGACATCCATTCATCTAATATGACAGTTTGGGCTTCTATACTATGGGATGCAATTGCGACATCATCTCCTTCATATCCAAACATATCGAAACTAGTTCAATATGGCGAGAGTAAATGACACACCTGCAGTAGCATCGATTACTCTCTTTCAAAAAGAGTAACAATCGTCACAACATCGGACCTGAGCCTGCCTTGATGGTATCGAAACAGACATCCGGAGTCCACCTTGTGAATTGACTCGTCAAAATTTAGTGCTAATGGGTCCATCTCCCTTTCCGATCTGCAGCTCCAGGACTGATTCGGTCATGATCGACATAGATGCTGTGTCCACTCCAGCTCTCCACCCTAATCTTCCGAAAGATAAGGTCAAAGATTGGCGCAGGGGGCAAGGGGAGAATTGTCGATGACATCGTCAGGAAGAAATGCAGGCTGAGACAGACTGTTTGATAGTGTTGAAGATTAAATTTCAAGACAACTACGTGTACATACTAACCGCTGCCATGCTACTGTACAACGCCCAAAGAGGTTTGCCTTAAGCAAGAGATCGGCATAAAACACAAGACCCTTGTTTTATGACAGCGAATTGTACCGAAAGTTCAACCTCGCCCTCCCAAGACATTCTGTAGTTGGATAGGCTCAACAGACTACAGACCAAGGCTTTTCACGATGATAACCATTCACAGAGGTCCGGGAGTTGAATATGGAGATGCCGTGGGGAATATAGACAAGGGGGGCACTATGTGGGCTGTGGACTGTGGACGCAAAGCTAAGCTCTCACGACTCAAGACTTTGAGAGTGATCGACATCACCACTAACATCCGAAGACTTCGAACAATTTCGTTTGAGTGATCGACCATGTATCCATAGTAAGATACAGTAGCAAAAGAAAGGAAACCAAACCAAACCAAACCAAAGACTGAAGAATTTGTGTATATAAGGTCGTGTCTTGTCTGCTCAAATCTGTTCTCATCATCCTCATCAACATCTTCAACTCTCACACTCTACTCTCTACCACACACAACTCTACCACTCTTCTCTCTCAACCTCACAAATCATTCAAAATGAAGGCTGCTTTCTTCTCCATCTTCGCCCTGGCCACTGCCGCCATCGCCTCTCCTGTTCCCCAGGCCCAGGTCAACGCTGCTCCTTCCAAGACCGAGGTCCAGTCCAGCGTCCTCAACCTCGACAAGCTCCTTGGAGGCATCCTTGGCGGCGGCGCAATCGTCCCCGGAGCTACCAAGGGCGTTAAGTCTGTCATCAAGCGTGACGTCTCTGATATCACTGGCCTCCTCTCCATCCTCAAGTCCGGTTCCGATGGCATCAAGGACAAGACCTCTGGCTTCCAGGGTATCGCCGACAAGGTCTCCGCTGGCGACCTGACCAAGGCTGAGGGTGCCGAGTTGGCCATCCCCGGCCTTGAGGGTCTCAACGCCGAGCTTACCCACATCGTTACCGAGCTTACCGGTTCTGCTGGCCTCCCCGTCGCTGACGGCGATGTCACCAAGGTCCTCAACCTCGTTACCGTCCTCGTCAACGTTGTCCTCACTGCTGTCAAGACCATCGTCACTGTCACCGGTCTCCAGCCCCAGCTCGTCTCTGTCCTCCACTCCGTCTTCCAGATCCTCGCCAAGGTCCTCGCCCTCGTCCTCGGTCTCGTTTCTGGCCTCCTCCCCGGCCTCATTGTTGCTCTCACTCCTCTCCTTGCCGGTCTCGGAACTGGTGTTCTCGCCCCTCTCCTGACCCCCGTCGTCGCTCTCCTCGCTGGCCTCGGTGCTGGTATCTAAGGAGTTTACCACCAATACCTAATTTGATATCCTAGAGATGAACTCCGATAATGCATGAGTTGTTGAAACGACTATGACCTATATGAATGGGTTAAAATGAGTTGGACTAATAGGAATGATAAAAGATCTTCGTTGTACATAGTTATTCACTATCAAAAATATACTTGGCCGGTCATATTTACTTTTTACTGTCTACCACCCTTTTGTGAAATGCTCAACCAGCTAGGTAAGCAACATAGGAAATGTCCTCCAAGGCTTAGGATGTAAAAATAAAGTAACCTAAACCACTCTCTAAAATGGCATAAAATGACTAAACTATTTCATCCCTTATGATTGTGACGGTCAAATCTTCTGACACACTGCGGACCGGATCCAAAACGACCTGATACCATTAGCTCATTCACTCAGTAGCAGATAAGTCTATCATGATAGTCAACTTCCAAAACGGTAGAGTTCTTGTCATTTTTATTGGGCAATTGCTGACAATAACCAATATCGTTTTTCGGCAGGTACGCCCTGCAGTCGACAATAAGCACAATGCAAGAGGAAAGTGTTACTGTGACAGAAGCTTCCGACATCTCTCCGTTGTCGACAGCGAAATCGATATAAGAACACTGATTTTCCATCATACAACTTTGGGTCTATCTAAGGTTTTTGAAGGTCAGTTATCAAGTCGTACAGTTCAAACCAACACAATTCAACTTTGAGTCTACTATCAGTACATCCGGCGACAGTGGTAACTTCAAAACAAGTCTCGATAACATACGTACCCACAGATTGTGGCAGTATCATTCCCGGCAAATCCAAAGCACCCGGGGCATTCCAGCATGTTGGACTGGCCGGCAAGATTCATGCCGCTTGCCAGCACCTGCACAAGCCCCGCGAACAATACGCTTTGGAGTTACCAGCGAGACTCTCCGCAGCGACCTTCAGCCCAGGCGGCGTACGAAGCGAAGATATCAATGTCTCAGTCTGTCAAGCCGTTAAAGACGCTCTCACCGAGAACTACTTGGGGTCTGCTAGTAACACATCTGGTGATAAAGATGCCCGCAATGCGTACTTTTCAAAACTCACCGAGAACCTTGGAGCTGATAGCCCCTTTAATCACCACTTCCAGCTCATTATAGGCGGCGCGTGTTGTATGCTTCCGGGTATCTTAAACACCTTTTGGAACCACGCGGATTCGCAGGTCCTCCAACAACTTGTCGGTTTGATTTACATCGATGTTGACACGGACTTGAATTCTCCAAAGGATCCTACTTCCATCGGAACCTTTGCTGGGATGACCATGGCCCATTTTGTCGGGCTACCCGGTGCACTTCCCAGTATGGAGCGATTCTGTCGTTCATCAGGCGGACCGGTCTGCAACGCTTCCAATACCGTCTTCTTCGGCACAGACATGTCTCTACCCGGAAATAAACGCGAGCATTTCGAATACCTTTTAAACAACAATTATCATGTTGTCAGCTCAGCATCCGTGGCGAGGGGCCCTGAACTGCGAGCGAGAGAAACGTTGGCGTATCTCGAGGAGATGGTGGATGTGATTATGGTGCACCTAGACGTTGACTCGATTGATGCTGGAACCTTTCCGTTGGCAAACGTGCCGAATTTTACGGGTGTTAAGTTTGAGGTTATGATGAGGGCATTGAAAGTGTTTCTTGGGAGTCCGAAAGTTGCTGGGTTGACTATCGCAGAAGTGAATCCTGATCACGATCCTGATTTTCTGATGATTGAAAAGTTGGCTTCTTGTGTTGCGGATATGCTGGGTGCGGAATCGACTTGAGGATCAAGAGGAGCAGGTGGGTAACAGAAGAGTTGTCCTATAAGGCTCAGGCTTCTATAATAAAGCGGCCTAACTGCTAGTCTAAGTTAGCATAAAGTGACCAAATTATTTCGTGTCTTATGCCTCTAGGGGCCAATTATTCTGACACCCTGAGGAGGACGTATGAACATCGTGGTTCAGAGCTCGAATAGGCCAGGGTATTCAGAGGATATCACGTTGATGTGGCGCAGAACCTTGGAGGGTTACGGACATCCGTACTCCGTAGGTAAAGAGAGTGTAAATACCTCGCTAAATATTAGCACTAGTAAACTTCGAGCTGCGTCACCACTATCGCGACTGTCTGAAACAATATCCCCGCCCTTTCCGTTCTTTTTCCAACCACTTAATATTGAAGACCAAATCATTGAGGCACAATACTTACTAACATGGGCAACAATTACTCGCTCTTCGTGCCCCCAAAGCCTCAATTTACCGAAGAAAATCTCGAGCCACAAAATGGACGGGTTTTTCTTGTCACGGGTGGTTACTCTGGCATTGGCTTCGAGCTGAGTCGTATGCTGTACCAAGCCGGCGGAACGGTTTATATCGCGGGTAGATCCCAAGAGAAAGGCGAAAAAGCTATTGCCGAGCTGAAGCAGCAGTATCCCAACTCAGCCGGAAGTCTTTCGTTTCTGAAAATATCTTTGGACGACCTGCCAACAATCAAGGCAGTCGCGAAAGAATTCATGTCAAAGGAATCAAGACTCGATGTCCTCTTCAACAACGCAGGTGTATCCATGCCCCCAGTAGGCTCAGTCTCAGCCCAAGGTTACGAACTCAGTATGGCAACAAACGCCATAGGACCATGGTATCTTACACAACTCCTCGTCCCGACTCTCATCGAAACTGCAAAGAGCCAGCCTCCAGCCTCGGTCCGAGTCGTATGGACAGCATCCATCGTGACAGACCTGTCCGTCCCCGAAGGAGGCGTCGACATGAAAGAGGTTATCAACCCGCCCGAAGACCAGGAAATCAACTACAAAAATTCAAAGACAGGAAACTGGTATCTCTCTAGCGTGCTAGCAGATCAGATCGGCTCGCAAGGCGTGCTGAGCGTGTGCCATAACCCTGGAAATCTTCATTCTTCTCTTCTGCGCCATATGCCGTGGTGGGTTCGGTATATGGTTTGGCCGGTTTTATACCATGCTCGGTACGGAGCATACACGAACCTTTGGGCAGGGCTGTCGCCGGATTTACAAATTGAGGATGGAGGGAGGTTTATCTGGCCTTGGGGAAGATTTCATCCTTCTCCTAGGGAGGATTTGTTGGCGAATCTCAAGTCTAAGGAGCATGGAGGGACTGGAGCCGCTGCTGAGTTTGCAGAGTATTGTGATAAGGTTATTGCAGAGCATAGGTGATTTTCTTGATTTGATATTGTATGTAATTTCCATCACAGCTCAGGTGTATATCCAATAGCCTTGTTCAACGCATAAACATCCCAATAAAACGGCATGATACTCTTGATAACTCCGGCCTCCAGATCAACCGTCATGACCTGGCATAAAGGGTATTTCAATTCTTCTCCAGTCTTCCTCACTCGCAAAACCAGATAGCTAAGAGCAATAATGCGATGCGAGCCCTCGCGTTCAAAAATCTCAGGAGTTTGCACGTCGACTTTGTCGAAACAACTGGCCATTTCCTGTGCCCATTTCTGGAACCCTTCATCTTTTTAGTATTTATCGTCATACAAGATAAGCTACCAACCTTCAGGACCGATGTATTCACCGGGATAGGGTAGGCCGGAAGATTGTTTGAGCTTCACTTCTGGCGAAAGAGTTGCTGCCATGCCGCTGAAATCGCGCTCTTCGGGTGATGCGGCCATGTAAATGCGCTCGGCATCGTAGAATGATTCGAGGATTGATCGAGCTGTGTGTTTGGTGGACGACATGGTGAAGAGTGCAAAATTGTCTGTTGAATAGTGACGAGCTTGAGGTGAATATTACCATTATATCGGTAGAAGCCTGTCACATATTTATACTCAACCAATACGAGGCTTATTAATTCGAAGGATGCGATCCTACGCTGATCAGATTGACTACTTGATAGGTAAGCTTTGAATGGCATCTCATTATCTCCAAGGAGCATCCTCCAGGGACTTTTGGTGCCGATAACCGAAACAGGCAATCAGCGGCCGGAGTTTTCGGACTGTGATCGGGGTAACTCCTTGGGCAGTAAACGGGCTGGTAGGGCTGCCTCAGTCTCGGCCTGTCGTTTATCTTTCATACAGAACTCAATCTAATTAAAGTGAACAGTTATCTTGATAGATCTCCAACGATGTACTGTAAGATTAACGTCGATCTATAAATAAGGTCTTGAATCCCCGCATTCCAGCAGCTTGTTTTTGCTTGGCGAAGCTTGACATTTGATGGCTGAGGGATAAAGACGAAAGATGAAAGAATGCAGCCAATCCTATGTTTATTTCTAATTTACCCGAAAAGACTTGTTGATCATGGTCGCAAATCGTGGATTTTACCGCTAATCGATCTTTCTCTGTAACCCTGTTATTTTTCACCAGTGCCTGAATCTGAACTTAGGCGTGACCTCATTCGGGTCCGAATTAATGGGGCAGCCGAATTGATGATGCGACTTCTACGGATTCCTTGGGGCGAAATGACTATTCTAGAAATGCTCTAGACACCAAATTCCCCCAGTTTGAGAGGCTTTCTTTTTTCTTCCAATGACGCTGAGGCAACAATGACGCCATTGGTATGATTTCGATGGAGGGGTGACCGCCCAAATTTCTCTCCCACGCGGCTGCTACCTAGGTACCTAATTCCTGGGTGTCTTTGGCCTTTGCTCTGCTAAACTGCCACTACCGATCCGATCTTTCTAGTCCCAACTTAGAAGCATCCCGCCGTCGCTTTGACTGCTGCCCACACGACCTAACCTGACCTGCAAAATTCCCCCCAAACTCCAAGGCCCGACCTGACATGACATGACTGCCCATTCCACGATACAATGTCAAGCTCTGCAGAGCTGCAACGCGAACGCGAGGTGCAGAGTTACTTCCAGAGCTGGCAAATAGCACAAGGCTCGTCACTTAAAGTCGCCCGAAATGTCGATGGAATCTCTGCGCCCTCCCAGATCAATGACGCAAACGCGCCTCAGCCTTCCTCCGACAAGGCCCTCTCCGCCTTTGCCCAGCTCGCTGTTTTTCGTCTCAACGTGAAGCGCGCTATGGTCTCGCTCATCGATACGAATAATCAGTATATTCTCGCCGAAGCTACGCGCAGTTTGCGACTGGGAACCTTGGAGGACGAACAGAGCGCACCCAGCAACGCACCCAACAACTCACCCGATAATAAGAAAACTTCCAACCTCGCCGATTATAACAGCGAACTGTGGTGTAAGTAATCTTCAGAATGCATCCCCCATCTGTTATTCTCGCTAACATATTCGCAGTGGGAACATCAATCCTCAACCGCCCAGATGCCGTTTGCGAACACTGTCTAAATAACACCTGCACCGGTCGAGATCCAGATGGATCAACATACTCAGCTTCTGGTCTTATCGTACCCGACTGTCGCCTCGATGACCGATTTAAATCGCGCGTTTACGTCCAGTCCGAACCGGGTGTGCGCTTCTACGCTGGTGTGCCTATATTCTCAAGGAAGGGTTACAAGATCGGAGCATACGCTGTTTCAGATGAACGACCTCGCGATGGACTTTCGATTGAAGACGTCAAGTTTATGCAGAGCGTTGCGCAAGCGGTCACGGAACACTTGGAATGGGCGCGCGATCGTGTGGACAGGTTCAAAGGTGAACGCATCGTGCGTGGCCTTGCCACATTCATCGAGGGATGTTCCAGCGACGACCCAACTCTATCCCGGGACGACCAACCCCAACGTCCTCCCATCAAACGTCCCCCGGGTATGACTATCTCGGCAACGAGGCGCTCATCACTGCATAACACTATGCGCAAAGTCGATCCCGATTCAACCAGGCGGTCACAGAAGGCCACATCACCGCCCCGCAAGACCAAGCCGAAAACGGATGGGCTGTCGAGAATGTATCACCGAGCAGCTGATAATCTGCGATCGTCTATACTGGCAGACGGCGTTGTTCTCTTCGGCGCCACAGCTTCCAATATCCAGCACATGAGCAACGCTGTTAAGATAGAGCACGGCAACAACACCAGTTCCGAAGACTTACCGACGCAAGTGGCAGCAGAGCCTGATGGCTTCAGTGCAGAAAGCTCTGACTCTGAGACATCCCCAACATCAAGGCCGTGTAAGTTGCTTGCCTTCTCCCTTGCTGATAAGACCCAGCCTTTGGATCTCGAACAAGGCCCGTCTTTCTCAATTGGTACACTCGAGAAATATTTTTCGCGTTTCCCCAAGGGAAAGGCTTTCACATTCACAGAAGAAGGAACAGGGCTCTCTTCCGACGATGACAGCGCGAGCGATGGAAACCACATTGGGGGCACCGCAGCTACAGCTGGGAAACATAAGCGACGCAGGGACAAGGATAGGATGGACCACAAGGAGCTTCTCAAAAAGATACCCGGTGCCAAGGCTATCGTGTTTCTTCCGCTATTTGACTACGTCGAGGACAAATTGATGGGTGGATGTTTCCTTTGGACATCTGTCCCGGGTCGCATGATGAACTTGGACGAGGACCTATCCTACCTTCGAGCTTTCGGCAACAGCATCACAAGTCAAGTCGGGCGCATTAACACAAGGAAGAACGAAGCGGCGAAGACTACATTCATCGCGAGCATGAGCCACGAATTGCGAAGCCCCCTGCATGGCATTCTTGGTGCCGCCGAATTTCTCAAGGACGCAGTAACCGACTCATACGAAGCAGGCTTGGTCAACTCGATCGCGACTTGCGGCAAAACACTTCTCGATACGTTAAATCATGTGCTCGACTTTAGCAAGATCAACAATCTTGGCAGTGGACAGACGAGGAAAGGAAAGCATGCCAAAATCATCAGCCTATCTTCCGATTCGATGGAAAGTTTGAACATGACTGCGGCAGTGGATCTCTCTTTGCTTGTCGAAGAGGTTGTCGACGCTGTTGCAACCGGCCACAATTTCAAGAAACTCCCCAGAAAAGCAAGTCAGGGGGGCGAAGTGACAGGCGCAGAGCAGACAGCCCAAAGCCCTGGAAGCGAGCACCCCGTGTCGATTCTTTTGGATATTACCCCGAGGACGTCTTGGATGGTCAAGACGCAACCTGGTGCCCTTCGAAGAATTGTTATGAACTTGTTTGGCAACGCTTTGAAGTACACAGCATTGGGCTTCGTTTGTATTTCGGTGCGAGCGCAAGAGATCAATGACGATTCGAGGATTGACGTTATGATCCGGGTTGCAGATACCGGGAAAGGCATGTCCGAGGACTTTCAGCAGAACCGACTATTTGTTCCTTTCAGCCAAGAAGACTCTTTCCAGCCTGGCACCGGCCTGGGTCTGAGTATCGTTAAGCAGATTGTGGACTCGCTTGGTGGAACTCTTGAGGTCAAGTCAGAACAGGACAAAGGCACTGAAATAGAAGTTCGATTGCGCCTTGAACCAGTTCCCGAAGAAGACTCTTCTGAACCAGAAGAACCTATGAATTACATGAGGGAAAAGCTTCAAGGGCGATCTCTGGTGCTTCTGGAAGCAAGCGAAGCTTTTAACTCTAGTACAATCACCAAACAAGTCCAGGTGCGAAACGAAGCTCTAATTGAAATCTTTCATAACTGGTTCAACATGAAGGCTGCGAGAGAATACGACACGAACCCTCCTGAAGCCGACTTTTATCTATATTGCGAGCCGCCATCCGCAAAGACTTTGGAAAAGCGTTTCCAGGAGACAGCAATGGAGGGTCCAAGGAACAAGAAAACACCCATCATCATTATCAGTCTGAACGAAGAGGAGGCGGCAAAAATATCAAGAGCACAGACGAAAGCCCTGGCCAAGTTGTCAGATGTGGTTGAAGTGATACCACAGCCGTAAGCTCTACATACCTCCCTTCTGATGATTTCAACTAACACAAATCTAGATGTGGTCCAAGAAAGCTTGCACAAGTCTTTAGCCGATGCTTACAACGAATTCAGGAAGTCAAAAATGACGACGACGACGAGACAAACCTGGTCAGAAGTGCTCATACAGATAAAAAGGAAAGAGAAGGAAAGAACCCACCAGCAAGCGAAGTGGCAGAACAGATGAATTCAACACTACAGCACCAAGACGACAAGCCAGATTGGGTTAAGACGACTACCTCACCTTTGCCTCAGGAACAGCAAGGCCAGCAGGGCTCCAAGGAGGATGGATATATGAACAAGAAAGACCACGAGAAAGAGCAGAAGAAACAACAGAGGGAAGATAGGAAGAGTGAGCACGAGAAGGACGGCGAGAGGCATGGCCAGAAGAAGAATGACCAGAAGAAGGAAGACAAGAGGCCTGACAAAAAGGAAGATGTCCACACAGACAGCAAAAAGCAAGACGGCACAAAGGAGGAGAATGGCAAGCCAGTAAAGGGCTCAAAAAAACCAAACAAACCGGAAATGCCGAGTAAAGCCCACGTTCTTCTGGTCGACGACAACAAAATCAACCTCAACCTACTAACGATGTTTATGAAGAAGTGCGGTTTCACCTACGAGGAAGCTGAAAATGGAGAAGAAGCCGTGGAAACATTCAGAAAGGCAACCATCGGCGACGCAGAAACTCCGGGCCCTATCAAGAAGCGGTTCGATTACATCTTGATGGACATTAGCATGCCTGTGATGAACGGTATCGAGGCGACCAAGAGGATCCGCAAGCTCGAGGCAAAGTACAAAGTTCCTCGGACGACGGTGTTTGCGTTGACGGGTCTTGCGAGTGCGGATGCAAGGCTTGATGCCATGTCTGCGGGGGTGGATATGTTTTTGCCCAAGCCTGTCAAGTTTGCGGAGCTGAAGACGATGATTGAAAATAACTAGATGTATACACGACTTATGTGACCTTTACTTGTTTATGATAGATCTTTAATAGAGCACATCAAAGATCAAACCATTGGCGCATGGAGTGTATAATTATTTCGACCTTTTGATATTGTCTGTACAGGAAGTGTCGAGAGTATTTATGAGTATCAAGACGGGTAGTAAGACAGCCTGTCAAAAGTTAGTTGTCAACTCATAGCATATATCGAAGCAACTCACTCAATCAAGTTCCCATCCGGATCCCTCACATAAATACTCCTAATTTTCCCCAGCGCCCCAGTCCTATCCACAACTCCACCACCTTCCAGCACTTTTATCCCCTCCTCTTCCAACTTGTTTTTCAAACCCTCCAAATCCGTCCCATCTTCCACAATGAAGCACAAATCAGCGGTCCCAGGCAGAGCAGTCCTAGCTTTAGGCTCAAACTCGGCACCGCGCTGATGGAGGTTGATTTTGTGCGTGCCGAAATTCAATGCATATCGGGGATGCGATTCGGGGCCGAAGGTGGAGGATTTCATGCCGAGGTATTTGGTGTACCAGTCTATGGTGGCTTGGACATCGTGGCAGGTCAGGACGAGGTGGTCTATATCTTTTATCACGGCGAAGGACATTTTGAAAGTTGATATTGTGAAGATGTAGTTGAGGGTGGGAAGTTGTGACGTCGAGTGGGTGGGGTAGTTTTTATACCGAAGAGAGTATAGAAGTAAGTCGGCTTGTGGGCGATTTCGCCGAACGCTTCGGTTACTGAAATTTGACGCTCCAAACCTTCGAACTTTCTGATGCCTGATCTAAAGTCGATGCGTAGGGTTTCGACATCAGCACAGACTCTCTTGCTGCCTGATTCGTTTGACACTATCTCCAGGCACCAACTGTTTATATCCACATGGTAGATTGCTTGAGGGTCTTCCTGCCTACGCTAGTCGAATATGGGATAACCCTATAAAACAACATCACCTGCACATGGTTGACGATCCCTTCAACGACCCCAACAATCAACCATGACTTCTCCAATCCTGGACATTATACCTCCGGAGATTCAACTCAGGGTGTTTTCCTTCCTTCCAGCTCACAATCTCGCTCAACTGGCTCGTACTTCCAAACATTTCAATGAAATCGCCACACCCCTATTCTGGACCGATGTTGAACTTCACATCCTCGGATATCATGGCGCCCAACGAGAACTCAGCGTTCCTCCTCCTGTGCGCCATCCACTCAGTCGACCATATCTTCCCCGAGAGCCATACAGGAGCGCCGACCTAAGAGCAGAGCGTTTCTTCAACATACTACAGACTCTCCAGAAGGAAAGACCAGATCGGCTGGAAGTCGTTACAAAACGCATCAAACATCTCTGTGCAAATGTCGACCCTGGTTGGGAACCGAGAGGCACGGCTCGCAAACGGATCTATACCGATCCCATTTCAGTCTGGGAGACGCTGCCCTACATGACGAATTTACAGTCGTTGGAGCTACACGGGGACACTTACAATCATCGTACTAAGCCAGATCCTGTTCAGGAACTTACCGGCCCTACCCCGAAGCTTCGATTTATAAAACTTGGCGGGTACATGCCAGCGTCTATACCTGCATGGGCTCTCAGGGCCGCAGACACTCTCGAACGCATTGAGCTTCTTATGTTGGATCGTCCGATTTCCACAAACGGGAATAATACAGGCCGTTACTTGCCTCTTGCTCATGAAAAGATCACCAGACAGAGGGATGGCGAGGATGATGACGATGGCAACGCTTCGGACTGGGGCAGCCTCAGCGGCGAGGCCGTTATTCCTCGTCCTCTGGGAGGTTACCTAACAACCTGCGGCAATAACGAGCTCCGGCTTCCTAAACTCAAACACCTATACCTCTGCCAACCCTCCGAATCAGACTACGAGCGAAGTTACGACCAGTACAGCTGGTCCACGCGCGCCGAAAAAGCATGTTACAGCGATTGGCGCAAGATTCTCATCGCATCCAGGCCAGCATTATCAACACTCGTTCTCGAACAGCGTCCAGCAGCAGATTCCGCCGAAAAGGTCTCCGAGGATGAATGGATGGAGAACAGAGTTTGTCCCCAAGCGAGCAAGAACCTCCTCAAAATGGTCCGAAAGGTGATAGAGGCGGACAAGAGTCAAGTGTTTCTACAGCGTGTATATCTATATGGTATTTTTGTTGGGATACTTGAAGACGGGATGCATGATCCGGCAGAACCTTCAGGTAAATTTCTTGACTTCCTGAAGGGCAATGGTATTGAGTGCGAGGCTAGGCTTGGGCAGTGGTGTCGTTTTGATTGGATTCACGGTCCGACGTCGTGGAATTCTTTCTATGGGGATGAGAGATATGATGGTATCCAGGAGGTTGGAGATGAGAGCATGAAATGGGATGATGTGATGGCTAGGGTTTAGAGAATCTATGCTGATATCAAAACTACACACGTCGACTTATGAGTTCGAACGACATGAGTTTTATCCAACCACTATTTCATGAGCAACTGTGTCTGTCAATTACCATCAACAGCGGATTGGTTGCAATCTCTCAGATGACTGCCGCCCCTCACAATGAGCTTACCCTGACACATCCAGAAAGTGTCCGTTCGCATCGCTGTCTTGATAACAGAACATGGTGCAGTCTCGATTTTTCTGTCTGTTTCTGATTCCCCACGAATTCGCAATACAGGTCAGTGCAATTGTTTCAGCTATTTCCGGACAATCCCAAACCCAGCATTGATCACCATGGAAGCATTACCCGTCCCTGGATTGTACATGATGAGCAACTGGGATAACCGTGAGCACTGACAGCTGATAGCAATAAACTTTGAGGCCTCTGATAGACGAGACATGGATCAGACAAAGGCCAATCTCCACAATGTTTGACCTGCCAAAACGGTTGAAAGTTAAAGTTTGCTACTAAAAACGATGTTACCAGTGAGAGTCTGGAGATAGCTTCCAGATACAGACCACCCCGTGGTCCAGGCGTCGGGTCCGGATGATGATCCGGAAAGATACGATACGCGCGGAAGATCATACTACCTCACATTAAGAACAAAGCGTATCTCTGACAAGGGGATTTAACTTTAGCTTTGACTTATCGTGTGAATGGCTTGCAGGAGAATTATGAATCGAGTAGCTCGTATCAGCAATAGCGCGAATCGGATGTGTCTTTGTTTGGACAGCGATACAGCAAATTAACGGGCGAGACTGGGTTAGCGGCCTGCGGCACAGCACTCCCGCAGAGTGAGCGCCCGTAGGAGCTTAGCTGGATTAATCTCGGAGCGGTTTCTTTACAGTGACATTCGATGACCTCTCTAAGAAACAAGCGCACTTTTGCGGGCGCCGAAGAGTCTGGGGTACATAATATGTCGGTACTCGTTCGCAAGATGAGCCCAATGAAGATGGAAACAAAACGTTTCATGGTGATTGAACGCGTCTTTAATTATTCCGTGACCATGTTTGACCACATGTCAATCCAAGTTCGACAGTTGGAGACTTGTTACTGTAGGGCAGATAGCGAATGGGGATTCCCGGGCCCTAAGACACGGGACGTTTGCTCTAAAACTCTAACGCTGCACGTCGCGAGTCATTTTTTTCTCGGTCTCTTGCGAATTCACCTGCCTGCTCTGCTCCGTTGGACCTGAGACTCACTGACGAAATAACATCTTTACCTGTTTTAACCGCAAACTCTAAATAGCGGGACCCTGCAGGGCTCCTTTTGAAGATGGATCCAGCTGCCCAAACTTGGGACCTGGAACTTGACAATTGGTGGTTGTACGGAAAATCCGTTATGACGGACCGATGGAGAGAAATAGTTTCAGCTTGGCAGCATCGCCAAGACATGTCCTTTCCCAGGGGCGGGCGGTTGGCGCGGTCTTGAGTTTAGGGATTGCCCTGGCTTGACTGGTGTTTAGCCAAAACTCAGCTGGGGCCCATGACCGTGTCATTGGAAAGGGAGGAATGTTGACTGCCGTCTTGGCCAAGGAATCCATGTCTAGTTTTTTATGAAACCTCAACTCTACTGGTCGTCAAGGGCGATATCCTTCTACACCATGTGTCATAGTAGATGGAATAGGTAGCCAAGGAACTTCAAGGTAATAAAGGAAACATATGTTTGACAACCCACTAAAGACATGAAAATGGGCTGAATCATGGACCGTCAAGGCGCTATTACCGGAAGCATCCATGCGCAATGCAGGGGCGGCTCATGACGATTTCTCGCTAGAGTTAGGTACGGATACCAACACGACCACCCCAGAATGACGCGACAGTAAAAGAAGATCATCCCTAAAGCTGAACCAAAGCTTACCTTTCCCCATCCCTCTTGTTTTTTTACTTTCTTTCCTTGCTTCAACGTTTCATCGTGCATCTTATCGCCAAGACCTGCCAATCCTTGATCCGACCGACATTCAACGAGCCCGGGCATATACGACATGGGATCTGGACTCAATTAATCCCGTCAAAACTCTACTTTCTTACCTGGCAATGACCGTCGTAGGTCCGTCGACAGCTCAATCATGGCAGCTACTGGAACGGGCGAGGTAGGGCCTATCGAAGTCTCGCTCGCCGTGAACATGATCATAGCTGGTCTATTTGCAATCGCCATCTACAACTGCGTCGAGATCCTCATCTCCCTACTGTCGCGCTTCAAGCGTCATGACGGCCTTTATTTCTGGAGTATGATGGTAGCGACCCTGGGAATAATACTGCACTCAATTGTTGTCCTCCTACGATACTACAGCTTGGGACCAAACTTCTTACTATGCGTGTTGACATGCGTGGGATGGTATGGCATGGTCACGGGTCAATCCGTCGTTCTTTACTCACGGCTTCATCTGATCGTGGAAGACAAGTCCAAAACACGATGGGTCTTATACATGATCATAATTAATTTCTTCATCCTCCATGTCCCCACGACGATACTCTTCCTCGGCGCCAACACCCGTCATTCGAGTCGCTTCATCGGCCCATTCAACGTTTACGAGCGCATCCAGCTAGCAGGCTTCTGCATCCAAGAAGCAATAATCTCAGGCCTCTACATCTGGGAAACAGCACGAGGCTTAAAACCCATCTTCGCCGTGCGCAAAGCCATGGAGCGCAAGATCATCCGATATTTAGTCATCGCCAACATTCTCGTCATTCTTCTCGACATAAGCCTCATTGTAACGCAGTACATGAGCCATTTCAACATCCAGACAACGTACAAGCCCGTCGTGTACAGCATCAAGCTTAAGATGGAGTTCGTGGTGCTGAACAAGCTGCTTCTGCTGGTACAACACAGCGACTGCAATTGCATGCACATCGTCGGCGAGCCAGAAAATACAGCGCCGGATCCTGAACGATTAGAGTGTCAGTCAATTGAGAGAGGACCATCTACGAGAACGGGCAGCGACGTGCCCATGCAACCAAACGGCGTACGGCACTTTGGCAGCGACGCTTCAGCGCCATTGGAGAATAAAAAAAAGGCGAGACCTCTACAATTTCTCGACCTGACTCCATATTGTACGTTTTCTCGCGCCAATTCATGAGACTTGTTCCTGACCGACCTTAGGATGCTCGCCCCAACAACGAATCAAGTTTACACCCAACCTAGACGGGCAACAGAAGACCTATCATCTAAGACTTAGGCTACAGAAATAAAGGAGCCTAAATGCTAGCCTAAGCCGGCATAAGGTGACCAAATTATTTCGTCTCTTATGCTTTCAGCGGTCATTTCTTCTGACACCCTGCGGCCAACCTCGAAGCCACCTGAGCACGACCCTCACCGCTAAAGAGGCGCGAAGCCACTGGCGTTACTCCTGGCTAAACTCATGAACGTCGTCGGGCGTGGCTTTGTTTCATCGCGTCACCGTCATAGGCGCTTGAGTTGCGGCAATTGAGGGTCTTTCTGTTGGATACGAATTATTCAGTCTCGAGGCTGATCAGTTTATCTATTTGTCACGTAGCGCGGCCACGCCAAGCTGTTAGACGCATCGCCAGGAATGCATATAACGTCTATGGCAACAAATATTTTGCATTATTACAGGAAATCATTGGGAGGAGTTCAGGAATAGGTAATTGGGGAGGGGAACTACAGTACCCTCATCATTCGGAACAGCAACATTATGATACCCTTTGTTATATAATTGAGTCATATTTATATAGGCAGATAAACTCTGCAGTCCGCATACCATTATGCGCCTAGCTAAAAAGCATTTTTCTTTTATTCGTCTTCACAGTATCGTTCCACTCAAGACCAAATTGCTGATCCCGATCTTGTGCCACCCGACGCCAAACCCGCAGCAGCTCTTCAATGGGCGGTTGAAGCTTCTTTCCCACGATTCTCATGCAAGGATTGACCCTTTTGCTTGTGTAACACACTTTATAGCCGCCCACAACGCCAACGTTAATATCCATCCTTCTCAAGCGGGGCATGTGCGATGCTGCTCGCCCAGCGGTGCAGACCAAACGATGCGCATAGTCTGGCTCAATCGGGCCTCTGAACTCATTCGTGTCGAACAATGAGAGACAACTTCTCTGTGGCTCACTTGGAGGGCCCCATCGTTCGTCTCGGAAATTATCGGTGTTGGGCGTATCCGTGAAAGCCATAGCTAACCATTGTCCAGATGGGGTAATGGCTAGGAAGCCGATGTCGTAAGTTTCCAGCTTCGGCCAGCCATTGCTTGCAGCGAGGGTCTTCTCCGATGTCCCCAGAATGTTAAGGTCGAAGCTTCCCTTTGCTGAGAACCGTAACAGGTTTTCTCGTTGGGAAAAGTTGAATAATGCTTGACTAAGAAGGTCATGCTTTTCATCTGGCGGTACAATGCTCGCAGGCGCATGTGAATGATCTCGAGGAACTCGTCTGGAGTATTGTAATTCAAAGTCCAGCACGCCTTGTGGCAACAATGGTAATGAGCTTGCGAAGCCTATAAAATTCAGTTAGTTTCAAAGAGCATTCTTCCAGACTCTAATAAACTCACGCTCTCTCAGCCCGACCCTCAGTTCTGGATTTCTCCATTCCATATCGCTGAGGTGCATCTTTACCTTCCGGAGGCGAGGCATCTTGCTAGCTATTTTACAGACTGTCTCGGGTGCAAAGAAGAGACTCCAAGATACAAGGTCAAAGCTGCATGAAGCTATCACCGGCAAGTTTGGTAATTCGTCTTGGTTGAACCCCAAATCCAGATATAGAGGGTTATACCATCCAACTTCAAGACGTTCAGCTTCGGGTTCATCGATAGATTTAGCAAAGCACCATCCATATTCCCTGGGAACCGGAAATCCAAGTTGAAGATTGATATATGGTTGTCCATTTTCATGTACAGGCGCCAATTTCAATATTCGAAATAATGATCTGACAATTGCCGTGAACAACTTGTCGTAACCTCTCTCTTCCGGAGGCTGCATGTCGTCTTCAACATCCATATATCCATCATTATCCAGATCTTCGTCGTTTTCCTCGCTTCCTTCAACGTCTTCCCATGGAGGGTCAGGTGCATCAGCCGACTCGCCCCCCTCGATCGTCGTTTGCTCTTCCACATCGCCCGATTCAGATGGAGGAGGCCATTCCCCTACTTGAGCAAAGATAATCGGAACATCCCACGGCCACGGAAGCGGAAATGTGATGGGAACAGCAAGGTTGCGGATATATCCCAGCCGCCGCGGGGTCAGATACCCTTGTCTCTCAGCCTGGACTATCCTCTTAGGTGACAGAACCAGCGTTTGAAATGTGAAAGGCTCAAATGCAAGCTGCCAGTCCCGAGAAACCGCAGCGCATGAAGCCAGGGAATTCTCTTTTGGTTTTCCACTTCCTGGAAATTTGGGCTTGTCGTGCAGGGTCCAGACGTCGTAAACCGTGCTGAGATCGATTTGAGGTCCCGACGATGCAGCAGCAGCAGCGATCAGAGAAAGAATCTCAATCGATAGCCGGTCCATTTTGTGAATCTGTAAATTGGTAAATTTGTAAAAGGCTAAAGTTTCGAGAATCGGTTCAACGTGCGATTGGATCTCACGACGTAAGACCACGTGACGAGTTGACGTCACGGAGATTGCAAAGCAAAGGGGGAAGGCACGACTCAGAGGGGTTGAGGATACATGAAGGAAAGAGTGATGGGATCTGGCAGAATCTTGATACGAGCGAGGGGTGATATGCTCAAATCTCGTGTTCTCTGCTACGAATTCCGTCCAAGTTCTGAATTTGCCGCGCTTTGGATTTCTCCCACGCAACCAAATCTCCCGTTTCGGAGACTATTGATTTGAACATCATCGTGGTCTGCGAAACGAAAGTGCCTTTCTTCTTTGTCAAGTTCGACTTTGGTATCCAGATCGGGGCCCGTATTCATGACAGAATGAAAGCTAGGATGTAAGCCAGTCGGGAAGAAGCACAACGATGCGGAACACCCCTGTTTCGGAAGAATGCTAATGCGCTATCTCAGACATCTTCGAGTCCGTCGAGGCTGAGTCGACACGAATGATATGTGACTATATTGGCAATGCGACTTGGCCACTGAAGCCACCATCCCCTTGCTGCTCCTGGCACTCCAAGGTCTGGACGGTCGAGCTGCTTAGGGCGAAGAACATCACGCTTTTGGCTATGCGATACACGAATTTACCCAATGGAAGCCACAATTTCCATTCAGTGTGTGTCAGCAGAAGACCCTGTCATCAGACCGCAGAGAGGAGGCGCTGAGGCTATGTATGCAGAGGGTTACGTACAGTCGACCCTCAGCCTCACTAGACATCAATGTAGCAATATCATTGGCAGCCTCATTACCAACGCAGATATAAGCCGGATCCTCAAAATCAGGCTCTGGGACTCTTTAGTTCTGCACCATCACTTTTCCACTCTTGTTTGGTGTGGTGTTCGGACTTGAAAAGAAATCAAGTGATGATGTTGTTCAACTCGTCTGTCATTACCCAACCATTCAATGTCTCTGTTGTGACCGACAATGGAAATGATGAGCTCAGAAGACTGGTTGCTCCGTCCTGGGTTGACACGCCCAATATTCGCGGAACTTCGGATATATTGCAGAGTTGTATCCTAACCCTTGTTGCGTGTATTTACACGGCCCTACATCTTGACGTCCCTAGGAAAACGACATGGCACCACCTCCTATGGCAAAAAACAAAATGGGTCCTCATAACTCTGTTTGCACCCGAGCTCGCGGTATTTGCCGCGGCATCGCAACTGCGCTATGCTTGGAGCCTGAGATCAGTACTTCGAAATATACAGAAAGAAAGCCAGGCTTATAACTGGAAGCCTGATGCAGACGTAGGACTTTCACTCCAATTTTGACAAATCTACAAGACTAACTTCCTAGTTCGAAATTAACCTGAAATATGCTTTCTGCATTGTCATGGGAGCAGTCCGCTTCGACGTCCATGACATACTTTCACTCAGCGATCTTGACGAAATTCATCGCGACTACTTTCAAAACAATGGTCATCGGAGACGCTCCGTTCGACCTGGCCCTGCAGCGATCATTAAGCTTGCTGAAGGTGGTCACTGGATACAGATTCCAAATCAAGATATCGACGACAAGAGTAAAGCAGACATAATCCAAAAGACACTCGTAGTAATACAGGTTCTCTGGATGGTCACACAATGTATAGCAAGGCGCATATACGATCTACCACTGTCTCTTCTCGAAGTTCATACAATTGTCCATGTCGTCTGTGCCATTTTACTCTATGCTTGCTGGTTTGAGGTGTGTCTTGCCCTGCTTTTCATCTTTTGGACAGTTTTGATTCTAAACGCATATAGAAACCACTGAATATCCAGGAAGCAATGGTGATCCCAACACAAGACTTCAAAAACGATCTTGCTGTCATGCTACAGCCAAGTTTCTACAGTGAGGTGTCGTGTAAGATGGCATTATTTGCACCCAAGACGGACGACGATGCTGTACCCCCCACCGACGTTGATGGGTTACCTATGCAGTGGGTAGAGCCTCAAGCGGGACTAACAATGTACGAGGGTAACATATTACCCTCAGGACTTGCGCTGTCCAAGTCCAAAATTAAGAAACCCTGGCCCTCAGAAATCTACTACATTGATCCACAGGGCGAATCAACAGGTGCCTCAATTCTATTGGAGCATGAGTTTCTGGCGCGCTGGGAAGCCATCCTTAACACTTTATCTTCCGTAGATCGAGGGATGCTGGCTCGAGGGTCCAAAAAGATTATAATGCAGAGGATCGACAAACGAGAAGAGCCGCATGATAGCTCTTCCGACCGAAAGGTCTTGTTCCTTCCACTCTTGGAGGAATTGGAACCAAAGTTGGTTAGCGACTGGCAGAAGCTATTCTGGGATGGGGAGTCAATCCTCCATCTAGAATGGGTAGATATTACTGAGACGGAAGACATCAGAACTTTGAAAGAGTCAGTTACCAGACTGGACATGGACATCTTTTCCTTGAGATTTATGGTACTTGCTATGGTTTTGTCTGGCTTGTATGGCGGCGTTCATTTGACTATTTGGGGTCAAGCCTTTCCTTCATACGTGGAAGAGCTTATGTGGAAGGTTAGTTGCTTGCTCATCATTTGCTGCATTCCTTCGTTTCTTGTCCTTCGTGTTCTCTTTTCACCCCTGCCGCTGTTCCTCGACATTTGGAGTGTGAAGCATTATGGGGCAGCCAATAATCTTTTTATCATTTTCGGGCGATCGATGTTTGTATTGTGTGGCTCGGTTGTCTTGGGATATATCGCGGCACGGGTGTTTATTATTGCTGAGTCGTTTCTAAGCTTGCGGATGTCGCCGGTTGGGGTTTTCTTGTCACCTGGATGGGTGGAACTTTTCCCTCATTTCTAGAGTACTCTCTATCTACCTATAGCAATTCGCTTGGTCGCGTTTCGCATTAGAAGCTATGGTGTCAATTGCTACAGAATGAGTTGAACATGTCTGAACCCTGACTAGTCGTAACGAAGGTGAATGACTTCCGGTGCTACAAGGCCACTCAGCGCATGATGCGATGATGGAGACAACAGCTCTGCTCCGATACTGACGTAAGATGCCATTGCATGGCTACGACATAGTAAAGGCTTCGGAAAGTCTTGTGCGGCCGCTATATTCGACCTAGGGAGTTTGAGTGAGATCAATAGGGTCCGCTAAAGCTGAGAGTATCGTTGTGTAAGTAAGGCCACTTTGTGGGACGGATTTTGATATCCATGTTAAGACAAGTTCTATTCCTATGGACGCAATACCTTGCCAGTGAATGAGAGATTCCTGCGTTTTCCAGTCATAGAAGCTTAGCTGCCGCGGGCCTAAAAGACGAAATCTGTAGGTCAGTTTGTGTAATTTAGACTACCTTATCTAGCTTTAGACAATTTAGACAATTGATACAGATTACCTACGTTGGGGTCAAACAAGTTCATATGCGATGGATATGCAGATAAACAATCCTCGTTCTATTAGCTTAACAGTATTATCCAATTATATACGCACTCATATCGTGCGGATGAAGTAAAATCTCAATCCTAGTTTGTACAAGCAGCCGCGCCCTTGCTAGTCCTCGTCGCCCACACCGTCTTCGTCTCCTTGACAACAGACGTAGTAGTCTTTGACACAGTACTCCTCACAGTTACGGTACTCGACGGCTTCAAAGTAGACTTGACAGTCGCCCAGTTTGTAACAGTCTTCTGATCTAGAGTAACAGGGGATGTCTGCTTAATGGTGCTGGTCGTGGTGACCTTGACGGTTCCAGCGGGCAGAGTTCTAGTGAGGGTCTTCAAAACAGTTACTGTGCTTGCTGGGGCTATGGAGGTCTTCTTATCGGTGACGACAGATGTAGATGCGACGACGACAGTGGTGGTAGCGGCCTTGAGGGTCGTTGTCTTGCCTGTTTCTTTGGTGGTCACGGTAGTCGTGGTTGATGTTGATCCAGGAATGGTAGAGGTGACATATTTTGTTGCGACAGAGGTTGATGCGTCAATGACAGTGGCAGGCTTGAGAGTGCTTGTCTTTCCAATTGTCTTGGTCGTGATGACCTGGGTGGTCGCAGTGCTACCAGGAACCGTCATGATTGAAGTTTTGACGTTGGTAGTAAAAGTTGAAACAACGGTGACTGTAACGGTGGAAAGACCAGCTGCACGAGCCTCAAGATTTATAGACCCTAGGTCAAGGTCACGCCGTGTCAGGCCAGAAGCGAGGTCAACAGATGGGTTACCGAACACGACAGCAGCGCGGGGCCTGAGAATTGCCACGTCACCGCCCAAGTCTCGCTTGTCCTGAGTAGGGACACACTTCAATGTAGTCGTCTTGCTAACAATTTTGACAGAGGTCGTTACAGTAGTCGATAGAACAGTAGTGGCCTTTAGGGAAGTTGTCGTAGTGCCGCCAGTACCTATTACCACAGTTGTGGTGCTCTTAACGGTAATGGGCTTGGGGCTGATGGTCTTGCTGATCACCACTGTCGTTCGCTCGACTATGTTCTCAGTCACTGACTTGGGCGTAACAGTAGCGCCTACAGTTGTTGAAGTCGTAGTGACTGCCTTGGCAGGTTTTGTGACCCAAGAAGTGACAGTAGCATCAAAGACCTGGGTTGAAGTCTCAGTAACGACAGCAGGCGTAACAGTCTTGCCAACATCCACAATCTCGGTCGACTTGACGGTGACTAGCTTGTCAGCTTGGGTAACTTGAGCCGTTTCGGTCACTGTCGCCTTCTCAATCATAGTCTTGGTCGTCGGGTCTGGTGTAATGGTAGTACCGATATCCTGAGTAGATGTGGACTTCTCAGTGATGGTCACCTCGGCACCAGTCAAAGTAGTGAACAGAGTCTGAGAAGACGTGACAGTTTGAGTGGTGTAGACAGTGGTTGAGCTGAATGTCTGCGTGGCAGCTACAGCTACGTCAAAAGGAGTCGCGTGAACGAGCGTCATGTTGATCCAGCTTGTAGAAGGGAAGAAAGTGCCCAATTGAAACTGGGCAACATCCTCATCCGAAAGCTGCTTGGCGAAAGACGCACGACCACTAGTCGAGGCTCCAGGACCAGTGTTGTCGTATTCACCAAAAATGACGTTGTCGGTCCTAGGATCACTCTTAGTCCAACCAGTCCAGCCGACAGCAGCGATTGATGCACTGAGATCAGACTGGATATAGGCAACCCGAGCGAATTGATCCCACGGCCGGCCGAGATAGATAGTCGAGAACGACGCTCCATCGGCGGGGGTGATGGTGCACTGGTCGAAGACGAAACCATTGGGACCAGTGTTGGTTCCTTTCTTGTTCGCCGTCAACGCAATCTTATCCTTATTCGGCGCAATGGTGGACTTCAGGAAGTACCCAGCTCCGGAACCCCAAATCATGTCAATATTGCCGGTGAAAAGACTGTTGTATGCGAAAAGGTTGCCATTGATGAGGAGAGCATCCTGGTTTCCGTAGACTTGGCAGCCATAGAGCGAAGCAAACTTGCTGCTCTTAACTGCAAAGCCAAGACTTGCGTAGCTATCTATCTGTCAGTATATCACATATATTTAAGTTGTGTGCACTTACTTGTTGGTTGTACCGAATGAGTTCTCGAAGTTGATGTTGACAGCCTGGAAGTAATTTCCAGTGGCATAGAATGTAGCCGAATCGGAGTTGGACGCATCCGCCTGTGTGTCGATGCCCTTGTCATACGTGATAGTGACCTGGTTCTTGGAGTTGTCGTCAGGCGATTCAGAGTATCCGATGAAGAAAGTTGTGCCAGCACGACTGAGAACGATCTGCTCCTTGTAGGCACCGGGGTAGATAAAGACAGTGGGCGTGACCTTGCTGGAGGCGGGGAGGGCATCAATCGCAGCTTGTATCGTGCTGTAAGTGGTGACTCCCTCAATAGCTTCCTTGGACACGATGAAAGCGCCAGGTGGTGGGGTCTTGCCACTGTAAACAGCGTTGGGATCAGGGACAGGGACGACAGGTGTGGTAGGTTTTGGAGTTACGATCGAATCCCAGAACGTCTTGTCGATCCAGTCAGTGCTATCCATCACGGACGCAAGAGAATAATCATCCTTGGTCAGGAGAGTAGCGAAGCCAAAAGCCTCACGTGCCGCCGAATTCTTCTCCCAGCTTCCAGGACCCTCATTGGCATATTCCGCAAAGGTAATATGATCAGTGCGAGGATCGGTGGTAGACCAGATTTTCCAACCGGCGGGCTGGATGATAGAATCCAGATAACTGTTCTTGACTACCACGCGGCCGTAAGCGCTGTAAGGTCTGCCTAGATAAACTTGCCCTGTCAGATCAACCGTGGATGAAGCAGCCTCAGTGAAAAGACATTGGTCAAAGATGTATCCTCCAGCTGCAGTTGCGTCTTTGCGACTATGCGCGGTGATGGCTGATTTGGCCCGCTTGGCAGCAATGGTACAGCCCTTGAAGTAGGCCTTACTGTAACCCCAGACTAATTTTTGGTTAGTACATAGCCCTTCCCGCGGATAATAAGAACTCACTAAAGTCGATTGCGCCATCAATGTAGCAGCTCTCGTAGTACTGGTAACCCGCAGTGGCACCTGTCAACAATGTATCCTGCCATCCGATCATTTCGCAGCCATAAAAGCCAATCTTGTCACCGTACACACTGGCAGCGAGAGTCACGTAGCTAGGCGTCGCACCGTCAAGATTGTCAGTGTTGATGAACTTGACGTTGTAAAAAGCGATCTTAGTGCTGGCTGTTGCGATAGTCGCCGTGTCCGCATTACTGCGACCAGCAGGGATTGTTCCTGCGACTGAGAGTCCCTTAGCTTGAGTAATCGTGACTTGGTTGCTCATGTATGTCTTTCCAGGCTCGGTCTCAGTGTATCCGATGATGGTGACAGGGCCAGGTCGGTTGATTGATGGCACCTGCTCTTCGTATGTTCCAGGATAGATGAAGATGACTTGGGGACTCGAGTCTTTGGGAAGGCTCTTGAGCGCATCTGTGAGACTTGAGTATGAACCAGACTTTTCTCCACCAACAGAAACGACAACTGCGTTCTTGGGGGGTGTCGTGCCATCTGAAGGGTGTGATGGCCAGGAAACTTCTGGTTCTGGGTCGGTAGCAGTGGAGTCGCCAATTGTGTAACTAGGCGCAAGATTGTATGCCTTCATGTCCAACCAGCTGGTGCTTCCGATAAAAGAGCCCAAAGAATAAGCAGCGGCTTGGGACTCGGTGAGCTTTGTTGCGAAGCTTGCTCGCGAAGAAGACCAACTTCCAGGCCCTATGTTGTTGAACTCGCCGAAGAGTACATCCTATTTGTTGTTAGTATGCCTCTAGATACATTGCTCGGGTATATGAAGATATGAATCTGCCAGAACACGACCGGGGACTTATTGTGGATCATAAGCCCGCGACGATCCTTAGACAATCTTAGGCAAGGATAATTAGACAACCTTAGGTAAGGATAGTCATGATATCCTAGTGTTTGCAAACTTACCGAAGTCTGAGGGTTGCTTGTTGACCAAGCTGACCAACCGGCCTTGGAAATATGTTTATCTAGGAAAGAATTCATATACACCACAAGGGCATACTGAGACCAAGGTCGACCAAGAGCCGTGTTACCAAAGTCAATGCCATAGCTATCAGTGTATGTCACCTTACAAGTATCAAACACAAAACCGCCAGCCCAAGAAGAGGACTTTCGGTTTTGCGCTGTGATGTAGGCATTGGGCGTGTTCGAAGCGATGTAACACTGGTGGAAGTAGGTTTTGCTGTAGCCCCAGATGAAGTCTACGCTACCAGAGATGTAAGAATTAGAGAAGACCTGGACACCCTGGTTCACCAGTAGCGTATCTTGGAAGCCTTCAAACGAACAGCCGTATGCCGCCATCTCATTCCCGAAGAAGTCCGCGGCGAGGGCAGCTGTATCCCGCGTTTGAGGGTAGGTATTGGTGAAGTTGAGATTGTACAGAGCGAGACCACCTGTTGCGGTGGTGGTCTTCCAGAAGAGGACTGGAGTCTCTTCATTGCGCGACGCTCCAGTGCTATAACCCAACTTGAACCAGATGAGAACCTGGTTCTGGGTAAAGTCATTTTCGAAGCTGGTCTCACCACGAAGAGTGACACGACCCCGACCCCGATTGAGGTTGAGTTGCTCGTTATAGGAACCAGCTTTGATGAAGACCGTGTAGTCCTCGCCATCATCGGGGATAGCCGCAAGAGCAGATGCGACGGTCTTGAACTGATCACCTGTTGGCGAAGGGGCGACTGTCAGGGTAGAGCCAACTTCTGATGCACTCGTGGTTGCGGAGGCAGTTTCGGTAGCAGTGTCGGAAGCTGAAGTTGTAGTCGCATCCTGAACATACTTGGAGTCAGGCCACCCTTGAAAAGGCGCGATCGCGGCTTTGTCAATCCAAGCATCTCCACCAAGGATAGCAGCGGCGTTGATCGAAGAAGTGTCCTTCACGATTGTAGCAGCAGAGATCCGAGATGAAGAATCCCAGCCAGGGCCCGTATTGTTTCCCTCGGTGAATGTGCCAGCAAAGGTCGAGGGGGAAGAGATCTTCCAGCCTGACGGGGCAACGTGGCCATCGAGATAGCAATTGACAAATGCGACATTTGACTTGGTGCTGTAATCGCGACCAAGGAATGTACTGCCCTCGGGAGCAGAGCTGGACTCAGGTACAACCGCGCAAAGATCGAAGACGAACCGCGAGCCACCGTATTGGCCTTGGAACTTGTGTGCGGCGATGGCCTGACCTGTTGTCATTCCTTTTGAAACAACAACGGAGTTATACACATAGCCGGCACCCTGTCCCCACAGGAAGTCCGTCGTACCGCGAAGGATGGAATGACTGATGAAGAAGTTACCATAGTCGAGATAGAGAGTTCCCTGCGATGAGCTGATGTCGCATCCATAGAAAGCAACCTTCGTTCCCTTAGCGAAAACAGCCAAGGCGACAGTGTTGGCCGCCGCTTCAAATGCATTCTCGAAGTTGATGTTGTAGAAGGAAACCAGCTTCGCCTCGTACTGATTGGCTGAAAAGGTAGCTGTGCCCGATGATCCGCCGTTGTTTGAAAGGACGCCATTGCTGGAGGTGATCGTGACCTTGTTGTTCTTGGCTGAGTTCCCATCGGTGGTCTGACCTCGGACGATAGTCGCACCGACGCGCTGGATGGTAACCTTCTCTTGGTATTTTCCGGCGAGGATGTAGATGTGCTGTGTGGTATCATCCTTGGGCAGCGCGGCAACGGCAGAAGCGACAGTATCGTACGAGGCACACGGGTTGGATTTGGGGCCAACGACGAGGGCCGTACTGGGAACAGAAGATGGGAAGGCACATGAATCAGAGGTCGTTGTGGTCAGTGAATCAGAGGTCGTGGTGACCAGTGAATCAGAAGCGGTGCTGGTCAGTGATTCAGAGGCGGTTGTGGTCAGTGATTCAGAGGCGGTTGTGGTCAGTGAACCAGAGGTCGTGGTGATCAGTGAACCAGAGGTCGTGGTGATCAGTGATTCGGAGGTTGTGGTAGCGATACCGGCAGAAGTTGTCTCGGCTTCTTTTGTGTCCTTAGCGTTGCTCGCCTTGATAGCACTCAAAACGGAGGAGTCGATCCAATCGACCGATGACACAGCCACACTGGGGAAGGCGCCCTTGAAGAAGGCAGAGACCTCGTAAGGTGAGAGATCCTTGGGGTCAGTGATCAAAGTCATATACTTGGAGCGATCCGACACATCGCCAGTCGTGCCGAACTCGACATAGCGGTTCAGAGGTGACTGCGTCTTGGTATCAACGTAAACGCCTGAGGCAGCCAAGAAGCCTGAGGCGAAGTTGGTATCGCGGAAGACGGCAACTGAGCCATCGCCATTTCCTGCCGCGAGGAAGACGCGGGTATTCTTGGCCCCACTCTTCTGGACAACTTCGCAGGTGTCGAAGACGATGGTCGAGTTGTAGAGGGTACTTCCGGACGTGCCACCTTTGTTGTAGACGAGCAGCGCATTGGAATTGGTAGCAGTGATTGTCGTTCCGTAGATAAAAAGAGACGGATAGTTGTAGATCACTTTATCTTGAGCCTCAATGTATGAGTTTGCAATGATGGCAGATGCATAGCTGCCGGTGATAGCGGCGATACCAGCAGAGACGAACTCGCAGTTGTAGAAAGCGTTCTTCGAACCACGGAGGAAGACAGCGCCGGCGGAGTTCCCAGTCAAAGGGTTGGAAAATTTAATGTTTTTCCAGCTGATGCCTGCTGCCGCATCGTTGTTGAAGGAAAGCGCAGGATTGTTGTTACTAGTAGGCGCTTCGATAACGACCCCAGAAGCACCGTCGCGCTTCTTGGATGTTGCACCGAGAACGGTGACAGCTGGAGTGGCTGCAATGACGACATTCTCGGTATAAGTGCCAGCGAGGACAGTCACGGTGGGGTAGCCGCTTGTTTGAGCGGCCTTGATAGCATCGTTGATGGCTGTGTAGTCTCCGCTGCCGTCGGCGGCCACTGTGAGCACTAAAGGAGAGTCAGTCGATGTTGCAGCCACACTCTCCGATGATGTGGTTGGGTCTGATGAAGCGAATGTAGAAGAAGGAAACTCGGTCAAGGAAAGTGAAGCCTCTGAGGAGGATGCGGATGTAGGGGATTCGGTCAAGGACAGTGAAGTCTCTGAAGAGAGTGCGGGCTTGTCGCTTGTCTCAGTAGATACAGCTTTTGCTCCCAACTCAAAGGTCGTGTCGGTTGATGAGGTTGGAAAAGAAGATGTGGCCGACACCTGTTGTGCACTTGACTCTGTGAACGAGGTCTCTGATTCAAGGCTGACAGCGGTGGTACTGGTCAAGTCCCCGGCAAGGGATCCAGTTGTGGTCGTGGCATCACTAGATGAATCCAAGGTGGCATCCAGTGTCGACAAGCTGCCACTGGTTTCGGTTTGCGTAAAGGGGAGTGCGGATGTAGTGGTTTCGGAGCCTAACGTTTCGCTCGAGGTGGTGCCCGAAGACGATGTTGCCTCAACTACCTCCTTGCCATTGAGACCACTGACAATGGACGCCGATGCTTCATCGGAAGTTGTATGGGTACTGACAGCACCGCCGATGACACTGGAGGTTGACTCCACAAAACTCTCAGAAGTTGATCGCGATGTCTCATCGGTTGACGTGTAAGCACTGGTGGCACTGAAGGCGACACTGGAGACGACACTGGAAGTCGACTCCACAACACTCCCAGATGTCGACCCAAACACCTCATCGGTTGTCGTGTAGGTACTGGCAGCACTGGAGGCGGCGCTGAAGACGACAGTAGTAGAAGCCAACTCCACAGCACTGTCAGACGTCGATCCGGATATAACAGATCCGGAATTCGTTGCGACGCCAATAAGATCACCGGTCGTCGTAACTGACTGAATTGTAGAAGCCAAAGACTCGGCGATCACAGGACCACCCAGAGGCGCTCGAGGCTTACATGCCGACGATCGTCGAACAAGTGGGTTGATTTGAGGAGCGAAAGAAGACGACCCAGTATCTCTATCATTGAGATGGTTCAAAGGAGTGACAGGAAGGGAATGAGTGTAAGAGCCAGAGGCAGAATTAACGAGAGGATTAACGGAACCTTCTTTTGCAAAACCACCTCCAACAAATGGAAGCAGTAACCAGAAGAATCTGGCCATCGTGAACCGTATTTTCCAACAACAGCACAAAGAAACAACACAAGAGACGACGAACGAGAGAAATACGTGAATAGGTAGGTAGGTTACATTGCTACCGGGGTTTCAGGTAGTGATATTAAATTAATCGACTGATCACCTACAAAAGCCTCGACTCCTGATGAGAAGGCGATAACTGTCACAAGATAAAGTCCATCAAGTTCTGGATTACTCGCTTCGCCCGCAGACAATACGTAGTCTCGGGCAGAAGAACAGCTGAATCTAAGGGTTCAATAGACTATCGATTTTTAGAACCGAAGTAAAGGAACTAGAATTGAAGCAAGCGAATGAAACATTTGGATCAAGATGCAACGGTCAGGGGTCGACTCGGCCGTGATCGAATTAGCTCCGGAGGAACTCTGTCGTGACGGACAAATATGCCTGTTTGGGAATGACCTCAACGGTGAAGTCGAATCGTCTCATGTTCTAGTCAGGGACTAAGACCAATTAGATTCTGTTAGTGACGGCCGTTTGGGAGGAACCAGATTGCTGGTAAAGTTAAGCGTTCGACCAGAGATCGCCAAGAAGAGGCTTCTCGGGAGACACTTCATCCACATCACGAAGGCGATTGAAGTCGGTTAGACCAGTCGTGGAGTTGTTATCATCGCTTCTCATTTGTCTATCAGGCTTCCAATAGCACCAAGTACTCTAAGATCAAGTCTAGATGGTAGAAGAATTTAAGTACATGACTGCTCTCCTCTATTTACCCTATGTCCAGCGCAAATTCATCCCAATGATCCCCAGGCTCTTCTGCCTCCTTGGCGGACCCCAATCCTTTTTGCCACTTACTTCACTCTAGCTTAAAATGTTCAACTTCGGTTCCGCACATGCCCTCAATTGGGCCGCTTCAAGAAGGTTCTGTGCCAGACCACTCACAGTGACAACGTCGTCACGGCCAAATACAGGGGTAATCTCCTGAGACTATCGAATTCTGCCTCTAGAAATAGTAAGACGCGCCGTTACAGCTGTTCTCAGAGGCGGCGTTGGTTCCCGAGCTAACACCCATAAAGAAAGCTTGTCCTGAACGCCACCGCCACTAGATCAGAAAAAGCAGATATCGCGAGATTGAGATTTTGACAGCTAAGCTAAGGCTGTCCACGTGGACTTCGCCTATCTCGTTAAGCCTAGGCTGGATGCCGAAGACCCCTGACCTTGTCGCGGTTTAGGTTAGTTTGCTCAAGCCATGTCGACCGGTCTCATGGTAAGGTCTGTTATTCCTCACGACCCTTAGTGGCAATCACTCAGCTTTTATACACAACCGATCTATGAATTTTTTACTCGTTGTGCTGAATGGGGGGGCCATCAATGATGCACGACTTCCTTGATTGTGCCGGCGACAGGCAGTGTTCGATATATTTTTCTTTCGCGACGTTACTTGATACCGACCAGCGTCTTGACCTGAACCATAAAGCCCAGAGATAAATGGAGATTCTTAAGCTTCGAGATGAGTATAGTAACTTGTAATCTGTCAGTTGTTCAAGAGCACACCCAAATACAGAGCCTCTATAGAGAAGACGCTTTCACCACACAGTCTGATACATTTTGAGCAGCTATCCTTTTATTGTGTCTTTGGACAATTATTTATTAATTCCAACTATTCTGAGCTCACACTGCCATTAGCATCATGACTTTTGCTCCCAGAATTGTGCTGTAGACACTTGAGAGAGCACGTTTTCGAGCCAAAAATTCAGCATCCTCGCTTGCCGCTCCATTAGTAAACGGCCACTTGAGGTCGCGTTTTCTGGAGTTCCGATTCTTTGCTTTTGTCAGCCCGGCACCAGGAGTGCTGCCTAAGATGCCTACCTGTAGGTATGCAGATCCGGGAAGGCTCCTTCTCAAAGTAAGGAAGTAGCCAGCCAGGTGAATGCCTGAAGAATTATGCTCTAAGGCTTAGAGTACAGAAATAAAGTAGCCTAAATATCCACCTAAGTTAGCATAAAATGACCAAATTATTTCGTCTCTTATGCTCTTGGCGGCCGATTTTTCTAACACCCTGACGCCAGCCGGTACCTCATGACCCACTTCACGAGGTCTTCCATCAGTACAGGGCGCTAGCTCCCTTCCTTCATCATCACATACCCGATAACCCGAATACATACGCTTCGCTTTCAGACGATGGAATTCTTCAGTTCAACTACTTTTGTTGAGGGCTGGGAGCGGCCTGAGGACTACATGGCCGTCGATGAGCAAGCGCTGGGACTACCTGTTCCAGAGGAAGTTAAGCGTTCCCCATCGTTCCCTGTAAGTTACTCAACCGACTAAGCTCTATACTCCTCCTATCTGACTTTTATGTAGGGCAAGAGCTGCAGCAGCAGCAGGATCAGAAAGAGGCCAGCTTCGGGCAAGAGTATGCCCGCCTCCCAAACTCAGAGATAGATTGGGCCCAGGTCGCTGTTTTCTCGCCGGGCCCCCGGCATCCAACTGTTCCCTGGAGCCCCACCCCCTAGCTCTTCAGGCATTATGGTGTTCCGCCTCCGTCAGATCCTCCTCTCTTTGCTTGTTTAGGACGCAAAGATTGAGGACTCTGAGCCTGAGCGAGAGGCTCAACGCCAGAAGAGAGTCCGAGAGGAGGACCGAATCCGGCGTGAGGCAGAACTTTTGAACGACGAGCCACCACGACATCGTCAAAGGCGCCAGGTAAGTGACAAGGGAATTATCTTCTAAGGCTTAGGATACTGAACTAAAGTAGCCTAAGTGCTAGTCTAAGCTCTCATAAGAAGACCAAAGTCTTTCGTCTCTTATGCTCTCGGCGTAAAGATGAACTCGCCAATGAGCCACCGTCACAACGGACGCGCTCCCAGAAGCTCAAACAAGACTATATGCGAAAGTACATTCTACGCGGACGATTACATTTCATGACAAGGTCAACCCATGATGACCCGTCTCAAGCTCTTCTCCTCGCTGTCTCCCGCACTTGTACACATCCTCCTAAACGCACCATCTTTCTCCCACAACTCCCTTGGTGTCCCAAATTCCACCATACGCCCTCCGTCAAGCACGAGGACTTTATCAAAGTCGGCGACGGTACTCAACCGGTGCGCGATAACGATCATGGTTCTATCAGTAAACCATTCGCGAATACTCTTTTGTATCAAGACGTCGGTCGCCATGTCAATAGCAGACGTCGCCTCGTCAAGAACAATGATCTTGGAAGCAGCAAGGAGTGCTCGTGCGATACAAAGGAGTTGCTGTTGGCCTTGAGAAAGATTGCTGCCGGACTCGGCTATGGGACTTGATAGATCGTTGAAGATGCTACTGTTGGATGTATCGTCTTGGCCTATGAGATGGACCCTGACGAGGGCTTCGTAGAGTTGGATGTCGGTGTATTCGCCGAAAGGGTCTAGGTTGGAGCGGATGGTGCCTGAGAAGAGGACAGGGTGCTGAGGACTTGTTAGTTGCATGCAGTCAAATGAAGGGATGGCCCTACCTGAGGGATGATGGACATCTTCGATCTCAAATCCGTCAATTTGAGCATCGAAATATCGACGCCATCGATCGCAATACTCCCAGACCTCGCCTCCAGGAATCGGAAGAGAGCTAGAGTCAGTGAAGACTTGCCAGCACCTGTCCGGCCCACCACACCAACACGCTCACCATGTCTGATCTTAAAGCTCAACCCCTTCAGCACAGGCGGCAGATCAGAAGAATACGCGACCTCCAAGTCCTTCGCTTCAAGGCTGGCTGAGCTTGGCCAAGCTGCAGCAGCATTCAAGCCACCAAGATATTCCGTTTCGAGGTTCATATACTCAACCACTCGCTCCATGGAGTTCATCTCCAACTCCATGTCTCCGTATGATCGGATTGTCCAGCGAAGACTTTCGGAAAAGTCCAGTATGAATGAGAGGGCTAGGCCAGCTAGCGCAGCATCAATCGACTTGGCGATAATGACGATACCAACAGTGATGCTGAAGAGGGCAGTGATAAGGGCCATTCGAAAGCTCATCCACCGATTGGCTAAGGCGATGTAAAATGTTGTCATCGTCCAAGCGTTCAGATTACTGTGCATCTGCTCAAGATACGTCTGTGTCTTCCGAAACACACGAATAGTAGCAATGCCAGCCAATGTCGTGTTAAACAGCTCAAACACAGGTGATTTGGCATTGCTTTCGAGTCGCTTCAAAGGCCGACTAGCAATAAGATACCTATTACCTATGACAGCACCAATAGCTAATAGCACGACCGCCGGCGGAATAAGGTATACAGAAGCGAAACAAGAAGCGATGCAGATGCTGACAAGTCTCAAGAGATGTGAGAAGAACATACTCCAGCTCAAAGCGATTCTTTCATCGATGATATTGAAGTCTGCCGTGAAGCGATTCAGGATCCGACCAGTGTGGACTGTGTCCAGCCACCGTAGAGGGGCGTGCATTACAGCAAAAAGCATTCTCTCGAAGAGGGACTTGCTGGCTCTGACGGCAAGATAATAAGATGACAGGTATCTTAAAATCCCGACGGTGGCAGTGGCGACAGAAATCGCGATATATAGCTTCAGATAGAACAAAACATCAGGGTCGAGTTCAATCTGTGCGAAAGACCGGTAGAGTAGCTGTTGTGTTGAGACTGTCGAACCAACAACGTGATGGATGCCATCTGCGCCTGCGCTGGATCTGGCAGTCCAGATACGAAGAATCCAAGCTCTTCCTAGAGTTCCAGCTTGATAGGCAAGGTAAACAGCGATGCAGATCATCCAGGGGCGAGTACCGCCGCTGCCTTTGACATATGCCAGATAAACTCCACCCTTCACGTTGCCTTTCTGACGCGTTTCCTCTTGCATGAACTTCTTTGGCGCATCTTCTGACTTAGAAGGTTGGTTTTCGCCTACGGTGGTAGAAACTGAGGATTGACGACGGTCTGAGAAACTATGAGAGCCGTGGTCCACCTTCATAGTGTCCTGAGTATCTGCACTCAGTACTTCTAAGTCCAGCTGATCGTCCGACAGCTCGAATTGACTCTTGGGAGGCCCAGAGTAAAGAACACCGCCCTCACCAAGCTCAACATAGAAGCTAGCACCAGGCATGACAAGACCCAGATGATGGGTGACGATAATTCTCGTCCTTCCGTGGCAGATATCCCCTGTTAGACATCCGTCGTAGATCGAGGCTCCGACATGAGAGTCAACAGCGCTAAAGATATCCTCCATCAATAGAATCTCTGCACGCGAATATACAGCTCGCGCGAGAGTAACACGCCATTTCTGGCCGCCACTTAAATTGACACCATTCGCTCCAATTTCAGTGTCATCACCGTCTTGAAGTAAGGAGAGATCTTCTGTTAGAGCACAGGCGTCTAGGACTTTCTTGTATCTCGATTTGTCCATCGGGAGACCGAAGAGGATGTTGTCGCGAATGGAAGCGTTTTCTAGCCATGGAGTTTCACTGACGTAGGCAACTGAGCCTGGGATGATCCAGTTTCTAGTCTCTATTGGCTGTTTTTTGGGTACATAGATTGAGCCGCTCAGTAAATCCGCTTCGCCTAAGATGGCAGATAACAGAAGAGTCTTGCCTGTGCCGACCTTGCCGGATACGACAGACAGGACATGGTTGGGAAAGGATAGACTAAGCTTGGAGAGTGCAAAGTCACCTTCCATCGACTTCTCGGAGGCGCTGGGCCAGGCAACAGACGCATTGTGGAAGCTGATTCTATCGCCAACTAGTAGTTCGGTTTGCTTCTCCGGCTCATCGAGGTAGGTACTGATTCGCCTCAATGACACCAACGAGTCTAGTCCCAGGGTGAAGAGCTCAGGAAGAGAACCCAGCGTTGTCTCGAGCGTATTAAATATTCCGATACTGACGAACGCGACGGAAGGCAATAGTGTACCATGAACAAGCACATATGTAGTCAAGGCCGCGACAGCCAGAAGGATTGGGCTTATTACCCAACATGCAAACAGTCCGCTATCAGCAAGAAAGAACTTCCACAACGTCGCCAACTCAGCGTTTCGCAGAGCTAGAATCCTTTGCTCCCATTGTGCTTCCAGAGCGCAGAACTTGATTTGTCGCAGACCAGTAAGCACCTCGCTGATCTTTGACAATTTGACGTCGCGATGTCTCATTAATGTTCTCGACTCTGTGAGCACTTTGCCCGAGAACCAGGTATTGAAGGGTAACGTGAGAGCCCAGGCCACGATGCCTCCGATGAGGGGAAGCCATCCTAAAATGCGAAGAAGGAAGAACGAGAAGATGATGAGTTTGACGATGCCGGCTAAGATGAGGAAGTGGTATTGGAGGAAGTAGAAGAGACGTTCAGTGTCGATGCCTACCAGATTAACGATTGCTTGGTGAGACTTGAGGGAAGTCTCGTCTTCCTCCGACGTGGCATCGGACTCGGAGACAGAGTCATCACCACCTGCAGTTCTGATGTTCTTTCGCAATAGAACCTTGCTGAAGATGAGCCCAGAAATTTGTGACCTAATTGGCAAGGCAAGACTCTCAAGGGCATACCAATATGCCCAGCCCTCCATCCACTAAAAGCTGTCAGTTCCCTGTCGCAGAAGAAGTTAGAGGGTGTAATTACCGAGTCCAACATATTCGAGAACGCCATGCCCAAGACAAACACCATTAACTTCATGTTATCCGATGGCGTCGTGCGGTCCTCGAGGACATTGATGATCTTGAGCATAAACCAGAACGGAAGAATGCTAACAGCACACCGGACCAGAGTAGCTATCCATAAAATGAAAAGCCTGCCCTTATACAGGGCTATTATGTACCGGATCAGCGAGCCGTGTCTTGGCTGTTGATTCCATTGTTTCTTAAGCTCTTGCGATCGCAACCTTGAATCCGCCTGCGGTACATCTTTCGTGTCCAAGTCTTGCTGTTGCGCTGCATGACGCAGAAGAGGTTGGATCCACGTCCATGTCAAACGCCCCAGCAAAGATGTACTGTATTGGCGATCGACAGCGACGTTTTTGTGGAAGACATCCGGTCTTCTTGGGAGACAGGTGCTAGCGAACGTCAATGCGACAGCAAATAAGGTGTTGACGACGGTAAGAACGATCGCGCCTGTAGGAGCTTGAGTTTGATTCGGGAATAAATGGCTGAGTCGAAATAATGACGAGACTGTCAGAGCTAGAGCAGTGAATAGCAACAAGATTCCCAGCTTGTGAGCTATTACAGGTGAATGCTGGATAGCGATGCAAATGCCATGAACAAAAGCCAGTACCTAATAACATTAGAACGTGTAAACCAGCCAGAGGAATATCTTATATCTTACCCAAGTAGCAACATTTAATACAGCCACGATAACCGACCCATGGTGAAGGGTAGCCGAAGCGAGACCAGCAATGGATGCACCGACGCCAATTGCAGAAATCGCGATAACGAAGCCTTTGGAAACCTTATTCGTGAACTTTGCAAGAGTTTCTGGCGAGGCACACCCATCAGCATCTTCATAGAATTGATCTCTAGCTTTCCCGTTTCTCGACTGAGTAAAGGCCGATTGCAAAGCAACAGAACATGAGAGTAACGAGACGGCCAGTGTCACACTGCCCAGAGAGAGCAACAAGGTTTGACTCATGATTAAAACATTGAAGCATTCGCAAAGGTTGATGTCGAAAGTACAAGACTGGTTGATCTGACGATGGCAGCTCCCTTCACACGTCAACCAGATATGTTAGTCAAGTTGCAGTTAATGATTACAGATTGCCAGTTTTCTCATAGCTATGTCATCGAGATTGAGTAAGCTAGGGACTTGAGTGCATTAGATCCCTGGTGCGATCTACGAAACTATCGATGGGGAGGCCCAAGAGTTTGGTCCACCTCCGCGAGACACGGGATGATGAGACCGGCCAATGCCTGGATGTCTCACCGTCAGATTATAGCAAGTTAACTGCTAGGGAGCCGTCAGGGTGCCAGAAGAATTGACCGCTGAAATCATAAGAGACGAAATAGGTGGATTACTTTATGCTAAATTGTAGTAGATCTTAGAATACTTTATTTTGGTAGCCTAAGCTTTAGAGAACATTTCTTCTGTTACCCACCTGGGTGCTAGGGAGCTACGGAGTGAAGGGAATGTTGTCTCTAAGACATGACACATACGAGGCTGTCCTTGACGTGTATCACAGCAGAATGTCATCCGATGCTGATGTTGAAATAAGCAAAAGTCATTCGCGATTGAACGACGCTTGAGTGAATAATTCGACGCATCATGAGATAGATTCCGATTCTATGCAACACCAAGGGATGTAGCTCGTACTACTTTCTCATAACAGAACAAAGCCACGACCCACCAGAAGACACTGCAACGATACGTCCTCCACTGGCTCTCCAGGTGCCAAGTCCCAATAGTTCCCCATGAGCGACATGGTATGTGCCAACGAGAGGATATTGTACCATTCCCTCTGAGGCACGTAGTACAAGATCATAGTTGCGGGGAATGATGCGCCGCTGTACAACACATGATACGCCAGGGACGATATCAGCAGAAGTCAGACCCTTGAGACGAGACATCCATTCGTCAGCCGTCAGGTCATCGCCAAAAATGATCCCATCACCCTTGCCGCTCCGAATAGGTTTGAGAATATGTCCATGTCGTAGTTCGGGAGTACTGCATGATGCTTGAATGAGGTTGTTCAGCTCATTGGATCCAGGAAGAATTGTATCAACGATACCGCTGCTTAGAGCCTCAACTTGTGAATCTGTCAGAACGCCACGAGCCAATAGTCGCGGCAATTCTTGCCTGATAATTCCCAGCATACGTTTGTCGTGCACAAGTAACACGGTACGCATGTCGTTAAAGCATCGGAGGCTGACCTGCTGTAACACCCCCAGGTCCAATGCGTCAAGTTCACGCTGGTGGAGTTCAAGTCCAACTTGGTGGATTTCTTCCCAGACCTCGCCATTCTTGGCTGTGAACCTCCAAGCATTGATCGCCGGCTCATGGAGGTTCTTGACAACGCAACATAGTCTGTACCCTGTCTTGCTGCGCAAATCTGGTAGTAGTCTCAGCTGTGCTGGTGTTACTAGTCTAGGCTTAATACCGAAGCGACGCCAGACAGCTTCAATAAACATGTGAATATCGATGCCCTTTTCGTCACCCTTCAGCAGATGCAGAGGATAGTTCGGATCGAACAAGCTGAATAATCCCTGCAAGATCTACATTGCTGTCAGAATAAAGCGTGGTTACAATATGGGGTTGGATGTCTTACCCTCGAAGGGTCCGTGGCGCCAACAAGCCCTGTTGTTTCACTTCGAACACTCCGATTGATGGCTTCTTGACCGTATGCCTCATGCATGAACCCATTGAAGGAGAAGCGCGCATTGATTTCGGTGATGCAATATAATTCTTCGCGCTGGGTGGTTTCTTCCACGAGGAAGTCTGGGCGCCATGAGCCTAGACAATGCGCAAACTGAGGCAGGTTACCAATCGCGACTTGTTTCTCGATCCACTGAAGAAGTGTTTCTTCTCTGGCCTCCAAGGGCATACGTTCTGGGAATCGTGCTTCTGTGTCGCTCCACCAGCGTTGCACAATATCCATAATGGCTGCTGTCAAAGCCTCATGCAGATCTTGCATCTGCTGCTGGTGATGTCCACCCACAAGGACAGGGCGAGGGCATCCTGATGCGTAGGAACCATTGTGCCAGAGGTTCGCGGGGCATAGCTTCAGGACAGACTCCTGTAGCTGAGCTTCATCTCGCGCGAAGGCAGCCACATCCATATCCATGTTGTGACTGGATACAGGTGCAACATCATCAGCACCAGGACCGACAAAGATATGAGTGAGTTGTTGGGTATGCATTGCGACATTGAGGGCCGAGGGTTGGCGGCAGGTGGGTAACAGAAGAGATATCCTCTAAGACTTAGGCTACAGAGAAAAAGTAGCCTAAGTACTGGTCTAAGCCGGTATAAGGGGACCAGGTTATTTCGTCTCTTATGCTTTTAGCGGTTAATTCCTGTGATACCCGACGGGGGAGTTAGTTTGCTGGATAACCGTTAAGGAAGAGGGATCACTGCGAGACTATTTATGCACGGAGAAACGAAAGTTGGCGTTTGCCTACGAAAATAATCAGTCAAGACAGGCAGGTGCTTCTCAACAAACCTAGACCCAGACAAAATCCCTACGGACGCCTTCCATGATCGCTGTTAATAAGCCCGACGCCCCATCAGGGTCTCAGTCACTTACTCGTCTTCATCGTACTACTGTCCAACATGCTTTTCTCGAGTACTGCTCGTCTTCTTCGACCCTTTGCGTCCAATCTTTCTCCTCTCTCAGCCCCTGGACTTGCGACGCTGGCTTCACAGCATACACTCCAAGTCCTAGAGGCCCCGACCCTTTCATTCGCTCAACAACGCGACCATGTCGACCGAGTGTCCTCGCAGCTAGAGCGTACAGGCATACTCAAGATCATTCTTGGCTTCTCCGATACCTCAAGCTCTTATCTCAAGCAGCTTCTTATGAGTCTGCATGAGCTCCATCACCACCGCCTACCTATATCGCATAGTGCTAAGCGTGGCTGGTTTTGGGATGTTCGACCCAACGACACTACGTTCCAGGCGGGTAACCACCAAGTATGTTCATCCTTTTCACACTTATTTGATACATCTAACTGGTTCTTTAGGCTCGATCGGAAACTATGAATGAGTTCCCGTAAGTACTGCCCTCTTACATAAATCTCTAGTCAGGTACTAACATCTAAAAAGTTGGCATACCGATTGTAGCTATGAGCCCGAGCTACCTCGATACTTTGCTCTTCAAGTTCTTCAGCACGATCGCTACGGTGGAGGAACTCTCTCTGTGATGAACGTTGAGAAGCTCAATGAACTTCTTTCCACAGAAAGTAAAGCTGCTCTCATGGCACCCGAGTTCCGCATCGAGGTCCCACCGGAATTTATCAAGGATCAGGAAAGAAAGCACATCACTGGGAGTATCCTCATGTCGAATGGTCAGTCGACCATGATCAGATTCAGAGAAGACATTGTCACGCCATTGACGTCCCGAGCAGAAGTAGCGCTGCAAGAGCTTTGTACAGCACTCATGCAGCAGGAGGTACAAGCACACACAACCCTGCACCTCAAATCATCGGATTTACCCAAGGGATCCATCATTCTAATGGACAATCGTCGTTGGCTGCATGCTCGGAATGACATCAAGGATCCTGAGCGTCATCTTCGCAGGGTGAGATGGGACGCATGTGCTTTCGATAGTTCCAATTAGGTTGATAAAGAGGGGCAATGATGAACTCGCGTAATGTCGTATAGCTATGTTTGTACTTGATCTTGCATGCAGGACGCGTGCATAAAATATCTTGCTTTGCGCTACGCCTCACCGATCCACGGTATTACAATGCTCGCACCTTCTTCAAGTGGCTAAACTGCAGCTGGAAAGCATTCAGGACTCCGTCTAGGCATTCAGGTAGACAACAGAAGAACTATCCTCTAAATCTTGGGTCGTTAGATTAAGGTCGCCTAAGAGCTAGTCTAAGCTTGTATGAGGTAAACAAAGTATCTCATCTCTTATGCTTTCAGAGCTCGTTCTTCTGATGTCACTCTAAAAAGTACTGTTAAGATACTGAACCTCATCTATCGTTGGTCACAGTTAAGCATGTTAGTTAACGATGTGCTGTCTCCCCACTCAAAAATCACGGCCCCCGAACTCGATCGCAAGGATGTCATCGCCACCATCCCAATGTCTCGGTACATCATCAACCTTAGCCCTCCTCAGCAATATTGTCCAGCAAGCCTCATTCCTAGCCCATCCCGTCCCGCTTGAGCCGTTGCTGATCTCCTGCAAGACCTTTGCTGGCGTCCGTCCGCGATCCCGGCGTGGCAGCATTTCGAGACCCGATTCGATGGGTTGACAGATTACTGCCGCGGCTACCTACATTCTTGAATGCTCCGAGTCCGATCGGCCTCCCTGAGAATCTTCTATCCAAGAGCTGCTTCAGTGACAGCATGTCGGATGTCTTGCTCTTCGCTCGTCATCTGAGACAGCTGAAGTGAATACACATTAGCCAATTGTAATACTCAACACTTTGAGGCCATGGCGAATATTGGAGGGATATTACGTGGGGAGGCAGTATTGGAGCTGCTCAGTCGGCCGCTCTCGTCTACTGATGGCAGCCTACCTCTGCAGAAGGGTACTCTGTACATGTACATGCATATATAAGAGTCCAAGTTCGGTTGCGCGGCTGCTAGAAGCATTTTCACTGAGAGGCTCAGATACCAGATATTCATCCTCCAGCAGAATCAAGAGAATGGACCCGAGCACCATGCATACACTGGCCGATGTCCTGGCGGTCGCAAAGATACATCCGTTCTATTCAGATGCAACATACCCGCCAGGAGATGAAGCTGTTCGCGCGGCCGGAAAGAAGGCTTCTGCGGAGAGCAGTGAAGCCAAATATCCAGGCAGAAGCTTGATCAAGCCGTTATTCAACCTGCTTCCCTTTGGAGGTCGGGAGAGGCCTGAGCAAGTCGGTCTGAAGGCACATCCTCTCCTTCATAAGAAAGACCTGTAAGTGGCCTACTGACTTCGATGATCACGTCTAACTTTCCTAGATACAAGGTCATTGAGAGACTGGTCAATGATACCAGTCCGGAGAACACGTACCGTCACAATGTATACACAAGTGTGACAGGTGGTGGAAGTACTCTGTCAGTGCCATTGTTCTTTGCGACTAATGCTCTAGAGAACCGTCAGCAAAGAACTTACTTCGGGGAGTTCTTAAAGAACATCGGTCTTATTGAGCGTGGCGACTGGGTTTTATCGACTCATCATGGAGGCAATCTTTACAGGTAGGCAAATGCTCAAGCGCAAGGCCCAATAGGCACGACGCTTACGATGTACAGATCCCTCGACTTGACGTGCGAGATTATGGAGAACGCCGGCGCTTCCGTGCTCGCTGCTGGGAACGTTGCTCCTAGTCGTGCGGTGCATTGGCTACAGGAGTTTTCTGCAAATGTCCTCACAGGGTAAGTCTCATTCTGTACGCCTCGTATGTCGAGATCGGAGTCTGACCCTCACAGTGACGGGAGTCAAATCGTTGCAGTGGTCCATCATATCTCAACTCTGAAAGAGGGCAGAGAAAAGATCAAACTCAACAAAATTATCTACACTTCGGAAGGACTCACAGTCGCACAAAGAGCGCATATCCTTGAAGTTCTGGGACCAGTCAAGATCTGCTCTATCCTAGGCAGTGCAGAGGCTGGACCATACGGAGCGAACACTCCTGAGCTTACTCCTACTGAGCCGGGTGCCGCATACAGCGACTTTCTATTTGACATTCGCATGATTCTTATTGAGATCCTGCCGCTTGACTACGACGAGATTCAGAGTGATACAGCTCCAGAGACTCTTCCTGAGGGAGAAACAGGCGTGATTGCACAAACTGTTCTCGCGCGCTTACGAAACCCTGTCGTTCGTTATATAACCGGCGATGTAGGTTCCATTCATCCTCTCCCCAAAGGATGCCAGTCGCGGATTCCCCAGAATGACCAACCCTACTTCCGCATCCTTCGCCTTCACGGCCGCGACCAGCGCTTCAGCTTCAGTTGGGATGGCTTCGATACTAGGTTTGACACCCTGGCTACCATACTGTCAAAGGAGGAATACGGTGTTCTTCAATGGCAGGTTATCTTGGAAAAGATGGAGCCATCCATGGAGGTCTTCCTCGAAATTCGGGTACTTTGTAAAGATGATGCGGGATCTGGATCTCGAGAGGCTTTAATTGCCCGCATGAAGACGCTTTTTGACAATAACCCTGTTAATCAGCACAGATTTAAGGTGGCTTTTATTGAAGGGATTGACGGATTTGAGTTGAGTAAGACGGGACAGAAGGTTATCAAATTTGTTGATAGATCTGCCTAAACTTCCATGCCAAGGACACTATCTCCACCGAATGGTGGGCTTTCATTTCTAGCAGATGCAGACTCAAGTCAGTAGGTATACTGTTCATTCGTGTATCGTAAACTGTCTCATCTTCAGTTTAATTTTATCCATAACTTTGGTGATTTCTTATAGTTCTTTACTTATAAATACATCCAGTCTCTGTACCAAATTGGAAGCTGTATTGTATCCCGGGTACTCAACGTTAAGCCTGATTTTACGATAAGATCTTATCAGATCAGCCGCGCCGCACTAACGCCAAATCTCACTTAGCAATAAAAAGAATCCACATTCAAGGCAGCAACGGCGATTTCTTCTTCTTAGCCCCTGGATACCTAAGTGATAAATAGCTCGTCAGATGCAGTTAAATTAATTGTTCGTCTTTTCATAATTAATTGTTCCTCTTTTCATTATTTTTTCGGCTTCTCAAAATGACTTGGAACCATCATTCCCTGGGCGAAGCTCTCCCAATTGGCGCATCGCGACGATCTTCGTCTGCTTCGGAAAGATCGACACAGGCATCCCTGGCAAATGGACCTGCATCTTCTCAAACTTCGAATCACAACTCTGAAGATGAACAGGATGAAAGTGATGAGGGCGGAAGTGAATCTGGGTCGGAAGGCCCCAGAGTTCCAGCTTATACTGTCCAAGAATTGGTCGCCATTATCCTAGACTTTTACCAATTCTTGACAACGCTTCACTTCAACCCTGAAGATCTCAAAGTCGCTCCACCAGAGGGATGGCCTAGTCTCACTCCTGAGCTCCTTTCAGGACTTGACAAGTCCGACAAAGTTATCGAATTCATGCGTCACGCCCCCTACTTCAAACAGCGCGATTGGCCAGTCGGTTTTCACTACAAGTCCCAACTGTGTGATATCCCCGAGTACACAGAAAAGGACATCGCAGAGGAAATGAGCTGGGGAGAGGACTACGACTTTGACTGGGACGATGCTGAGCCCGACCAAAAGCATTACATTCGTCTCGCTGACGGCATGGAAAGCGGAGCGCATCTATTGTGGCTCGATGTCAAAGATGGCATGATTGTCGACTATGAGTTGAAAGGCGACAGCGAAGATCCTGTGGATATTCAGGTGTACTTCAACCGTCTAAAAGACCAGTATCGAAGATTGGTTTTGGTTCCTGGGCCTCCCGGGATAATCACTGCCGACTGGGAGGAGATCGACGAGGTTGAGGATGATGAGGTGATTACCGAGGAGCAGTTTCTGGCGCAGGACGAGGATATTAGTCGTGATGAGAATGTTCCGTTTGCGAGGAAGTTGTATCGTAGTTTTGGATGGCCGGATGCTTTCAGAAGAGAAGAGTGTTGGGCAGAGGTTGAAAGGTTGCAAGGTGCGATGGAAGAGATGGAGGAAGATATCTGGGAGGGATCACCTTTGGGTACTCGGCGCACCTGATACCAACCCTATTCGATAGGCGAGTTGAAAGTGTCATAAATAAGACTTTTCTTGCAAATATGAGATCTAATCTCTCCTGAAACAAATGTAGGCAAAACCAAAGCATGGGATACATATTTAGAATGGTTTTAGAATAACCACGTAGCAAAGGAAGTGCCATTTGAAGCTCTTTCATATCAGGCAGTTCCGGACCAAGACTTTGAATATACAATCGAAAGCCAAAAGAACACAAGGCCATCCTGTATCAAATATACGAGATTTCTATACTATAAGGCCATCATGTAGTAATATCTATTCCCCTTGCCCTTCCTCTGTCTTATCTTCCTCGTTCCATCAGGCAAAACCTCCAGGTATTCATTTAGTCCAGGTAAATAACCAAGCTCTTTCTGTTTCTGCTTGGATATCTTATCTGCGTCTTTCTCAGCAGCTGTAGGTGGCCTCGTAGGAAGAGGTACTTTGCGCTTGCGAGCATCTTGGACGGCCAGATAGAAGCCCAGATCATCTTGGATTTGACTTAATTGCTCCGAAGATAATGTTGAAAGTTGCTTCTGAACTTCGGTTGAGAGTATAGGTGCTGATGAAGACGATGGTACATAGGATGGCTGTGTGTGGTAGAATTCTGGTAGGTCGTCTCGAATCCTCTCGCAGATCCAGCAACAGCACTGGTTTGATCCAAGCGGCTCATCACCTCCATCCAAAATCAATTTCAGATCCTCCTTGGAATCAGTTTTGTTTTTCCGGATCTCCACTAGAAAGGCTTTATAAAGCCGTGGAAACAGGCTATGCGTTCTCCAGAATAAACGAACGCCGAATGGTAAACTCTCCAATACATCTTCCTCGACAGCATTAGGCTCTCGCAAATGAAAGTCTAGATACTCCCCGCCGGCGCGGCCCAACGACCCGTGTAAAGCAGGGGAACGAATCCATAGCCGCTGATGCGACTCATCAATGAAGCTGTCATACTTCTTAACTTCGATGAATAAATCTATCTTGAACTGCAATTTGCCGGAGTCGGTATATGCCGGAGGGCTGTTCAGATACGTGAGAATATCGCAAGATTGCTCTGATAGGTTCGTGAACAGATTTTGAGCAGCGCGGGGTAAATTATATTCCATCTTATCCATATCAATAACGTCACGTATGGCTGGCCATGGAAAGCAGAGGTTCTTGAGCCTTGCAATATCGCCATCATGGGCTTGGCAGGCAGCCTCATAAGCCTCTGCGTTCAACATCAGAGCGTACCACACCAGAAGTATGTCCAAAGGTGGTAAGTAATCCTTCGTTAGCTGAAGAGCAACTTGACTCCCAGCATGGTGCGAATAAACGCTGGCATGGTTCAAAATCATGTCAATATTTGACCACCAAGCCGTAAAGCGCGTAATAGCCAACTTGATAAGGAAATCCCATCTTTGAGACTCAGGCAGTTGCGCAGTCTCTGACGATGACCCAGCCGTGGATTTCTCGATATATGGAGGTGGTTTTTCAACGCTGACGTCAAGAGCTCTCGCGCTAGCTCTCAAATCCCGAAAACACTCAAGCAGAGCCAGATGAACTGCGGCATGGCTAGCATCTGGGTAAGCGAGCAGAGTTTCAACCCTCACAGGTTCGAATTCTGTCGGAATAGAGAACACGTTGGCAAAAACCTTTGGGTTCGGAATTACGGTTGGCTTTGATCCTGGCTGAGATGTTGCGTAGGAGGAAGGAAGCTTCCATGCATGTGGATCCAGTGTTGACTGGTCCGGGGTTTGTTCTGGGAATTTTCCCTTGCGGAGACGAGAGAAAAGATTCATCGGAATTTATGTTTACTAGAAGGAAGAAGACGGCAAAAAAATGTCAATATTTCAAGAAAATTGAACTTAAAAGGTTGAGGTTTAAGACAGTCTGCCTAGTGTTCTGCCCAATGGATTCCGTGCAGAGGCGCGGCTGGCTCAGCCCCATGAACCTTATTGGTCATAGCCGCCGAGGTATGTCAGCTGACTACCTTGAACGACAACATTTTTTATAAAGTGATGAAATCCGGCATTAAATATGAAAAGAATGTTTCCTTACTTGAAAATGATCTGGGGCCTCGGTAATATTTTTCCATGGGTCTCAAGCTATGTACTTCAAAGTGTAGAGGGTCACTTCCACAAGACTGTACGTACAGCACCTTGACTTCACAACAGGATATCAAGGTTTGTACACAATAAGCTCACATACATTACAAGAATAATACGTGGCAAATCATCAATCAAATCAAAATGTTAAACAGACATGGATTTTCAGGGTCCTGGATGGTTTATGGCTTGAATGTCGTTTCCTTCTAACCCTGCCAAATATTGAATCTCGATTTCTTCTTCCAAGCACCAAATAAAACTGCAAATTGATCTTCACGATACGTTATCATCCCTCTGAAACCCCACGACTCTCAAATTTTCATCACAAAAACCAGCCAAGATGTTTCCCCATCAGTAAGTTTCATGTGTTCGTTGGAAGACCGTCATAAATGATCCATTGTCTGCCCAGCCTCCTACCAGCTCCATTTAATATCATTATATTGCTAACCTTTCGTACCCAATAGACCTCTCAACTTCACACTCGAGCAGTGGCTCGGAACAGCTATCATGTTCCCCATCCTAACCGTGCTTTTCTACAGAGGCATCTACAACGAACCACAGGCTCAGGTACACGACGCCACGTCCGATGCTGCCGCGGCCATGATGAAGAACAGATAAATTTGATCAAATACCACCGATGTAACAATACGTATTGGAACATCTTCGTTATAGTAGGAGCGAGTACCGATTCCATGATATTCAGCTGGCTGACCATCTCTCAGGTTTTGCTGAAGGGGGTAGCTCAAGCGGACGACGTCATTCCCAATCAATCAAACAAATTCAAGTCCGACTCTGATATATCCCCCGAATTTTCCGGTTCCTTCTGCTCGATCGTTGACGGCCGTACTCGCGGAACGGGCTTCGGATGACACTCTTCGCAACTCAAATGACTGTGGCATCGTTTCGTCCACGGTTTTCGTGGTCTAGCAGGTCGCCCAGGTGCAGGCTGACACGCCAAGACTCTCAACAATTCGAAATGTTCAGAATGATATATCTCATCTACCAGAATTTCCAACATGTCGTGTGCGTGGTGATTTTCGCCGTCATAGGCTTTGTCATAGTCGCTAAGACGCCAGAGCGTACCGATGTCTTCAAACTTGACTTCTGTGTAGATACAGTCGCTTGAACGGAAGGTTTCCCTCACGACCGGCGGTTCATCGTCTGACTTGGTCCCTTTGCCGCCCTTTTCAGCTGTGTTCTGAACCGGTACTAAGCCGTAGTCGATAAACCAAACATTCCTTTGCGCAGTATTGATTAAAAGCCTCACCATGTCGATAAAGTTGGAAGAATACATCTGCAGGCTCTTCTGTTGGAAGTGTGTCTTCCCCCCCTCCATTCCATCATACATAGAACGATCGAAGTCAACTGCGATATTGTCTCCCACGAAACTCAGCTTAACTATTGAAGAGTCTTCGGCCCTCATGTCGAAAATGGGAAGAAAGTTGCTTTCTGCGAGATGAAACCAGTCGACTTCGCCTAGATACCGAGCGTCCATATGTATAAGATCTCTCTGGTAATCTATAGTGATATGCTTGACAATACCATCATCGTCTCTAGAGGTGTACGATGCTGTGTGTGTGACACCTTCCTGTCCGAGATACTGACCCGGCTCGGCTGAACGTTTGGGATGAAAAGGTGCTTTCTCTTTCGACCACCACTCATTCTTATTGAATCTTCTCTCCATAGCCTGGCGTGAGTCTTTGCACACGATCCAAAGGGAACTGTCGGATAGATAAACAGAATCATTGGGATTGCCGTCTACGTCATCTTTGGGTATAGCCAAGGAAAGGCCAGTAGAGTGATTCAAAGAAGCGTATGCGTGGTTTTTGACGCGTAGGAGATTCAAAAATGGGGCTTTGATGTTTCGCAGAGGAGCTGGATGTTTGAGGTGATAGTCTGCGATGAAGAAGCGATGGACGTGTCGGTCGCCTGGGACTGGACGGACGGCGGCCTCCCAGATCATGATCTGGATCTCTTTGGGGAGTTTTGTGAACTGCGGGAATGTTTCCAGTGCCATTTTCGCATAGTTGATGCAAAGATATTGTGCTGAATGAAGGTGAAGATTGAAGTTCCAGAGCGATGCTCCTGCCTGGAGGAAGTCGAATAACATCACGTGAGTGCACGCCGGATGTGTCATCTGGACGGGATGCTCTTGCACTGCCAGGCACATCACATTGTATTGATTAACTCGGTACAGTATCACATTATCGAAGCCGACTGTAAGCCAAACCCAAGACTGAGTGTCGAACTGAAGCGACGAACCGCGGTGTATTCCTTTCTGGTCCGCCCCCCATCTTCGGATCCGAAGCCACCGTCCGCCGTGCCGCGCGGGAGCGTACTCGACCTTCCGACTCTAGTCACTTGATTATCAACCACCAAAAATGCCCATCAAAGAACCAGCATGCGCGCGGGGAGGTTTTGAACTACTAAGCATGGCGGTGCTTCTTCGGTGAGGTGCCTTATTGGTATTCCAAACCTTGATGCGTATATATATCCGCCTTGTATTATGGCTGGTCATATATCTCGGCGCAGCTCCAGGTCTTTGATTCCTCTATTTCAGAAACAAACTATCCCACGTCTTTCCTCTTTGCGACATAAACTACAAATATTGCCTCTCCCAGACTTCAGTTTCAAATATTTTACTGCAAAAACAAACAAGATGGGTGACCAGGTTGGAATATCACATCCTGATTCGCATTTGACCGTACTGATGCTTTCGAGTGATGATGAGATCAGAATTAAGCCAACTGAAGACGGCTCTTTCGTCCGTTCCACGAGCAGTTTTCGTGATTTTATTCACAACGACCCCGGCTGTCGCTTCCCAGCTGAGAGGAATCGACACGTCCTCTATCTCAGCCTCAGAGGACAATTCTTCTGATACATACGCGCCCACCTCTCATCCTTACTTCCAATCAAGTACTGACAGTTGCCTAGTCTCATCGCGCCATGATAATCAGAATCTCAAAGGCCTCGAAGACATGATTTAGTTATACATGTGCTCACTTCATATGGGCAAAGAAGGCTGGATGTTTGAAGATGACCCTGAAGCAGCCAAATACGGAAGTCTGCCCAAGGACCCTCTTTATGGTTTTGATACCCTGAAGCAGCTGTATCTCAAGGCGAATTCAAACCATGAAGGAAGATATACTGTACCTATTTTGTGGGATACCGAGACTCACACCATGGTGAGCAACGAATCCAGCGATATCATCAGGATGCTCTCAACCGAGTTCGACCATTTCCTCCCTGAGGATCGCCGCGAGGTCAACCAGCCTGGAATTAGTCTGTACCCAGAACATTTACGACAAGAAATCGATGAACTCAACGAGTGGATCTACAACGACATCAACAACGATGTCTATAAAACAGGCTTCGCCATGTCCCAGGTCTCCTACGAAGAGAACGTCGCCAAAGTCTTCAAAGCCCTCGACAGAGTAGAAAAAGTCCTTGAAAAAGGGCCCCTTCCTTTTTGGCGAACACATCACAGAAGCAGATCTCCGCTTATACCCAACTATTCTTCGCTTCGACACCGCGTACGTACCGATCTCCATGTGCAATTTGGGCATCAGAGATCACTACCCAAACCTGCATTTGGGGGTAAGGAGGCTGTACTGGGATGATAGTACTCGCACTCATGGGGTTTTTCGAAAAACTGCTGAGACTTGGATTGATCGATACACGATTTTGTATGCCAAATCTAAACGCAGAGTCTTAGGATTGACGGATCTTGATATCATTCCCAAGGGACCATTGGTGGCGATTCAAGATTTGAAAGAAGGAGAGGCTCTGGAAAGGTTGTGATACTCAACAGTACATTTCTACTCACAAACTTGACTATTATATTCCAAGAACAGTACGCACTTTAGCCGAAATAGCATCTCAGTAACGTTACCCTGGAGGGTCACAGGGCCCTTGTGCTCAGACATTTCTCTATACGGGCGACTTCTGGCGATCAGACCCTTAAAACTGGGCTGCCAATAGGATAGAGCGCTTTACAAAAGATCTTCATGTCGTATTCACAGCCTTGTGGAGACTGAACAGTCCCTTGCAGCTTGAGGGATAGCGCTTGATGTTCGTCTGGGTTTCCTTATGTTACAATCCTACTACAAATAAGCTACACTCACAAAGATATTTATAGAATAGTAAATAGACTTTGAATTGCCTTGAAGACTTTAGTCGGCAATATCACGGCCTTGGACTCAGCTGTCTACCCTGAAGTGTTGTCAAGTGCTCCACTGTCGTGTAGCTTAGATCTATCCATATCTTGATTCTAGACTCTCGCCTCTGCGCCCTCACATTTTCACAACCTTCTAGCGCCATGTGATAAATAAGGATCTGACATTCCCGCGCATAGCGCTAGACCCAAATCAGAATACTAACTGGTCATCTTGAGTCGAGATCAAAAGTTGTTTACGGCACTTGTGTCTGAGCGTTGCGCACGGAAGAAGCGCGCATGAAGGCCATTGTATCGCTGACTCTAGTTACATTACAGGTTATCAGGTAATGCATCAGCAATTCGCGCAAAATATTTAATCGTATTTGAGAATAATGACCTCTTATGCTTTGAGCCCAAGTTGCAATTGCTCTCTTGGCTTGACTTGGCGATATCCTCTTCGAGTTTCTGATGCTGCATCCGGCACTTTTATCCGTAAATCTAAAATTAGATGAGCCCGCATTGACTCAATGGACCAGCGATGTACAATCAAGTGTCTGTAATTGGCTCGCCTTACATTGAGATTAAGGACCTCTGGCTAGGGGCTAAAGAATAAACTGGACTCGATGGCACCAAAATTTGCTTTGGCCTTTTCTTCTACGTTGACCTGAGCCTGGGTCTCTGGTCCTTTTTAGCGTCTCTAACCCCAAGGAAGAAAAGTCCACTCGTATTCTTTCTTGGCCTGGACCCTATTATCGACGATCACACGGGCAGGCCGGGTCCATACCTTGCGCCAGAAAGTGGAACTTTTCCGCAAAGCATTTCTCGTATAGCCCAAGATTGCCTGCAAGGAGTGAAACAGGCTGAGTCTAGTAGAGAAAAAGAAATGTATTATAAGATAGCTCATGGATCGTGGTATCGTAACAATATTATTCTTATCATCTCACTCTTGTCACTCGCTTCACCTTCACCATGAAAGGCACCACTGTCGCTATCGCTCTCGCTCCTTTGGCAGCTGCTAAGCAGCTTGTCTGGCCTTCGAAATGGGATTGGGTTGAGGATCTCCAGAACAACCTCGCAGGATACAACAGGGCGGGATTCATGGATGGTAAGTCATCAACAATACTGTCCATTGCAGACTGAAGCAATGCTAACAACACACATAGCCATCGTTAGTTGTGATTTCGGAAACAATATCGAAGGAAGACAAAACTCAGCCGAATGGATCCGAACAGCTTTCCACGATGCTGTCACTCACGACAAGGCGGCTGGTACCGGAGGTGTCGACGGTTCCATTTTCTGGGAGCTTGCCCGTGCCGAGAACAAGGGAGATGCCTTCCAGAACACTTTCAGCTTCTTCAGTGGTTTCCACAACCAGCGAGTTAGTGTCGCGGATCTTATTGCTCTAGGCACCGTTGTCGCTACTGGAGGTTGTGGCGGTCCTCAGGTTCCTTTCCGAGCTGGTCGTGTCGACGCCTATAAGGCTGGACCCGCAGGTGTTCCTGAGGCTCACACCAACCTGAAGGATACCTTCGCCCGCTTCACAAAGGCCGGCTTCACCAAGGAGGATATGACTGCTCTGGTTGCTTGTGGTCACGCTGTTGGTGGTGTTCACCACGTTGACCACCCTGAGATCACAGGTCACGAGGTCTCTGCCGACAACTACACTTCCGTTCCTTTCCAGACCAACTTCCGCAGCTTCAACAACGGTGTTGCTACCGAGTACCTGTCTGGCAAGACCAAGAACCCTCTCATTGTTGCCAAGAACGCTACTCTCCGATCTGACAAGCGTATCTTTGACAACGACAAGGCTACCATGAAGCAGCTTGCTACCAAGGAGGGCTTCAACAAGATCTGCCCCCAGGTCTTTGCCCGCATGATCGACACCGTCCCCGCGAGTGTCAAGCTGACCGAGGTCATCGAACCCTACGTCATCAAGCCCTACATCAACGACTTGTCCCTCGACAGTAAGGGCAAGATCCATTTCGCCGGCGCCATTCGCTATTTGGTCACCAAGGACGAAGCTAACAAGCCCGACGGGGTTTCCATCGTCTACCTCGGTCGCGACGGCAAGAAGGTCACTCTTCCTCTCAAGCAGGCCATGTGGCAGGGTGGTCGAACCCTGGGTAGCTACAACAGCTTCCTCAACTACGAGTTCGACACCACCATCGACACCAAGAAAGGAATCACCAAGTTCTGGGTCCAGACGACAAAGAACAACGCCGTCAAGACCCACGATAATCAGGGAACCGGTGGCTACCCTGTCGACGACACCGTTCTTTACCAGCAGCAGCAGTCCTGCATTCAATGGTCCAAGATGCCCGGCGCCCAGATGCGCGTCTCGGCTTTAGTTCGTAATGAACGAGCCAAGGACCCTCTTACTCTCAACATTGGTCAGAAGGTTCCCATCAAGGGTGTTGATGTGCCTCAAATTAAGATGGAAAGTGTCAAGTTCAAGGCTACTGGCAAAAAGTCCAGCGGATACACTGCTTTCCAGGCCGAGATCAAGGTTCTTGATCAGACCTCTCGCTTCGATATTGCCCTTGCAGGAAAGACTCCTCCCGGCGTTGCTTTCAAGCCGGTTTTGCCTCTGGATGAATGTAAATAGATTTGATAGACGTGGCGTTGGGATTTCGATTAGCGATCTGCATATCTGTTTTTAATATCTTGCATCTCAATACCATTTGACTATTAGTTACTTCCAATGCTTCCAGAGAACTGTATGTGATCTATAATATGAATAAACAAAGACACTGACTAATGCCGCAACCCTTCAACGGCATGAACTATAAGTGTATAACAGAGGTCACAATACCTGCATCACAAATGACTCGTGAGCCATATGACAGCAACGAAAGACTACAGAGGGGTATATTTTCGAAGGTGGTTCGTGGTGTCGTGTCACACAGCGGAGCAAAGTCGACGGGTTCCCATGGCATCGAGATCATCACTTCATGGTATCGCTCTATCGTCTGCGCTCTCCCCAATAGTCAATCCAGTATATCACATCGTGATCCGTTTCAGTGGTTCATATGTACCACCGAGAAGGCCCACAAGGTTCATCGTCGATACCGGTTCTGCCGTTACTGTCGAGTTGCCGAATCTTGTACATGTGCCCTGCGCAACAGTATATTCAACGTCGATGCGGTAGCTTGTGAAGGGGAGTGAGGTTTCACCCGATGTCAACCGCTGAGGACCTAGATGGTATTCGATACGCTGGTTCGGTCCCGACACGAGGAGCTGAGCAAGTGTCTATGTCAATGTAGTAGTGGGGTGTGATTGCCGACTTTTGCAGGCCATTCTAGTAGAATTCGAATTCCACTGTGAGCTCGTTCTAGTCGAACAGGGTGACTTTCATCTTCTTGTGGTAGGACAATATCGCGGCAGGGCATTGTAGTATAGGGAGACGGTCGGCATACGGAAGCAACAATGCGACGTAGGAAACCCATGGGGCTTGATATCTACTCGACGCCCATGGGCTAGGTCGACATATTATGGAGCGATGAATTCATTTCAAAGATATTGGCCCCGTCCAGGAATTCAGATCGAAGTGTTAGATGAAGGATCTTGTGCTGACTACTGGCATTGTGCTCAGGGTGAGCTGGTTCAACGCCCAGTCGCTTCTTCTTTATGGAAAAGAGTAGCACACATCTCGCAAAACATCGATCAAACAAGCCATCAAAAGGAAACAAGGCCCAGTCTTCCATTATCGGAGGCATTCACTGGTAATAGAGGATTTACTGGTTCCCTTTGTCCGGTTCCCTGCTGTACCCTCGGCCCATTCATCCGAGGACACGAAGGTGACACTTAGCCGAAAAACAACAAATACACGGTCTTGCTTCGATATACAGGAGGCTCTGGATATGGACAGCACTTTGAGTAGCTCAGAATATTGAATACATCCAATTTTTATCAAATTGCCAGTCCTCGTGGCAGCAGTACCTCCTGAGTCGATAGGTGCGGACGAATGTATGAGGCAAACCACCAGCTAAAACCTCCTGCATGTAGCCATAGAATTACAAATACTATCATCAACTCTGAAACAGGCTTATCAATAGCAAATTATTTGATGGTGGACGACTTTTGTGTTGTTTCAAGCAAGTGTCATCAAAGCGTAGCCAAGAAAACACAACCTCGATCTCACAAGCTACAAGATTCTACAATTCGCATCTGAAGACTGCAGATATTTCGTAACCATTTCTTCGATAGAAACAAACTCTTGGACATCAGCCGTCGAAGGCGAGACCGCAGTGTTTTCAGGTCCAGACCTTCCCAGATGGTGTGTAGATACTCAGCCTGAAGCAGGATTTGACGTGCATCTTGTAAATGTGCGACCAATCGCTCCACGTTCTCCGACTGATGGCACGATTGTGGCTCTCATCTTCGGTATCCGCGCGGTCGCCGAACAGGCGAACAGGAAAAGCTGAGTGTGTTGGTCTTCAGACTTGGCAAGGGGGAACTCTTGGCGTACTGCGTGCATTTCTACTCCAAATGGTGACCACGATACCCCAGATTTCTCAACAAGTTTGTCTGGGGTTATCATACCCCGCCGATGCTAAAGATGCAATGTTTAGTTGATCGAGGATAGCTTAGACTAGGGCATCTTCTGTGGCATGGTGGTAAGTCTCAACCTCTGTGCTGCCCTTCAGCCAGTCAGCACTTGAGGGTTTCACATACACCATGACTATGGTTAGTTGATGATCCGATCACCTTAATCACTGGGATCATTTTCACTCTTGCTCGGAGCTTCACCGAGTGATAAATCATTGTTGTAGAAGTTGGTGTTGTCAAAGACAGTATCGCGAGCCGAGCAACTCCGAGCCAAGCCAGCTTCTCCAAGTTTGAAGATGTTGGTCGCGTGTACACTAACATCTCAACTCCAAACAAAAGGTCAAGTTTAGCCGCTGCGCTAAGTTAAGGCAGCCATGATCCCAGACCTGAACCTGGGGTAAGCCAGTTCATCAAACGTGGGGTAGAGAGTCTGGACATTGAAGACCGAAATGGTGTGGCCCGACGTCTATCGGGCGTGCCGTTTTTTTTACTAGCGATACTCTAAACGCAAGAGAGTTAACTAACGGCCAAGACACCGATCTATGTCTAGAAACTCTCCGGTGCCCGGTCAAGTCCCCGCAGTCTTGGTACTGCAGGTAGAAGCCATGCGGATAACTCGGAGAGCCAAGCGTTGGCGTTGGAGTCTGCTTCAAGATACGACACCCTGCCATCGTTCGATGGGACTTCTACGGGGAAGCACAGCAGCAGATGGAAACGGATTAGAGCTTACGATGCAGACCCAACCGGATGGCAATCTTCACCTTGCTTATCTGCAGATTCCACGTGGCCGTAGATATGCGCTGACGAAGAGCGCATTGATAAACAATAAGATCTTACAGCTGCAAAGAGTCAAAATGGAGGGTTACATCTCAACAAAGCGTTCTACTGGCAGTGACATTCAGAATGAAACGCCATCCGGCTACCCGATGACGAGCAGAAGTCTGCCAAGTTCTCTAAAAAGACATTTGCATGCATAGAGAGGGACATCCATTTTACAATGTGCGGAACGATCCAATAGTGGGAGGCAAAAAGGCGGAATGAAAAGGTGATGATCTGAGGGAAAACGTGGTTTTGGGAGCATCGCTTCAGGGCATTACAAGTGCTGATAGGTTAGCGCTAAGGTGATGGTGTTCACAAATCATGGTGTCATTGGGGGCGGCTGTGGCCGAGATGGAGGATTTATGGGGGCGTAAAAGAGGAGATTCATGGACTAAGAGTCAGTAAAGTCAATTAGTTGTGTTTAGAGGAGTTTATTTCCCGGTTTTACTACCTAGACTGCTAGACTATTGCTTCTGTTGCCTGGGGTAAGTAAAGAGTGCGGAGTAGTGGACGGGACAATACCAAAGGGGTGAGATTGAGATGAGACATACAGAGATCCATATGAGATGGTAATGAAAACTCTGATTCTGTCGGTACTTGACTCATCCTCAGACCATTCACTCAAAATATGGCCTCATTTAGCACTACAGCAGAGACAGAAGGAGTCGTCATCATCATCCGAAATATCTACCGGTCTTTAGTAAACACCGGCGTCGGAGATCAGTGGATACCGCTATCAAGCTTAACTTCTAGAATGAGGAACTGCCATGTGATTAGAAGAGGTTGTCTTGACTGCCCTGCTCAACAAACTGTATCTTGGCCGGGATACGACGTCCCCGTTAGTGGTGCAGCCCTCCCATCTTGTTAGTGTACTGTACCTTTTGGAGTCGGGTCTCTTCTCCAAGTTTGGGGGAGACGATTAGGCGGTAAGAGGAGAGGAGAGAAGAGTACTTGGAGAATGTTGCTTTAGCCGAGGGTATAGACGACTAATGCACCGGACGTGCGGAGGAGGAGTCAATTGGGTACAGATGCCTTGGATGCCTCCAATAACACCATTCATTGAAGCCATCACTCTAAGTGTCAAAACGGACACAAACCGAACTGCCAAAATGCACCCCGTATTTTCAACAGGCTTCCCCAGAATCAATCTTGCTTGTTTCCCCGGAATCTAACATCTACAGTCCCTTCATCTTCCGTTTCCCCAGATTTTGTCCTTATTAGATGGGGCCATTACTTCGGGAGTCGACCGGTCGATGGAGAAAAATGGAAGCACCACCAACTAAAAACAGTGGCAGTGGCGGACCACTAAAGACCCCCTTGTAAAAGAGACATGCAGGCGCGGTAATCAGTCCAAGTTTGGAGACCCCGCATGGTCTAGGATTAGACACAGATTACTCTACCCAACCACCACCATGACAATAACATTCACAATCCTTTTGCCTTTTTACCCCCGACGCTATCTTTTAGTTCTCTTCCCCTCTCTTTTGCCATGTGCGTGGCGTCCCCAAGTCCATCTCTAAACTTAACCATAACAAGAGACTAAGTCGAAAAGGGTTGTCTTCCATTGATCCGACTTGAGCTACGGCTGTCACGATAGCCGAAGCCGTTGGAGGCAAGCCCCCTTCATGAACATGAGGCTCTTGGACTTGACTTATTTCCCCTGATGAATCTGACATCTCCTATCGTAGATCTAGGGTCTGGTATTGCTTGGAAATTTGGGGAAATGTATGTTTGTCTGGGCACGGCTTCTTGGGCAGTCCCGACTTGGCGGCGGATGGAACCTCGTCCCTGGGATTTAATTACACGACGCATTGAATCTAGACCTTGACGTATCTTACTATTGCATCTTACGAAATTTCACGGCAAACATTATCTTGGTTGCAGATTTCAGTGCTGATTGTAGAGGGTGCGATGCCATGTGTCGCACGCAACCACCCATTCACGAGGCGCCTCTCGGGATAGACGGCAAATTCGCATTCTTACGCGTGATGCTGGCCTCAGCCTGACTTTTGGAGGGCGCACGGCTTCAGGGCATTCATTTCACTGTGATTGCTATCGATGTAGGCTACACTGTACCTGTTACTGTTACTGTAATGGAGATCGCCCACGAGACACAGTGCTCGAACAAGATCGACGATTGTGAGATAGTGAACGACAATGGCAAAGCCGAAGCCACGCGGTCCATTCAAATGCAGCAATGACCATGAATATTGTTGGCGGCACAGCGTATATTATCCACTAGACCAGTACCGACTTGGCAACCCCAACAGCCAAGGATAACAAGGATACCCTCCCGTATCAAGCTTTTTGTCGAGCTTGGCTGACAGCTTGGAAATCTCTTGGGTACTTTCTCTATTGGTACAAGATCGGCAGAGTGGTTTCCCACCAACAGAGAATTGATCTTGATCCTCGTACGGTGAAACAAAATTAGCAGCGCCAGAATTATGTTTGTGCTACTGAACCAACAACTCCAACCCTGGCAGAGACAGAGAGGAAAAGAGGCAACGATACAAAGGCCTGGACAAGTGTGGATCTTGCCTTGGCAAAAAGTAAAAGGGTGTCTTTGGGGGTCGGCGATTAGAGTCCGGTCTCGTCGCCATCGTCAAGGGCGGGGGAACAATAGAGAGAGTCTAGAGACAAGAAGCATGGGGTAAATAGTCCAGTCCACTAGCTTGTAATATGGAGACATGGGGTAAGAATGGGTGTGAGTGGAGATGCTTTGCAAGTACAACCACCCTTGTTCAGTTGGAGGCCATTCCCTCTTCCTCTCTTGACACTGATACTCTACTGTAATCTGATCCTTGCCATTCGTTCGGAAAGCGGACAACCACTACGGAGGCTTTGCGAAAAGGGCTTGGTCTGGATAAAATGGTATAGCGTATAGTCTTTGCTTGGGGTCTGGGGAAAGACATGGGGACAGGATTCATTATATTCTTATTAGGTACTCTGTCTATCACTATAAAGTCCTGACCCTTCCCCAGGTTTTCCCCCCAGGTCCCTTCTTCAGATCAGAAGCCTTCGTCTCCTCCTCTCCTATACTCTTTCCCTTGAGGACATCTCTGTCTCTCTCTTATTACTTCCTCCCTCTCATTGCCCACCACAATGCTTCACAACAGCGAGAACAAGGTGGCAACCCACCAGACAGACAACTCCTCCACCGAAAAGGTCGACTATGAAAAGGCCGTCTCTTTCCACGAAGATGCCTCCCAGGAAGTTTTTGACGAGCCCGCCACCAAGCGTCTCCTGCGCAAGATGGATGTCAAGCTCCTCCCCTTCCTAGCTCTCCTCTACCTCCTCTCATTCCTCGACCGAACAAACATTGGCAATGCAAAGCTCGCCGGCCTCGAAGAGGCTCTGGGTATGACGGGCAAGTGGGACTACAACATCGCCGTCGCTGTCTTCTTCCCCTTCTACGTCGCCGCTGAGATCCCCTCCAACATGGCCATGAAGCGCTTCCGTCCTTCTATCTGGATTCCTTCCATCATGGTTGCTTGGGCTATCTGCACTACCCTTATGGGTATCACTCACAACTTTGGCGGCTTCCTTGCTTCGCGTATGGCTCTGGGTCTTGCTGAGGGTGGTCTGTTCCCTGGTATTACTTACTACATTACCCTTTGGTACAAGCGCCACGAGTGCGGTCTTCGCATGGCTATCTTCTTCTCTGCCGCTACTGCCGCTGGTGCCTTTGGCGGTCTCTTCGCCCGTGGTGTCATGGAAATGGATGGTGTTGGTGGTCTTGATGGTTGGGCTTGGATCTTCATTATTGAGGGTCTTCTCACCTTCGTCTTTGCTGTCATGGCTTTCTTTGTCATGCACGACTACCCCGACACTGCCAAGTTCCTCAATGACTCTGAGCGCAAAGAGGTCCTCCGACGTCTTGAGGAGGATCGCTCTGTCCTTTCTGATGCTTTCGACATCAAATTCGCCAAGGATGCTCTCAAGGACTGGAAGATCTGGGTGCACATGATCATCACCATCGGCATCTACACTCCTCTCTACTCCATCTCCATCTTCCTGCCCACCATTGTCAAGTCTCTTGGCTACACCAACGAGGTTGCTCAGCTCATGACTGTCCCTCCCTACGTTGTTGCCTGTCTCTTCACCATCGGTGGTGGTTTCGCTGCTGACAGGCACGGCCAGCGTGGTATCTACATGATTGGTTTCTGCATTGTCGCGTAAGTTGACCTCACTCTTATTTAGGATACAATTCACTAACATTATGTAGCATCATCGGTTTCATCATCCTCGCTACTGTCGACTCCCACGGTGCCAAGTACTTCGCCGCTTTCATGATCACCTGTGGTATCTACCCCAACGTTCCTCAAGGTGTCGCCTGGAACGGCAACAACATTGGAGGTTCCCTCAAGCGCGGTGTCGGTATTGCCATGCACGTTGGCTTCGGTAACCTCGGTGGTGCCGTCTCCGGCTTCGTTTACCGCAAGGACGATGCTCCCAACTACCGATCTGGCCACTGGACTCTCGTCGCCACAACCACCATGTCCTGCATCCTCAGCATCTTCATGACCATCTACCTCCGCCGCGAGAACGCCCGTCGTGATGCCACTCACAAGGCCCCTCATGAGTACACCCGCGCTGAGAAGGAGTTGGAGCAGAACTCTGGCGATGACGCCACCTTCTTCCGATACACTGTTTAAGTTATTGGAAGCGATATCTTGCAGAACATCTTACAAGACAATCGCATTTTATATATGAAGCGTATTCTTTTGGTAAAAAGGTCACGATTAAGAAAGAGCATGGAGTCAAAATTGGAAGGCTTGTTACTTGGGAAAATTCTGTTTCTCTAGAGTTTGTTAGACATTTTGACAATTCAACAATCCTCATGTTTAGAGCTCTTACAATATGTTCATTCTCTGCAACTGTGACATCTGTTTACTTTACACTGGATCTCAGTGAAGTGGCTTACTGTTGGCCCCCGATGAAACACATAATAAAAGCCACGAATAAAACATCTTCCACCAACAACTAACCTATCGGAAAGAAAAGCCACAGCACTGCATATTTAGGATCGCACAGGACTCAAAACACGGGCTAAAATAAGACAACAAGGGACCTTTTGTGACAGTCTAGGCCCTGCAGGGATTGTCAAAGATGAAGATCTGCCTACCCCAGTCAAGAATGAATGCCGTCTTATCCGCTGTCTGGAAGAGTAAGACACGTCGCAATAGCCTATTCAGTGACACTCAGTAGTTCATTCCTGATCGACGGCCAGTCATAAGCTTAAGTTGAAGGTAATTATGCTTACTGACTCATACTGCACTTCACAATGATAAGAGAGTCCGTGGATTGTTCTTGCAGGGCTGCTCTTTCAGCTCAAGCAGCCACCCGTCAGAGTCGTATTTCTCACTGCATGGTACTTCAGTTTTGTATCACTGTTGGTTACTTGTGTTTATCCAGGCCCAGACTGTCGGAGGCGCGTTTTCCGATGTCGATCTTTTCAGTATGGCGTTTTTGTGAATTGTCGTGGTGGCTTTCCCACCTACCAACGGAGTGACACACTCCTTGTCCGGGTAATCAACCGGTCTGCATGTAAGAGTTATAGGCTACCGGAATAGATAGCTACCTGCGAGATGCATCTCAACTATTTCCACGTCTGGATAATCTCCCGAAAGCTTGAATTGGAATGCTGCAACCAACGAAGCGCTAATACGAGACAGTCTATACGTATTTAACCGGTGAAAGAGTAAGGCTCTGATTGGTAAGGGACTGATTAAGACGGCGGGTTTTCAGAGTGGATATTGAGATAAAGAGTCTGTTTATGGTATAGACAGACTTCGATTATTGAGATGGCTGGTTTCTCCAATTTCTTTGTCTCCGTCTCCCCGCATACTCCAACTTGGATCCCGATGTGTCGGCGCCGTGGGCTCCAGTTTTCCCGGTGAGGCGTCGGGATTGTATGCCGATTGAATTGACAATGAAGATTATACACTCTACAAACAGTTTTACGGCATTAATTGAATACGATACTCAGGGTATCAGAGCCATTGTTATGGTCTATTTCTTACAGTCTATACATTGCCATCAACGAAATCCCCAATCTTGCGTCACGTTCCTAAATACACATGCAGCCAAGAGCAGCCAAGCTACACTTTACTAGCGCGTCGCTTGAAGAGAACTGAGACAGACTGTTCATGGTCACTACATACTATCCCTCCGTTCTGTTGTGAAAGCTAAAGCAGATCGAGTAATCCAGCAACTCGCAGTCACGTCTCTGATCGAGTGTAGTGTATGGTAGCATTGACTCGGATGAAGCCGATGATCTGCACCTGTTCAATCTCCCACGTGGCCGAGGGGTTGCATCGTACTCCCATAGGTGTCAATCTTGGCGATCGATCTTTGTTCTTGCATTAGTTGCCATACTTACCGATCGTCATTCATAGATTGAGACGTTAGGTCATAAAGATGCTTTATGTATGGAATGTATTGTAAACTTCGTTTAAGTCACTCGCTTGCTAGCCAAGAACCAGATACTACAGTTCTTCGTTCTTTCACATACATACGTGCATACACAGCAATAAATATTGAAGAGGTGGACAAGTCTATGTTGTAAGTCTGAATATCTGTCTATCGAGCGCAGTAAATATCCATCATACTTCCATCTCTTCAGATCTGTAAGCGCAAACCGCTTAGATGCTAATAACACCAGTACCGGCCTTGGACTTAACAAGCTCACAAACACAGTCGGCAGAAGAAGTAGTGTACTCGTAAGGAGGAGTAAAGTCCTTCTCCTGAGTAATAGCAGTCTCGCTGTTCTCGAAAAGGTTGTTGCGCTCAACAGCGAATCCATCCTCACTCGAATCAAGGTTGGTAATGATAGGTCGTCGCACATTCTTGAAAACAGTCGACTCAACCAGAACCTTGGCGCCCATGCGAGAGTTGACTCCAGAGGTAGGAAGATCCTCGTAGCAGCTGCTGTAGATGTGGGCGGTTCCAAAACGGATGGAAGGAGCACGGCTGTTGATGTTGCTCCAGTAGTTGTGGTGGTAGGTAACGTGGAGCTTGCCCTCATCCTGAGAACCGTTGTCGTCGCTGTGGCCGATCAGGGAGGCCTTCCAGTGGTCGGCGAACTTGTTCCAGGAGAAGGTGAGGAAGTCAGAGGCACGCTTGGCGTCGAGGAGACCGTCGAAGTAGTCCTTGTCGGTACCGTCGATGCCTTCGGTGGCGAAGTCGTTGTGATCGATCCAGACGTAGGTAGAGGTCTCGATGTCGATGCAGTCCATCTCCTTGGGAGGGTTGCGCAGAACGAGGTTACGTATGATGACGTTGTTGGACTTGACAATGCGGAAACCACCGTTGGTGAGGCCTGAGGGAACGTCTGTTAGTTTGTGTTGTTCTGTTTGGGTAATGTTTACTTACCAGAGTTGGAGCCAACACCCAGGATGGTGGTGTCGCTAGGAACCTTCATGAGGTCACAGCCATCAAGCATGCCATCGATGTGGATGACACCACCGTTGTCAAGAGCGGACTTGAGCTCAGAGCAAGACTTGACGACGACAGGCGCACCAGAACCTCCAGTGGTTCCGAAACCGTACCCAACAAGAGCATCAACTGTGGCAGCGCTGCAGCTACCAGCAACAGCATCAGTATCAGTAGGGACGGACGCGGCAGGCTCCTCGGCAGTAGCCTTAGGAGCAGCAGAGGCAACGCGAGTAGCAAGAGTAGTAGCAGCGGGAGCGGCAGCGGGAGCCTCAGCATCACCGCCGGCGGTGTACTGACATTTGCACTCCTTAATCAGGCTGTTCATAGAGCAACCAGCAGCCCACTCGGGAACAGATGAAGCATCGTTCACATCAGCGCAGGAGGCGACGTTGGCAGCGACCGCCATGGCGCATGGGTTGGACTTGATGTTGGCGCAGCCCAACACAGCGGGGATGAGAGAGATGAGAACGGATCGCTTCATGATGACGGTTTCGGCACGGCCGGTTTAATGATAGACAAGTTAAAGAACGAAAGGTAAAAACAAGAAAGAATGTGGTTGAAAGAGAGTGAGTTACTGAAACATCAAAAGATCAGACGAACAAGATATATATAAACCAAGATCTCTAAGATTAAAGTATAGTAGCCAAGAATAATACTAGTATTCCCCGAGGATTATGTTTGGAGGACAGCAAATTCCCGCCTGGGCAACTTCGCGCAGCTGGCGCCAAGAAGAACGTTCTCCATATTCTCGAGCAAAACTGTGGAAATAATGAAACGTCTGGGCGGAAATAACTCTTGGCTGTGTTTCAAGATGCTCTTGGGCCTATTGCGTTAATCATCGAATGACATGACGTGGAGCGTTTAATGAAAGCTTGGCTCGTAGGTGGATTAAGCGCTCCGCTGTAAACGCCTGTTTGAGGAGATTAGCAAAGCTTGGTTGCGACGTCTAACGTTCATGATCGAAAAGATTGATAAGTGAGGAGTGTCCAAAATTATTAAATTAAGTAAATCTTAGCCCCAACAATGCGACATGACAGACTTCATCTCCGAAGCTCATCAAGATACACACTTGAAGCAGTTCCTATCATAGAACTTATCACCCGATGATGGATTATAAATCAACTCCAGTCCAGCAGGTCCAGCAGTGAAAACATTGCACAGGGTAGTGCTCTTTCGGAAGAGGAAGCCCTCACACCCTGTACGCTGCAGACACTCAAGGGCGCATTTCTCAAGAGATCCAACCTGCTTGGCCGTATAGCCTTCCATCGTCTTGGACTGGGCGGAGTTGCTCACACCAGGGACACCACATGTGACATCGTCGCTAAGAGAAGCAGAGGGTACTGTGCAAGTTGTCGGCTCGTTTTGCGGGGCGCTAGAGGTCGTTGCGACCGGCTCTTCCAACGCAGATGTGGTCTTGGTAGCAGAAGTGGTGGTGGCTCCTTCGAAAACAGAACGAGTAAAGGTCCTCATAGTTGTAGGAGCCTCGGTAGGCTGAGGGAAGTGAGACATGCTCTCAGTCCCGGCAGGGTCCTCTTTCTGAGGCACCTTGCACAGTCCAGAGCAGTCAAAGCATGCGTTGTCATTATACCAGATCTTGCTACCATCCTGGAATCTGTATCCAGCGTCGAGGAGAGATGTGCTGAAGAACTCGCAAAGCTTGGTGTCTGTGTTGTAAGCCGAGGACTTACAGTTCTCAAGCTGTAAGCATGTCTCCGTACACTGAATCTCGGACTTTTGGTGTGGCCAGGTGGTGATGTCTGCTGAGAAGGGCTCCCCAAGAGTGACCTTGCCGTTAGAGTGACACGTATAGCCGCTGACTCCTCTTCCATTACTACCGATAGGCCACTCGCCGTTTTGCTTGTATCTGCAGCCAGCGTTGACTGTAAGAGGCTGGCAGCCCAACTCAGGTGGTGAAGGCGTAGTACCTTCCTTCTCACCACACATCGTACAAGTCATACACTTCAAATCAAACCACATAGCATTATATCCAGATTGCTGTTCAGCAATAGAGGCATCTTGCAAGTCTGACGAGATGAGCGCACATTTGAGTGTTGGCTGGCTATCATCGAAGCCAAAAGCCAGGCATCCGTGATCCTCCTTGCACAGAACAGCACAGTCTTCAATAGAACGCTGGTTAGGACGATCTTCAACACTATATCCCCAGGCATCAGTGAGCTGGGGCCAGCCGAGCTTCCCACAAAGGGCTCTGTCTGGGGCTGGGTTGATGATGGAGCAAAAGCCGGGGGATGGGACGCCATTGGGACAGACTGAGACTGTGGCAGGTGGGAGTGTGGTAGTCGGGCTGGGTGTAGTTGTAGGGATCATGCTGTTGTTCTCAGTTGGGGCAGCTCTGGCACTGGTGATTTCATCAACACTAGAAGTAGTGACATCGGCAGGCTTAGCGGTCGTTGAGATGGCCAGTGCCGAGGAAGTCTTTTTCTCTTGAACAGGGCATGTCCACTCAGGCATAGTAGCCGGATCTTGGCCACGGGGAATGTAATCAAAGTACGCGTTGCCCGCTCCACAGGCATGACAATCCATATCGTAAAAGAAGCTGTACGCATCCGCAGGTTCCGCCACCTCAGACGATCTAGCATCGTATAGACTGCAACGACCAAAGGTAGCCGAGTAGGATTTGCAAGAAGGGTACTTGGCGCAAAGGTCTCGACACTCGTTTGTCAGACCGCAAAGTCCGTTGGTGGGAGCTGTGAGGAAGGGCTTCGCGCACGCCTTGGCAACACCTTGGAAATGGGTGCAGGCCTTGGCAGGGGTATCGGCGTTGACGTTGACACAGACGGTACCGGCTGGCTGTTCGACGCACTCATCCTCGTGGATACAGCTTCGGTCGTAGGCCCAGGCGGAATCGGAACCACCATTGGTAGGAATGTCGCCTAACTCGGCAGTGAAAAGGTTACATGAGTTTGAGCAGCCGCTGCCCCAGTAGAGCCACTCGAAACTCATACATTGGGAATCGGCGAGACAGAGGGCGGCGCACTGCTCTTTGGTGATCTTGCTTCCGCCGAATCGCTTGTATCCTTGCTTGCTGCTGTATGGACGCTTAGCGCAACCTCGACCAGCAGCACCGGCTCCGAGTTTGACGCAGACTTTGGGGCCAGAAGGAGTGTCTTTGTCTTCATCAATAGGAGCGGAAGATGTCGTAGCAGTAGGCGCGGCCTCGGTGGTCTTAGCTGTTGCTGAAGCTTCGTCTGTGGTGGTAGGTGCCTCCGAAGGGTGAGTTGTAGGGGCTTCAGATGTTTCGGTGTTATCGCTGCTAGTCACGGCAGTGTCAACAGGGAGAGCAGTGCTGGTCTCGGCAGGGCCAACGGTGGCAGCGTGCTTGGAAGTAGGGAAGAACAGCGAGATACCATCAACCCACTCATCGCCGATCTTGTTGGACACAAAGACCTGGTCAAAGTAAGCCTCAGCAGAGCCCCCGTTGACACAAACAAGCTCAAATCGAATCATTCCGCTGTTTGTCGTGACAGCCATGTTGTCAACAAACTCCAACCACTTGTCACCCGCGTCGCTGACAACAGGGAAGTAAGGCGTGGCTCCAAACTGTTCACCACCGTAGTATCCTTCGATGCGACATGTATCAGCGACAGAGTTCTGTACGATAGCGTACCAGAAGCGAACGGTGTAGTCACTAGGCTCCATATCCTGAAGCTGCTGTTGAATCCAAGGGTTCTCGGGGGGTGTCTGTCGCTTTCGGGTAAGGCCCGTCTTGAGTTGTACACAGTTCCTCTCGTCAGATTGGCCTGGGTATCCAGGGCCTTGGAGGAGTTTGGCATTGCCGCCAGCCTGGAAGGCGTAGATGCCACCATCGGCAGAAGGATCGTAGCCTCCAAAGCCGCCGTTAGTCACGGCATTTGTGATGATTACGGGGCCTTCGGTAGTTTGCGAAGAAGGTAGCGATCTTGTTGCGGTTCCAGTGGCGATCGGAGAAGACTGTGCTGTCTCATCGGTTTGAAGAGGAGAAGAAGGCTTGCAGTTGCCTGCCGCCGCAAGTTCGAACGAACCCGCAACGGCCAGGGCTAGAAGTGCAGAGACAGAGCGCATCCTGTAAATAACGAATGGATAAGCCAAAAAGAGGCTCTAAGCGAAAGACGGTTGCAGAGGTCAGTACCTGACACACCATCCTCAACATGAGAGACCCCATGATATATACTGTCTAGAGGCGCCCGCCTCCCGAAGCCTTACCCGAAGCCAAAGACCGTATTGCCCCTGACATTGTCGGAAATTTCTATCGGGCTTGGCCATGTGCTTTTTCGTCGATAGATTTTCAGCTGCTGATCGATAGTTCCAACGGGGTTTCCTTTTTCGCTTGTAAACCGAGTCTAGATTGGGTTGGTTTGCAAGACTATTGAACGCCTTGTGGATTTTTTGGGTAAGCGAATAATTCGCCTATGGGGGCGAGCGTTGACTTTGCTCAGGTTGGGAAATATGGGACGATGTTGAAATGAAATGCGGTGGATTTATTCTTTGACATGTTGTTTGGTCGGTGATTAAAGTATGGACGTCTTCTTTGTGGGAAGGCGACATTCTCTTGGGTTGTTGGTCTCCTGCCGGAGATCTTCAGGGTCCAAGATTAGTCATCCCGTACGACGTGCCGTATGAAGACAACTAGACAGCATCGCTACATGAGAACTAATATGACAGTACCTTGATTCCTTTTGCCAAGAGATTCAAGGTCTGCCTTAGTATTTAGTTCAGTCTTCAGAGATTGCCTATCTCAACCGAGCCATATACCCTGTTGCGAATGAGCCGTACCTTGAATGCAGCACAGCATATTGCGCGAAGTTGTTAGACGAAGCATGTCTCGACGAGAACAAGAGCTTACATTCTGACAGATACATATGTTCTTGATGCTTCTCTCAAACTTGACCCAAACCATTGGAGTAATTTTGGGTCAAGACTCGCTCACAAACCGTTTCCGCAGGAGTCATGGAGTCGACGATAGTTAGACAGCTAGTATTATCAGGGCGACATGTGTTTTATACTTGGTGTGTCAGAAGCTGCGCGAGTTCCCTCTTCGCACCAAGTGCTGTTCTCTCCTTCGATGGCAGCGACATGTAATTAGTTGACAGCGCAACTTTGGTTAGACATGGGCTGCCAAGCACATGTTCGCTCGTCTAGTAGGTTGATATCATGTGCTCTGTATTGAGAAGCATTGAAATATTGGCTTTTAGCTACAAGCGGTACCCTTTGTTTGAGAGTTCCAGCGTGGTCACAGGTAGTATCGATAATAACACTGCCGATGTTCTGCTGCATCAGATCTTGAGCAAGTACCCGCTAGAGTCGGGAGGCGTCTTTAGTCGCTTGGTCGAACAGAGAAATGTCAGACTCGTGATTTGACGGCTCGAGAGCATCGTAGCCGAAGGTAGTATCGTTGAGGCTCGGTCTTCGCAGTCCTGCCAACGTACTCTTGCCCGAACCGGGCACACCAGACTTCTGGATCAACGTTCTGGCTGCTTGAGATAGAGATTCTTGAGAACTAGACATCTTCGGCGCCTGAGTTTAAGCACTCAACGTCTCATGGCAATCCCAATATTTTATGGCAATTCCAAGCGGTAGATGGAAGACGAATGTGTGTGTGTGTGAAGCTACCTACGAGAAGCTGCGATTTGAATAGGCGAACAAGCCTCCTACATGGAATCAATTCTCTTGCGACCAATATACCTAAAAGTCCATCAGTTGATTGCGAAATCCTTGAGCAAATGTTCTCTTTTTGTCCACGATGACACTCGGAGATGGACAAGTTGGTGTTAAAGCTTGCAAAAAGGTTTCGAGGGTGTTGGCCATAGAATGGTGAACTCATTCTTCTCTTACTCTTCAGCCAAAAATATCCCACCGCTCCTGAGTAGATGGAAATGGCCTCAGGATTTGGCAACAAAAGTTTACTGGCTAATTCCAAGCCCCGGTCTGCATACAACGATGATAAGATTGTTATCCGGAGGGCAAAAAGTGAGGTTCTGCCCGGGCTCGAACCGGGGACCTTCTCGGTGTTAACGAGATGTCATGACCAACTAGACCACAGTACCAAGCTGTTTTTGATACTAGGTGAACTAGAAATTTATCCTAAGCAGGTAATGGAAATGAAAGACGAGATTGATTTGAACCTGGTTCAAACCCTTTTGTGGTCTCAGCGATCAAGCCTTCCGATGTCTTTGTGGGCGAATCAGCATGACCAAGTTTCAGAATTTGACATTCAAGCATGAGGTTTGGAACATGAAGTAAAAGTCATCACAACAATATTCATTATGTGGTGGTATACGGAAAAACGCCCCTCGGCCTCCAGCCCTTGGCGTGACTTGTCGCCTCTCGCGACATCATGTGCGCATTGATCCTACACATGAAGGAGTTCCCTCTCCTACATCCAACCGTAGTAACCCAGCCTTCCCAACTTTTTGGTCTTCCGGGTGATGATCCTCATTCATAAACCCCAAAAGGTGCTTTTGCCCGCCGGCAGAACCCAGTAATAAATAAAACTCCGAAAAGTGATGGAATCAAGAAATGGTTAAAATAAAAAAGGGACATGAGGGAATAGATGGTATCGAATGGTTGACGGTTTTTTGTTGTTGTTAAGTTAAGCTGGGGTTCAAGCTTAGCCGTGCAGACCGCAAGTACGCTCTCTCATCAGTTCACGTCGCTTCTTGTCCTTAGCTGTAGAGATGGTTAGCATTTGTTGGTGCTCGTATATAATGGGGAATAACTTACCTCCGTCGAAGACGAGGAACTCATGTAGACCGGAACCGACAGGGACCATGGGCAGGACAGGAACCTTCTTGTCGGTGACAACCTCCAGCAGAGCAGGGCCGTCGGTGTTGATGAGCCACTTCAGGGCATCAACAACGTCATCAGGCTTGTCAACACGTCGGTTCTGGATACGCATAGCCTCGGCAAGCTTGATGAAGTCGGGGTTGCTCTGGTGAGTGTGGGCGTATCGATCCTCGTAGAAGATGTTCTGCCATTGAGTAACCATACCCTGCTCCTCATTGTTGAGGACAATAACCTTGACACCAATGTTAAACTGAGCAGCGGTGGAGAGCTCGGTCAGGGTCATGTTGAAAGAGGCATCACCATCGATGTCGATAACAAGGGCATCAGGCTGAGCAACCTTGGCACCGATGGCAGCAGGAAGACCGTAACCCATGGTACCCAGACCACCGGAGGTGATCATGGAACGAGGATGTCTCCATCGGAAGTGCTGGGCAGTCCACATCTGATGTTGACCGACACCGGTAGCGATGTAGGTCTTGTCCTTGCGACCCTCGACAAGCTTGCTGAGCTCCTCGATCAGGGTCTGGGGCTTGATCATGCCTGAGCGCTCAGCACGCTCGTAGTCAGTCAGAGGCCACTTCTTCTTCCACTCGTTGATCTTGCCGAACCACTCCTTGCGGTTCTCCATGGTCTTGGCCTCGACGAAGGGCATGAGCTCCTTAAGGTTGGTGGCGACATCACCCTCGATGGCCTCAGTGGCCTGGACAACCTTGTTGATGTTCTTGGGCATGATCTCGAAGTGGACGATACCACCACGGCCCTCAGCAGCGGCAGCCTTGGCACCAGGGGCGAACTTGGCAATGCTCAGAGTGACACGATCGTCAAATCGGGCACCGAGAGCAATGATCAGATCGGCCTCTTGCATAGCCATGTTGGCGTAGGCTGATCCGTGCATACCGAGCATGTGCAGGGACTTCTCGTCGAGCTCGTCGTAAGCACCTAGACCCTGGAGAGTAGTGGTAACGGGGATAGAGGACTTGTCAGCAAGCTCCTTGAGGATCTCAGGTCCGCCCTCGGAGAGAATGATACCCTGTCCGGCGTAGATGATGGGCTTCTTGGCCTTGTTGATGAGGTTACCAACACGCTGGAGAGCACCCTCGAGCTGCTTCTTGGTAACGTCCATGGCAGCACGAGAAGCAGCGCTGGGCAGAGAAGGCAGAGCAACATCGGTGGGAATAGCCCTTCTTAGGACACCAGCAGTGACATCCTTGGGAAGATCGACGAGAACGGGACCGGGGCGACCGCTGGTGGCGATCTCGAAAGCTTCGTTGATGCGTCGGGGGAGTTCGGCGACGTTCTTGACCATAACGTTCCACTTGGTGCAAGCACGGGAGATACCAACGACATCGGCCTCCTGGAAAGCGTCACTACCAATGGCAGTTGTGACGACCTGACCGGTGAAGACGACCATGGGGGTTCCGTCTGACAGAGCATCCTGCATAGGTGTAATGACATTTGTAGCACCAGGACCAGATGTGACAAGAACGACACCGGGCTTGCCAGAAGCACGGGCATAACCCTCAGCCATGTGGCCAGCACCTTGCTCGTGGCGGGGGAGAATGAAGTCGAAGTGTTTTGAGTTGTAGATGGCATCGAAAACGGGGAGAATGGCGCCGCCAGGGTATCCAACTAAGATTCGGTTAGCCTTATTTGGAGGGACGTGAAGAGGGAGACATACAGATATGTTTCACGCCATGTCGGAGCATCATCTCGTGGAAGATTTCACCACCAGTCTTTCCGATGAATCTGCAAGTTTGTGGTTAGAGGATGTCTGAACATGCGGGCTGGAGGGTTACGTACGACTCATCCATATCATTTTTTCTGGGGTTGACGAGAGGCTGGACATTGCTCTGGTTCTTCTCGACGTTGAATCCAGGGCTAGGGATATCGCGTGCTGGGCTGTAACATGTTAGCCATCCTGCTGTTCGAAATGTGCGCGCGAATCGCTACCCATGCCACAGACGCGGGGCAACTCTCAACGCCACAATTGGGATATCTACTTACGCAGCAGCAGCCGTAGACTGATTTCTAGTGCTGGCAACCTTCTTTGAAGTCTGGATAGAAGCAACGGCGGATGTGGTGGTGAATGATCGAGTGTGAGCGACGGCCCGGATGGCCTTTGCGGCCTGGCGAGTTCGGAGCATTGTGGAGGTTAAGAGCTCGTTGAGGCAAGACCAGTAGAGAAGGAGCCAGGAGGCTCAAGACGCGCAAGAGAATTAAAAATTGAAGGTCAGTAGAAACTCAAAAGGATCAATTGAAATCCTAGAGGGGAGATGCTTGAATTTTGTTCGTGAAGGCGCGCGGAGGCGAAAAGAGAAAAAAAGGGATTTGAGTTTCGTTTGTCCGCTAAGAAAGAGACCAAAGAAATCGAGGGCGAGCCCGGGGGAAAAAATATCACAGCCAAAGCACCTCAGCAATTATCGGAGGGCCGGTGGCCGGGGTGGGACCGGTCAAGTTGTGGGGTAAGGTACCGCAATAAAAGGTGACTCCCCCAGCAAATCGAGGTGGGATTGCGGTAGAGTCAGGTCAAGGCAGGGGCGATGAAGGCCAGAACGGCCGGGAAGGGGGAGCATCGGTCCCCACGAGCCAATTAGAGGATTGATGAATGGCCGATATCGCCACTAGTAGAAGCCTTCGGATTGGCCAGATGTGTTGCGAGAACGGCCTAGCTGGGCCTCTACTCCCCTCTAGCTGGCGTTAGCTGGACCAAAGGAACTGAAAAACCGACTCAGTTTTGGATTTTGACAGCCATGAATGGCGTTTATTCTACCGTTTATCTGACCATCAATTGCTAACATCAGAAAAAATCTTGACTCATCTTACGGGAAGCCGCTGACATCCAATTTTCTGTTTCCCCAGGGATTAAGCTGAGCTCCGTAATGAGAGGACCCTCTGACGTCGGGAAAGTGGCGGGCGGGGAACTTTGTCCTACTCCGTACAGCTGGAGCAGCTAACCCTCCGTCAGGTATCTGACCCTTTCTGCCTTAGCCTGAACTGGTTCAATTTGCATGCGGTCATTTATCTCCGTTTTTCGCCTCTGGATGTTATCTGGGGCATTGCAAAGGTATGGACCTCATGTTGTGCAGCAACCAATTGAGTTATCTCACTGTGAGTTGGTTAGAGAAAGACCAGTAAATCTGTGATTGTTGTCGGCAGTTGTTGGATCGATCTATTTATTCATGATGGTGGTGTTCATCTCGGATCTTGCCCGCTATCGCTTCCATGTGAAGGTGGCAGGCACGTCCCCGGTCCGGGACCCATCCTACAAGCTTCCCCACAAACTTCAACCTCAATTCATTGATGAGGCTCAATGTCGCCTGCTTTGACATCCGTTTCATGACTGTGATCAAGGATCTCGTCTTCTTGTAACAATTTCTCGATTCAAATATTCATCAATTACTGCACTTTAGGATTGGGAGCTCATGAAATTTGCCTAATCCTACTGGATAAATCCTTTTCCCCAAATGCCGGACGTACAAGACCGACGTGGTTGTAGAAGTAGGGGCATCTACTTTTTGTCGTTTTTTTTTCATGATATTTGAGCTCTCATGAAACTCTATCTCCTACAGTTTTGTTGTCGCAGCTCTAGACAATCTCTGCTTCTGAAAGCTGCACATTGAAGCCACCAAAATGCTATAGGGTGGGTGAAGTTTCGGCATGCATGAGTGTTCTAATATAGAATCATGTTATTATGCGTGAGAGTACAAGGCTGTACGCAGCAAGAAGAGCATCCCATATGTGCAAAAAATGAAGACAGGGTGAGTGTTTCTTGCTGCGATCTGTCTTTGCAAGCTACCGCGTCGTCAGTTGATTACACGTAGAAGTGCGTTTTATGATTCAACCACCAGTAAACAGAACTTTTATAGCTATTATTTTGATAGGACTATAAATAACAATCATCACAAAGACTAATGTCACAAATGGCGATAGATAGCAGTTCTTGCATTAGATGTCGACGAGACCACAACTCAGTTGATGCTTATTGGTGGGAACCCCTCAGCCATGTGGCGTGCGATTCTATATAATGGGGTATATCGAGGAGTTGACTCAACGGCTCGTCATATTTTACCTGTTTAGACACTAGGGCCGTATAAACTTCCTTGTTTCGTCGCAGTGGTAATTGGATATCATGATCTCACCTGTCCATGGACAAGATCTCCTCAAGTTTGCAAGCTGGCTCAGTTTGAGATCTAAAGTATAAGAGTCTTTGCTACCTGTGTACCATCCGATTTCTCCAGATTGATAGTCATCTAACTCCTCAACTTGATTTATCCTATACCATCTCAGCATCATATTCGCCATGCTTTCAACCTCACAGAAGCCTATTATCATTGATACTGCTGCACAATCGCAGAACACGCCCTCCTCGTTTGCTGAGAAAGAACGAGGCAACGCGACCTGGCATACACTCTTATCCTCACCAGGAACTGCTAGCACTTCCTTGACCAGTGGTATCGCGACATGCCCCACCAACGGCGCCCTAGCACTTCATCGCCACACGCAAGCAGAAGTTTACTACATCCTTGATGGTTCGGGAGAAGTAGAGATCGAAGGAGAAAGATACCCCGTCTCTAAGGGCAACCTGGTCTGGATACCCGGAGACGCAGAACATGGGGTGTTTTGTGGCGATGATGAGCTGAAGTGGCTCTATATCTTTCCTGAAAGCAGTTTTGATAATATCATTTATCGGTTTAGCAGCGAGGTGAAGAAGGTCGGAGATAAAATCAAGCCTAAGCTGTAGGTATATACTGAGATGCTTTGAAACTTAGTTTCCTAAGGAGGTTTTCTGGAATAATAACGGGCATTGCTGTTCGATGGATCAACTGAACATGGCCATGTCTATTAAGAAGTGCCCGAAAAATATCCTTGGCTCATGAACTATTCCATCATTCTTTAGCTCGACGAATCATGACAAAGGTTTCATAAAGCTCATCCACGCCAAATTTGCTCATGCTTTGACTCTTCTCCTCCAAAATCTCAAATCCGTGCTTTGAATAAAGCTTCTGACCACGTCGGCCAGTAGCCACCACTAGTACATCAATGCCAAGCTGGTCTGCTGCATTGAGGCCAGATTTGACGAGCATACTTGCAAGTCCTTGATGTTGGTGATCCGGTCGAACGCCGATGTAGTGTAGTTCTGCTCGATCGTCAGTTTATGAAATCGTTCCTTTTCGTAGTGCGTACCCATGCAGTTGGCATGTTTATACTTCTCTCTCCAACCGTCCATATGGTCATCCAGTTCATCGTGCTCCGAGCGCGGATCAAATTCGGCCTCTGAATGACGCTTCGTGAACACCTCTCTCTCCTCGTCGCTCACATCAGGCGTCTGAGCGATCAGCCAAGAGTCTTTGTGCGACTCTGGCATAATCCAGCGTGCATAGCCCACGATATCGCCTGTTTCGTTGTGAACTACTTTCTGGTGTCTCCTCACTTCTCTATCGGTAAGAAGGTTCTTTGGGCTCCGGTCTGTAATACCTCGGAGCACGTAGTCTTTAGTTCGACCTGTCCATGACAATCTCCACCATGCCTCATCCCAAAATGCAGCAACTTTGCTTTGTGCGATGTATTTGCCGTCTTCCACACGACATGGTGACTGTACTTGATACATTGGTGTTGATGGGCCGAGATACTGATGGATGTAAGTGCATATGGGAAATCTAAGAGATTCCTGGCATCCATGATTTATAGATTTTATTCTCTTCCTTATCTGACCACCTCGCAAGGATTCAAGATGCCGTTAGAACCGAAACGAGGCTGAGCAAATAGATGTCACGTATCATATAATCAGTATACAGGGATTGGGTATCCGAGTCCAATCAGATCAACCGACATATCGAGCTTCGCTCTGTAGTCTGCGGCGTGGCTTCTGTCTGCACAGATCTGAACAGTAATATACTAAAATAACGTAGACTACAGTTTCTAAGGTATTTTCTATCTGTTTTTTAACATTGAAAATATATTGTAGTGTTATTAATTATAATATTAATATGTCTAGAAAAAATAACTGTAAAAAATAGTAAAAATGCTCTAGAAACTTCAAACGGAAGGAACTTGGTCCCAAATTTCAACTCGCTCCTTCCAATAAGTCTAGAACCCGGGTGACGCAATTGGTTAGCGTGTCAGACTTTTACAAATAAGTAAATCTGAAAGTTAGGGGTTCGAGTCCCCTCTCGGGTGGTTCTTTTCATTTTTTGCGTATTTTTCCCTTGACCCCGAGATCAAGACGAGTCGAATGCGATATTTTTTGTAATTTTTGGAGCTGGTTTCATGGAGTCGTGGAGTTTTGAATTGGGAGTGGTGCTGGGAGAGGTGGTGGGGTTTGATATCGCAGCCCCACTGTTTGCCGCCTCCCGTCACCTTCCATGAATTACTGAAGCAACTGTTGACGGGTTTGCTGCGATGGTACCTGTTGTATGGATAACCTCGTACGGAAGACGGAGCAATACGAATGATGCACGCAGAAGGAGTGTTTAAGTTTCGCCAAGTACTTGACTCTAAGACGCAATAGGGAAGAGCCGCGATCTGGTGATGATGGTATGTTTAATGCTAGAGCCTGCATATACTGGATGTAGGTTCCTCCCAATGCAAGTGATTACATGGATCTCTTACGAAATCGAGCATAGGTAATATGAAAGACTCCATAAGGTATGTTAAAGCTTGAACCATAAATTGGTCCCAACCTGTGCTGTGTTGGCTGCTAGACTCAAACAATCCAACCACTTGACTTGACAGTATAACTTTGACGACGTGATCAACGTCAAGACACCAAGTCAAAAGGAATCCACTTTCAAATCATGAGCATAAAGCTGAGCGGCGGACCGAGGAGATTGTACTCTGCAAGAAATCTTCTATCTCATCAGTGCGGCAGAGGGAGCCCGAAACGACACGATTTTGCTTAATGGGCCTATTGACCATCAGTGACAGTGATGAAGTAGACAACCAATCAATGTGTGGGTTTACAAAAAAGAAACCCGAGACTTACCACTAAACTCCAAGGTACCAAAGAGTGAGAATCAACTTAGTAATTTTGTCACTGCAGCTGTGGCTCTTTCCTTCTCTGAGTCGCGGGTTCGGTACCAAGCGTCGTGCCTTCTCTGTGTGAGGGCTTCCGCCATGTTCCGCCTGCTCCTTCCCGTCCCCATGAAGCTTGGTTACTGGTGTAATCATGCCTGCCGTCATTTCGTACAGCTCTCTTTCTTTTCCTTTCCATCATCGTCGACAATTTCAAGATGCCATCCCGCACGCCGTGCCTGAAGCACCTGATCGCCCTCCTGGAGAGATTCAGGCTACCATCAAAGATTCCTTCAAGATGCCGTCCCGCCCACCCTGCCTCAAACAACTTTCAAGGGTGGCGATGGCCGTTGAGGAGATCGACCGCCATGAGGAGGGTCTCCATCCAGGGGGAGCCGGTCACGGAGCAATCTGGCCATCCACTCCCTCTACCGCCGCCGCCGACTCCCCTCCTCCTCCTCCTCCCTCTACGACTCCGGTAAAGAGGCGCCGCGACCTCCAGGGTCGCAAGATTCTTTTGTCCTCCACGTCTTAGGCGGGGGGTTTTCTCATTTTCTTTTGGTCAGGCCCGCCTTTGCTTTCATTGCTCTTCCGGGAGCTTTTGAGAAAGACATGGGTTAAAGCATGAAGTGAATCTCGAAACCCCTTCTCTGGTAAGAACATGTTACATCTCTATGGGAAATATCGTCCTAAATGCGTCAGCTCTGCGATACTTAGTAGACTTGCCCTTTCGAGTCTTCCTAGCACCATTTCAGGATATGTAAGTGGTCTTTTTGAGCCCTCGTGACAAGAAAGGAATTGACATTGGGTATTTATTAGCTTTCGACCGCCTTTTCGGCCATCACGAGAAGGGGCGCCCTTTCAAAGGGGAGCTGGTCACAGAGCAATCTTGGCCGTCCACACCCTCTGCCGCGGCCGCCGACTCGGCTCCTCCTCCCTCCCACTCTCCTCCTACTCCTTCTACGCCTCCGGCGAAGAGGCGTCGCGGCCTCCGGGGTCGCAAGATCCTTTTGTCTTCCCCGTCTTAGACGGTTCTTTTGTTTCTACTTGGTGGTGTCTTCCTTTATTCTTTTCATTTTGTTAGGCCCGCCTTCCCTTTCGTTGCTCTTATAGGAGCTTTTGAGACAGATACGCCATGAATAATTTCAACCATGAAGTAGATCAGTGAAACTACTTTCTGGTAAGAATCTAATCCCTAGGTATGACAGAAACAGTTTGCTAAATGCTGTAGTTCTACGATACTCTGGTTGACTTATACGTCTTGAGTCTTCCTGGCACCGTGCCCTTCTGTTATAACGAGAGCAAGCTCGCCTTTGCTTTTTAGGGATCTATCCCTTTTTGTGCTTCACAACACTGGTAGCATGTATACCTCTACTTTCAAGCGCACCTTCGCACTTCCTATCGCAATACTAGCAACGGGCTAGTCTGTGTTTACTTTCATCAGCTCCTCTCAGTCTCCGGTTCCAGCTACAACGCCAGAAGCAGGCCCGCCGTTGCTTTCATGGCGCCCTTCCACTATGTTCAAAAGGATGTCAGGTCTATCTTTACTTTCAGACGCACCTCCCCCGCTCTCCGTGTACATTGGAAGGAAACCGCATTGAACTCGCCTTTCTTCTCGAAATACATCAAGCATGATCGAGGACATTGGCCGAAACCTATCTTTGATCAGTTAATCGCCCACCAATGATCACCAGCCAACCAGCCCCCACCGTCTATGAAGCTCGGGTTTAATCAGCTTCCATATCTACGACAATCAGAGGTACGACATGCGAAACGAATACTTGGACTGTAACTAACAAAGGCGGCAGTCTCTGGTGTAATAGGAGGCCGCTCTAAGCTAGAACGAGTTGTGCTTGGGAGTGGTGTTCTGAATCACAGAGAGGGTAGTATGCGGTGGACTCACGCTTGAATTGGAAGTATTCTCGTCATAACTTAGGGGATTACATGATGCTGGAAGTTTTTGTTTGCTTTTCATACGATTAAGAATATACAGTGCTTTCCTTGGTATGAAGTCAGTTGACTGTGGAATACGACATCTCTTATTGTCCTTACTTGACGAAGGCAGTTGCTTTTACAGGAGATCCGGAAACGAAAGTACAATGAGTGGTCTACATGATGCCGCAGTGATACGACACTTTATTTCACGAGTCGCGAAGATAGTAAAGCCCTCGGTCTCGCTGATGTCGATAATGCAAATCCGGAGCACCGGGTGGATCCTCGCTTCGGGGCCGATGCCGTGGGCCCACTCGTGCCCCCCGAAGGACCGGACGCACACAAACATCGAATTTGAGTGGCATGAGCAAGCGTTTATGATTAGAAAGAAAGATATATCATATTCAATGAATGGATGTTTATAAGCAATTTTTCTCCTCCGTATTTAAGTAAGTTAGGGATAGATGCAAAAAGTCAAGTGTGCATGCAGTGATAGCCACCTGGAGGCATCTTGGGCTTAAAGCTTATCGATCCAGGTAGGCACCAACAGAGCAAACTGCAAAAAAAGATAGCTTCATAGCAGCTACTGGTTTCGATCCAGTGACCTCCGGGTTATGAGCCCGGCTGTAATGAGTTAGTACTCTGGTATTGTTTCGCAGGTGGAGTAGAGACATACCGCGCTTCCACTGCGCCAAGCTGCTTTCCTTGAGCTGTTGAAGTGTGACTACATATTTTGGTATATATACCCAACAAAGGTTGGGAGAAGCGAGCCAGTCAACTGGCACCAAATATGTCCGAGGCACTGCCAGGCTTCCTTGTCAGATCACGCATAACAATGTCCTCAATTATGAGTCATAAGATCCCACTTAAACAATGACAGCTATGAACGTAATAATCGGGTCATGTGAGTGCTCCTGTAATGCTATGGTACATGGCTGACTTAAGAATCGTTTGTGTTCCGGCTGATATGCCAAGGCCAAACCTGTTGCGTTATCCATCGCAGTGCGATGTGTATTACCAAAGAGACAATTTTACCAAGGAACCTTAGTAAGTAGGGTGTAAGATTCGCATTCAAGGGGTATTTTTAAGAAGAGCTGTCAGAAAGGTATTGAGTAGCTAAACAAATCATCTCAAACAGCATGTCCCAGAGACTGTCACTCGGAACATAATGAACGATCGACAAGTGTGCGTGCAACTCATCAGGCTATTGCGATCAGATAGAAGGGTTTGATATCGTCTAAGAAGCGCTTGGAGATCCAAAGTATCGCCATTCTGTTTTACCTGATGAGCAAATCCTCCCCCTTATATTCTAGCTGAGTTGTCAACTCTTAAGTTCTCCAGCACTCAAGGTGCAAGCGAGACCATACGCAGATGATATTCACGCTAAAAATGTTCAAAATAAGGGCTGGGCGCATATCAGGGGTTTCTTTAGGACAGTGAACATAGCACGAGCTTACGGTTCTGTAACCATGTTGTCCATTGTAAAGAGGTGCAGTAAGAGGAAAGAAGATACATAGGATGGACAGCCTCCATGATCGGAGTAAGAAGGATGATGCGTTAGCGATTAAGAGACCATGAAATGTCGAAGGTAGAGAAGATGGATAGTCATATTTTCGCCTTTGCAGATAGTAGGTAGTCAAAAGAGCAGCTCCAACTTCCGAGGTAAAGGGACAGGCCTGAGGCGAGCGAGAATGAGCCATCGAGGGTGACGAAAGATACGATTTGACAGGATGTTTCATATCCATATACCAGAAGGTCACTCTTCTATCAGAACATAGCAGTAAAGTGCAAACAATCTCCCACATATCAAGCTGTAGTGCATGCAAGTCTAAGCACAGTGAATCAGTGCCAGCCAGTTAGCAGAATATATAAAGCAGTGGCAGGCAGCAGCAAGCTCAATCAACACAATTAATTTTACAGCTCTTCTCTCCCCCTCTCCGAAACTTTCCCTCTTCACACATCCATCTCTAAAAGTATCTCGCGTTAGTCTTGCACAAAATCTTCCTCTCACATCACCACCATCACCATCATCACCACCACTGTCGCCGCCGGAGAATGGACCGACACTGGGAACGCCTTCTGAGGCCACTCCTGCGGCCCCATGGCCCAGGTCTCCCAGGTGGTACCATGACCATGGAAGAAATCGCCTGGCATGAGAGGAACTCCCCCATTAAGGGGGTGCCAGTCACTGAGGAGAGCTGGCCTTCTGAGCCCGCCGAGACTGAGAGTATGTGCTATCCAGTGTTTGTTGAGCATTTAACTAACATGTTTAGCTTCTGAGAAGAAATAGAAGAATGGCGGGTGGTGCCAACAATGTCGGCATGGGAGGGCAGCTGTGTTGGGTCTCTGGCAAACATTACATTCGAGTAGCCCAGACACAATTCATAATTCACATCGCACTGTTCATTGCCACAATTGTTTTGTTTAAACTTTGTATTATTTCATATTGTTCGCTGACATGCAGACTTCCTATCTATCATTTGTATCCCGCCAAAGAATATATCTGGCTCACAATGGGGTATCTGCCATCCCGATATAATGATCCTCGCATAACCGCCCGAAAGATGCAATATTCAAACAGGTAGAAAAACAAAGGGGAAATAAAAGCTGCAAATAACAATTCTGTGACTTTGCAGCATGCGTGGCTTTGGTTTCCTGTCTCGTCCCATTCCATCCTTCTTCAACACCGTGGTATCACAAAACAAAAATACAAAATGACAAAGACATGTAAAAAAGGAAATAGGTATGTGTTGGCTCAAATGCTGAGATGTATCCAAGAACAAACAAGGAAATGGGTAATAAGAGAAAGTTCAGATCGTCATGTAGAGGATGGGGTATCCTGTCGTAAAGTTCCTCGTCCTCCTCTTTAGCCCGTGTACGGAATGATTATTAGTACAGATATATGATAATGCAAGGCAGTGAAATGAAATCATGATGCTCAAAAAAATGCTTTTCCGTTCCGAGATTAAAACGCCTTATAGTCTCATGTCGCCGTCGTCCAAGTAGAAGCTTGTGGGTGAGCCAAACTGCTGTTGCTGTTGATGTTGATGCTGGGGCATGAAGCCAGGGTTTGATGTGTATCCCTGCTGAGGGTGGCCCATTCGCATCGGCAGTTCGTAACCCGCAGGCATAGACGTAGGTACAGTCGCATGCATCATGTCGGCGTACATAGCCGGTACAGGAGGGACAGCCTCGTGCTCGGAAGCAGGGCTGCCATAAACGCTGGTCTTCTTCTTTGGGCGCAGGTTCTCGAGGCTCAATCGCTTGCCCCAAGACCCGGGTCGCTTTGTAGGAATAGGAGTGGCGGGGCGGGCAGCTACAGGTTGTTGTGGTTGCTGGGGAGGCATGTACACGTTACCCATGACAGTGTCTTGTTGAGGGAAGTGCTGCTGCATGCCAGTCATGTCCCATTGTTGTTGAGGAAGCTCGGAACCTGGAAGAATGTAGGTCATGGACGCATCCGCAAAAGTGTTCATCTGATCAGGTGCAAATTTGGGTGCGTCGACAGGCCAGACATGCTCATTAGGAATGGGGAATGGCGTTCCTGGGTGAGGGCCGGCTGTGAGATCATCTCGAACCATGGGCTCGGGAATGCTGTCCACTGGTGTTGATGGTCTAGTCTCCTGCTTGATACGTCTGGCAGTGAAGGAAGGTGGCTGTGGTGTTGTAGGGGCCTGCTTCGTGACAGTAACCATCGGTGTGTTCATTTCGCTGATATCCTCTGTCTTCATCTGCACACCTTCTCCGTGGCCGACTGCATCAGCCAAGCATTGAGATCGGAACGGTAGAGAGAACTGTAGGTCAATTTCACTTGGTGGCGGTGTGGTAGGGTTGGTGAAAGGAGATGTGCCAAGGATGAAGGCTAGGCGAACCAGAGTAGAGATGTCTTCACCAAGGTGACGAGCCTCGAGCATACGCTTGAGGTCGCCAGAAGAACGAGGACGCCATGTGAGTTGCTGTCTCTTCTCCTTGGGCCAGATGCAAGTCTTCCAGATAGACTTGACCTTGGACTGGCGCATCAAGTTGTGCAGTTGAACCTTGTACTCCCAGTTGTTCACATCAAATCCGTCCTCGAAGTGCTTGGCGATATGCTCAAAGTACTTATCTCGGCTGGCAGATGCTTGCTCACCGGTGGGAGCCTCAAAGACACGGTCCTTGCAGCTACCGAAACCGCAACCAAAGACGACCTGAGGGCACAACTCTGTCTTTGCTGAACTGTTAGGAAGAGCATCCATGCGGTGTGCCTCCTTGGCGTGTGTGCTGTAGGCGCGCTCGGTAGCAAAAGAGAGGTGGCAGCCCTTGGTCTTGCACAGCCAAGTCACATCAGCACCGTGGAAGTTGTAAAGATGCTTCTTGAAATCGCTCTTCCTGCCGAAACCAACGGGGTTGTTGTCCAAGAAACACATGGGGCACTGGTATTTCTTTGAGGTTGGTGTGACGTGCCGGGGCGACGGGTGAGAGGTGACATCGCATGAAGGAATGGGTGACTGCATGAGGTTTGGCGAGTCGAGCCATGTACGATCGGTAACTTTACCGACTTCACCATCATGAATCGAGGGAACGTCGCCGGCATTGTCTTGCCATGTCGATTGAGTTCGGATGGAAGCGGCATCGGATCGCGTGTGAGAAGCATCAGAGTTGCTCCATGATAATGAAGGCGCGCTGGTGTTGCTGAGTAGTGTGGATGCTGAAAAGGTGGAGGCTCGTGCTATTTGATGTTAGAGGGTCTACATCTTGATATGTAATTGAAATCACTCACATGAAGCACCGAGACCGGTGAGCGCGCAGACAAGGCTGGAGACGCCGTAGCGACGGGTAAGACCCAAGAGGATTTGCTGATCCTCTTCAGATAGCGGCCTCACAGGCTCATCCTGTCCAGGAAAAGGAAACATGTTGTGTGGTTGTGATTGCGGAAGTCCAAGGCTCAATCGTCGAAGCGATAACGCGCACTGAGCGCTGGATTAACTATCGTTGGCGACCCGTGTGACAGAATTAATTAATGTCAGCAATAATAGACAGTCGCTGTTGGTGTGACTATCATCAAGTTGAGTCGAAGTTGGTTGAGATGTCGTGTAAGACTGGCGATAAGCGTGATCCGAGGAGCGTCGATGAAAGAGAGTCGAGTCGATTCGAGTCGATGGAAAGCGAAACGAGGGGAAATCGACAGCCCGCGACGATTAGTATGTGATAGTTGGTTCGTTGAGTCGTGATTATGAACCAAGAAAGCCTTGGAATGTGATGTGATAGCGGTAACTTTGTGGGTATGAGGGCGGATTAAAACAAAGGCGAGACAACATCAATTAGAGTAAAAAGACGAACAGAAGAGACACGCAAGGGTCCTTGTTTGAGATGGGGATTAAGAGAGTAAGTACTGTACTTTACTCGACTGGGAGAGAGGAAGAGAGGGGCGAATGTATGGAAGAAGTAAAGGGAACGGCGAGCAGGCAGTAGCAGGCAGTGTAAAGTGAGGAAGGTATGGTATGCGTGCAAGTGCAGGGGAGGGAAGGAGCGAAGGAGAGTCAGTCAGAGATCAGGAAGAAAGAGGGAAAGAGCAAGAGAAAGTCCTTCTAGAAGCCTTCCTCGAATCCCTGGACTTGTGTGAGACATTATAACGGGCTTGCCGGAGTGATCGCTCTTGGTCGGCCCACGTTGGTTCAATCCATGTCCTGGCTAGTCTCGAGACTAGTGACTCTATCAACAGGGGGAGTCCTTGTCCACCACCAACGCCGTTTCAGGAACGTCATTCGCCAAATTCTGCCTCGTCTGCCAATTCTGTTCAAAAACGGATGGTCCATCTCTAGTCTATGCTATGCGGGTCGAGCATCTTGACGTGACGTACCTGACGATGATCTACTATTCCGGCATTTGGATATTTCAGGGGAGAATGGATCATCAGGTACATACATATTCTGATACAATAGACATCAAATGCCTGGAAAACAAACAATGCGACGCCACAGACCTTGGTGTTTAAGCGTGAGTGTACGGAGTACTGTACTTACTGAATCCTCGATAGCCTGCTTCCCTTTGGGGGCTACTGTACTACCATTGTGCTGTGACCCAGCCGAGTCTGGGTCGTAACGGGGCGACCAAGTAAAGTCAGGTCAGCGACCGACAGACACCATTGAAGAAAAAACTCGGCTGGGGCTAAAAAAGTCATCTCATCAACGATTTACTGGACTGGAGTGTAGCCAAAAATAAGGCCCTGTTTCAGCAAATTGCACTCTTGGTTCCCCTGCCAGTTTGCTTGCTGCTGCAGTCTCCAGCTCCCTCCCTCCTACATGCTACGTAAGAAGGAGATGACCGACATGATCTGAAGTTCTTCTGCCGTCATTCTAGAAAATGCTGCATGCAGGAGAGATTACGCTGCTCCATCATTGCTGTCGATACAACATAGAATTAGGGTTTTGTGGACAGCCCGTTTGACCTCAACCCGGTTTGGGTTTCCTATTCCGCAAAGAGACATCAATATCCGTACGTAACTGATTCAGCATTTGATCACGCTTAGTTTCTGTCGTGTCAGAATCTTGCCAGATTGACCTACTTAATTAGTCACTTCAATCCTTGACGAGCGTCAAAAGTGTGGCTTCTCTCTATCTCTTCCGAGTATCGGTGCTAGAGCAGAGCAGCAACGCAATAGTGATCCAAACTTGGACATGAAACTGTTCGCTTTGGACGTAAAATCTCCACAGTGGAATGGAGAATGGATCCCCAGATGAAGGAATAGAGAGAGAAAAACGTGGTCGGAGAGTGATCAACCCGACCGAGTCTAAACTTCTTGAGAAAAAAAAAGCCAAGGTAGATTGTTGCCCAAGACACCAAGATCCATATCAGTGCTAGTGTACGCGGGCCAGCAGACGACCCTGTTTCAGCGGGAAATGACGATGGGCCAATCTCTGGCTTTTACTTGTGAGGACGGCGTATCAATGGCCTGCCGAGACCTTAGTATGCGGAGCTGGGAGGGTGGCCATCTGACGGTATTGGTTGGGGATATGGGGGGGACATGACACGAGCCTGGTCAAGTCTAAGCCACTTTGGAGGAGGACCAAGAGGACCCCTTGTAAGTTCCAAAGACCAAAGGCCCAAAGGACAAAAGGTTGAAAAGCCAAGACCATATTCAAGAGGTCAAAACATTAATCGTGGGTGTAGTGGGAGTCACTGTGGCGCCTGCTTATAATGCACTGCTGTAAGAGTTATCGTTTCGCCCAGCTACTGTACGGTGAGAATGGATCCTTGGCAATACAGTAGATTGTTCCTTCAAGCCATACCTAGCCATCATGACGAACTCTTACTCGGGTACAGTAACACAGCCTCGTGTACAGAAATGAGACCCTGGAGTCGTCAACAGCCATAACGCCATCTCCCAAAAAATGAAGCAACAATCCAAGAAAAAGGAAAAAAGGGGATCCATAACAGGTCCTGGCTTCTGGGTCAGATCCTCGCAAATCAAATGATGCAAAAAGTGAAGTATCACTTTGTTGCAGACACTGGGCTGGCTGTGCGAGAGACATGTTTGCTTTGTTTCATCTGTCTTGCTGACCGCTCCCCTGTTTGACTTTATTTGCTTTTTCTTCTGGAATCTTTCTCTGGGCTAGGCAAAACATTGCATCGTAATGCGAGTGGTGGGACCTCTCTTCTCCTCTTTTTCGTGGCTGATTGATATGGATGATTATGGAGTATCGTATCTCCAGATCTATGTATCAGCCAACATGAAACTGACAGTATCCGAGTATCGAGAACAGATACTGGAATTACTTTACGTGCAGCATAACGCAAGCGACGTGTTTCGGGTACAACGATCAGCACCGTAGATCCTAGCATAGCCACTGGATTGGTCCATGCTGATTGTCCGTCTTGTGCTTGGACGTTGCCTTCTTTTGCTTGTCTCGTGATGGGCAAAGCACTATATCCTTGTCAAGGCTGGGGTAGATGAAAAAAAGATGGGATGGTTGACTGCACGGTTTTCTTTCTTCTCCTTCTGTTCCTGTCGTCTGTGAGGCATCCTATTCATTACCCTAGATCCTGGTCATCATCCACTTGACTGGTTCGGGTTGGCAGTTCTTGGGCTATGATGTGCTCTATTACTGGTTTGCTTCACAAGGCATGAATATTGACTGTACTGTGCCGTTCAGCTTATTGAGAGACTAGAGTCGAGACCATCATGATTAGTTGATGTAACATCACGGAGCATTCTAAACATTGAGATACTCGGATACTTTAACAACCTCGCATGGGTAGAGTCAAAGCACTCTGTCATGGAATCGTCGGTTACACTCACGATCAACATCAAACACAAAGTTCCAGTGGAGTGAAACCTCCCGTCCTCCCTCTTCTGTAACGCCTTTCCCACGTGGTCCACCCGTTCCCGTACTGTAGATCCTCGAATGTGCCTTTCTTTTTGAGGTTTCTGCACGCAACCTTAAACAGAGCACCGACAAAGGGAGTTTGTATGTTGGTTCTGTCGACCTCAACCCGAGCTGAATAGTTGATTGCTTGCTTGCTGACATGCAGACAAGCATACAGAACCGTATAGTGGTCCAGTCCTTATCGTAGTCGCAAGGTGTTGCCCTTCTTGGTACGCGCCCTCCACGTGGATGTTATGCAGGTCCCCTATCTCCAGCATAATCATATCCGTCATCAATCAATCAACCAACCCAGGAGTTTCACCTCCATCTCCAACTCCATCTCCAACCCAATTTAGGCACTTTACGTAGAAAACCCCTGTCAGGGATGTCCACTTGGTTCATTCACCTACTGCGCCCGAGGTTCTCGAACGCAAGCCACGATATCCAGTAAACATACATGGCCGTTTGAGCCGTTGCTAAAAAAGCAATCAAGAGGCGTTTCTTAAATCTCCTTCCTATAAACTATAATGCCTCGGCATCCATAGCATAGCATAGCATAGCATAGCATCCTCCTGTCGGATCAGCCTCCCGTAAGCCCTTATCTTAACCTCTTACCGTATCGCGGGGATCCTTGCCCTTCCGAAAGGGCTCAGGCCTCTTCTTGCGCGGCACCGATATTCTTCGCGTCCGTGGAAATGATTTTGGTCCGCGCTCTTTTGGCTGCCGCTTTTACTACTTTCTTTTCGTCTCTAGGCAAACTATAGGCACTGATCACTTGGTGCCGTCTTCTTTTAGCCTTACCAGATCGTACGATACTCGAGGACGGTGTTTCAATCGTGAACCGAGCGTTGCTTTCGAGGTGATGCGAACTTTGTAAATATTACTGATCACTGACTGAATCGAGTACGATCAAGTGCAAATCACTATATCACAGACACAAACGTAGATCCCTGGTCTTCAGGACATGGCTTTAAAGTTTGACCCCTATCCGTCGTGCTCATTTACACTATCATCCTCAAGCGAGAACGCAGATGCAATGGTCTCAGTCGTAATCTCAAACATTCTTGTACAGCCGAGTTACCCTGTACTACTCTGCCATCGTCAAGCTGCACTGACAGTTAACGGTGGTAGATCTTCTCCCTCAAACGAGATCATCCGTAAACTTTGTCGTAAACACCTGACTATTTTGGAATACAATCGCGCTCGGCAGTTGAGGTTCTCACGATAGCTTCAACACCAACGGAACCATGTATCAGACGTTGTCACCTAACTACTGAGCTAACCGGCAAACCGGGACAACCTCCGTGATGGAATCTTCCAGCCATGAGAGTATGTCATTATCAGTAAACTTTAAAATGTCCTCTGTGTCCTTCTCCCGATGTAGCATGATCGTTGTTTCAGGGTTATTTTGGGTTGGAGGCGTAATATCTTAATCTTGGATCGTTGAGACCCTAAAGAAGCTCGGTAGTCTCGGTGCCTTCCGGGTCTCCGAGGCCTGCCGGTAGATCAGGGTGGGAGGGGAGCTCTGGCATCAAGTTGCTAGTGACTGGGTCCTTCAGATGCCCAACGTTTGATCCATGTCCAGCATCAATGCCTTGCATCGTCAAGAACATGCGGAGTGGTAATGAAGCCGACGAACATGAGTGGAGAATTGGCTAAACAGGAAGCACAATTTAACGTAGCTCAAACGTATACTCAAACGGGGCGAAGGCATAGTTGAGGGTAACCATAGTTGAGGGTAAAGTTGCTTGTGTATTCAAGCTAGGGGTATCAAATCGAAGACACTCAAACGTGTCGTGCTAACAGACTAACAGACCAAACTCCCACTATCCGTACCCAAGGCACTCAAAACCAAATCCCGGCTTTTGATAACTAGATGTCCCTGAGAGCTCTACAAATACTCCCCATCCATGAACGACCCGATGTAAAGAACCAATCGCTAAGTGGTGAGTATACCACGTCTTCTGTCCAACGACAGATATATACAAACAAAAGAAAATATTAAGGAGTGTTTCCAATTAATAACCAAAATGCCAAAAAGACTCAGGAATATGCTGTATCGAAACCAAACGTCATATGTTGGTTCATATGGTCTGTAGGTGTAAGGCATGAAGCATCCGCCGCGGAGGTAGTCATGCCCTGAGGTTCGTAAGGGCCCGAGAAGTTGGGCTGTTGCATGAATGAAGGGTCCATCATTTCGGTGTCGGCCATATCAATGTCCCGTTCTGGTACACCGTTGGTCATGGACTGAAGGCTTCGCAAATCCTCAGCAATGATACCCCCATTGGCTTGCTGCATCATGGCAAACTGCTGCTGTTGGTGCTGCTGTCGCGGATCATACATTGGTACTACCCCCATATTGGGGTACTGGAAATGGTGTGGCATCGGGCTCGGGGCTGATGAAGTTGCGGGCATGGCCTGCCGCGGGGGGCGAGCAGAGCGACCAGAACGAACGGGGCCGGCCCTTGCTGGGTATGCCCGGCGCTGTGTAGCCATGTATGCCGCCAGATTGGGATTGTGGTTTGTGTTTCCCCGGGAAATGCGGAACTGGTACTGATCCGCGCTTGGGGTCGGGCCCGAGGGCGGCAGGGGAGGTGCCCGAGACTTGTGTCCCATGATGACTTGACGACATTGGTCCTTGACAGGGTTGACAAAGTCCTCGCGATATTTTGTGATAGACGATGGTTCTGAGCCAAGAGCAATGGCATACTGAACAAGAAGCTGCAAATCCCCCAGATGCCTTGTTTCGAGGCGCTTGCGGAGAATGCCGCTGGACTGAGGATGCCACTGTAATTGACTTCGGTCATCCTCACCCCAAGATGAACCTTGCCAGGCACGAACGAGACCATTCTGTCGAAGCAAGTTTCGCATTCTTCCCGAATAGGTCCATTCTCCGCTGTTGGAACCCTCATCGAAGTGTTTCACAACATGAGCCACGAACTCCTTGAACACAGTGTCGGCCTCGTCGTCGCTAGGCGCTTCAAATACTTGGGTACAGTTCTCAAAGCCACAAGCAAAAACAGTCTGAGGACAAAGGTTGATCTTGGCTTCATCGAGAGACATACGGGAGCCACCGTGGGCTTGCTTGAGATGAGTTTTGTATGCCGTCTGCCAGTCAAAAACCATGTCGCAACCCTTTTGCCGACAAAACCATTGAGCGTTGGTGTTGTGAAAATCCTCAATATGCCTCTTCAAGTCGTTTTTACGTGTGCATGTCTTCTGGATATCCTCCTCTCGACAAAAACCGCACGTGAAAGAACCCTTCTGTTTAGGCGCAGGCGTTGTTGACTCATTCGAAGCCGGTGAAGTTTCCTCCTCGTGGGTAATGGAAGGGCGAGGTGCTTTGCGACCAAGCAACTTCGCAGTACGGGCCGATACATTAGAGATGATACTCCCTCGGAGGGATGAGTTGTCGGACGAGTAAGTTCGTATGCTTGCCGCATCGAAAACGCTAGGGGTTTCTTCCGACTTGACTGATGAATAAGTACTGGAGGAGATGACCGACGCAGCATCGTTGACTGATAGATATAACCGTTAGTAACGACCAACCTGCCAGAGTCAATTATTACTCACTGTTAATGGCAGGTGAAGTAGCCTCCTCATCCATTAATTGAGCAATACCATCGCGACCATAGCGTCGCATCAAATGGCGCAGCAACTGCCGATCAAGTGAATCATCTTGTTGCGACATGTGGGAATGTTGCGATACACTGTCCGCGTCGGACCACGAGTCCGGAGACATGGTTGTGGTGATGATGGAAGAATTAAGTTATTTGGGGCTGAAGAGAAGACCTGGACCCGATTGTATGGGTAGTGGAGTACAGCGAACAACACCCCCAAAAATCAGCACGGTCAGCCCTGGAAGTGGAGGATTAGAACTCGGCTGGGCTGCAAGCTGAGATGGTCAGGGCTTTCTTGTAGAACCCCAAAACTACAGAGTTTGGAGACTAGCCGGAGCGAGAAAGTGGGAGACGAGAAGATACCGGAGTAAACGGGTATATAGAGACAAGTCAGGCCAAGACCAAGGCCAAACAGTGAATAAGGCGACCAAAAAGAATGACAGATCGTTGGACCTGAATCGCGAATGAAAAGCTGGGGAGCAGGGGTCAACTGATAGCGGGTAAGATAGCGGTATGCGATACAGTTGCTCTGGGGTAAGAGAAAAGATATGAGTGGGGAGAGCCAAGACTGATACAAAGAGGAGGAGAGATATATAAATATTTAATGACCAAATTATAGGGAAATATTCTGTGGACTGGTTCTCACAGAATGAAGCTGACGATGATTGAGAAATAATAAATAAAGAGTTGAGATGAGCAAGAACCCGCTTCCAACGTCGATCGTAGGAGGGGAATCAAGACATTTGAATGGAGGAAAAGTCAAGGACATGGACACTGCCTGGCTCTAAACCCGACTTGGTCTCTTTACGACGGCCCAATGAGATCCATCAGACTATACCTTGACAAGACATTACTTCCATGCGAATGGAATTACTTTCGGTACCTGGAGATCATCACAACCACAACGACAAAAGAAACCTTGAGATGCTTAATTACAGAAACCCTGATCCATACAACTGAGGTCGGCACTTGAACCGAGGAGAAGCAAAAGCACGGTCTAAACATGAACCAATATATCGGCACTGAGCATCAAACCGACAGAGTCTCTTGTGGAGTGCACTACCGCTCCAATGTGGGCTGTGCCTGTGCGTCGTCACTTTGATCAGAACCTAATGCGCGATACCTTCAAGGATCTTGTATACGGCATTGCGTTTTCCTTGACAATTACTGTGACAGCCAACATTAGTCACAGTACTCTGTATCAAGTTCGAGACTCAACATCATGCGGTATGAGCCGACTACATGCAACTAGTATGGATGAGACTCTCACTACCAACTCCCGAATACACACTAATATCCAACCTGCAGCCCCGTTTTCATCTAATCAAGACAGGCATCCCATAACAAACTCAACTCAAAGTCTCAACTCTACAGTCGGGCCTCAGCACAGCCCAGGATGGATCGTGCTCAGGCTTCATTCACAACGGTCATGGAACTAAACAACGGTCTTGAATGGGTAGTTTTACGTCGCAAGTTGATGTCCATGCACCCGTTATGGAGACGGGGAAAAGTGTGGAACTCATCCGGGGCCGCGCGACGCGGATCCGGATGGTTATGTCACTGTAACAGTAGCGAGTCGAGCCTGTTTCTTTTCGCACTTGCTCTTAGGTGAAAGTATCTCGTGATACTATGATCGTCGCGGGGGAACATGGGAACACTTGACTCTTGCAGCAGCCCCAGTTTTGGGCATCTTTGGGGGACACTTGGGCCAAGACTGCATCTGGCTGCAAGTGGACTGGTAGACTGGCACTTTGGTAAAACAATTGATCCTCTGGATAATAATACTTTGGATTCAATGCCAGACAAGACCCTATAATCTTATCTCAGCCCTCAACTTATAGTGCTGTTCACTTAAGAAATCGCTGACCATCAAATGTCTTGATCCCAGTAATGCTCATGCAGCCAATAACAGCCACTGTATTCAGCCAGTAAGCATCACGTCTACCCATTAATCACGACAATTCAGATAAGATTGGTCTTCCTGCAAAGTTATCAAATAACGCCACAAACACCGTATTTTTTCTTTCTAGATGGTTGGTGACATTCAACCCCCTGCATTACTTCCATACAAGAGGCTTGAAACTTGGCTTTTTGCCAAAAATGAAAGTGACATGTAGGCCTTGACTCGACACCAAGAACCATTCCAGACAAACGGTAATTAATTTTCCCACACATGAGGGAGATCCCCAGGGACCAGGTTCTCATTCATTGTTTCCTACGGTTGAATTCCTCCCACATCCCAGGTTTCCTCTTTTCCCCCAAAGCTCAGAGCCCTGGTTCGTCCTGTATTGTACGTGCCATCATGAGGCTAGGCTGAATATGCATGACTTGAAGCATTGACACATCCCAAGATAGCATGTCTGGGCTTTTGATCTGCTTCGGTCTGCTTCCGTTAGTCTTCACAACGCATCAACCGGTCTGTCTTAATTGTGCGCAGAAACTAAATTTGTTTCCAAAAACAACTCGGGTAAATGGATCAGACGATGCAATACCACGATGGTATCAATGTTGGCTTCGTAAACTCGAAGCACGACCCTGTCGATCTGATTTTCCCCGGGGACCTGTCCTGTAACAATAGTGACCGCTTACTGAATATTTGCTAAAACTCTAAGGCTAAACCTCCACGCCACAGCCATTCCAACATTCTTCAACCTCCCCCCAAAATAACCCCCTGACAAGATCCTGGCTTGTCCTCATCCGTCCGTAAACGTAAACTCCGTCGTACTCCTTGTCCGCGCAACTTTAACATTCCAGGAACTCTTGCGCTTCACTCATACCCTGAAGGTTCATTGTCATCTCGGCACTTGAGTGTGATCCCGAACGGCATTTCACAGCCTGACATCGCTTGAGTCCCTTGTCTGTTGAGACAAGGGTAAGCTGAGCCTCACATTTTGCGACACACGAGTCCCGACAGTCCCGCTTAGTCGGATAACTGTTCTCCTTTTGGGTAATAAGGTTGAGCAGAAATCCAAGGCCGGAGTCTCGCGTCACATCGTCGATATCTCCTTGCAAGGACTGACCCAAGCTATCGGGCTCTGTGTGGGATAGACCGATAAATGCACTCAAACGCACTGCGTATTTGTAATTTTCTCCTGAAACCTGGACCATGCTCATGCTCATGATCGACTCAAAGACCCATTACTTTTTAACTTTAACGCTTAAGATCTTGTTGATGCACTAATCCACCATTGATTGACATGATGCTCATACACGTGTGTCTAGATGATCATTCCTCAAGGCTTCACACCGTCCTGGACGTAGTAGATGGCACTTCCCGTAGCCGGTCGGCTCACCACTACGGCTCCCTTCTTTTGCTCTTCCGTCAAGTCCCTCTTGGCAAAATACTCCTTCTCCAGGGCCTCTGTCACTGCCGCGACTTTATCCGCCGGCACCATGTGCACACTGCAACCTCCCCATCCCGCACCAGTCACACGCGCTCCGGATGCTCCTGCTTGAAGAGAGATGGCGCAAATCTCATCCAGTTCAGGGGAGCTACACTCGTAAAGGTCGCGACAGGATGCTTGCGTCTCGTTCAGTAGCGAACCGAGTTCTGCGTTGAACTTGCTGGTATCCGAAGCTCCGGTGTGAACAGGGTTCTCTAGAAGCTTCATGAAACGAATTACGCGGTGTGCCTCTCTAAAGACATGCAGAGCACGCTGGCGGAGCTTGAAACGCTCAGCACGCACAGGAAGCTTGGACATGAATCGCTTCTCCAGATCCTCCACCGTAATGTTGAGCACCTTGGCAACCTCCTCTCGTGTGTATCCCTCTTCTTGTGTAAGCGTCTTCTCGGTAATCTCGATCAGCTTTTCCAATTCCTCCTCCTTGGTAAGGGTCTTGGCGGCGGAGTAATCTGAGCCGTTCTGGTGGTAAAAGAAAGTATCGTGGAAACCTCCGAGACTGACACCCAGGGGGCCTGCATCCTCCGGAAGCTCGGTTCCGGGTGGGTTGAGGACAGCGTTAAGGTAGGATGCTGCAATGCTACATTCGACTACGCGCAGGTTGTAGTGGATGGGGCCAGTGACCTGCTTGTTTGATGTAACAAAAGATTGCACAATAACGAAGGTGATCTCGGGTCTGGTGGGAGGGAAATGAACTGGTTGGGCTTTGAGGCTTGGGTTGAATGAGACGAAGGTAGCTGCGCCCTTCTCGGAGAAAACTGAGGCTGCTTGGTCCATGCTGTGAGATGGGTTAGCAACATCCTGGACATACACGAAGCTGGGACAACATACCCTCCTGAGTTGACTCCTACTGCACGTTCATTCACGATGGCAAGCTCAGTAAGCTCAGTCTTGTCCACTGTCTTCTCACCATTGGCCAACATGATAGCTAGTGAGCTTGTGCTGACCACAGCAGCACTGGAGCTCAATCCTCCCCCAACAGGAACAGTGCCATCCATAAGCAGATTCATGCTACATGGCTTAAAATCCTTGCCATACTTCTTCCTCAGCAGGTCCATCACACCTCTCAGACCACTCTTGAAGTAGTTGGTCCATTCCAACTTGGTCGCATCGATCGAAACGTCGCCGTCGAAAGGAACCTCGAAGTCTGCGGCCTCAAACTTGTCGTCCTCCACATTTGCGATGCGGATACGGAACGACTTGGCATCGTCGGCAGCGGGTGTAGCAGAGACAGCGAGAAGAGTGTCGGCGGTAATGGCCATAGGCAGCACTGAGTACAGAGAGTAGTCAATGTGCTCTCCAATGATGTTTACTCGTCCAGGAGAGCGAGCAACGAATGAAGCAGCATGTCCGTAGGTGGATTCGAACTTGTTGAGAAGGTTGTTCCATCGTGGTCCTTGCTCAGAGAGCGCATCAGGAGGATAGATGTCGCTCAAGGCGTTCGCAACAGGGACAGAGCTGGACATGTTGGCGATTGGTTCTGTATATGAAAGACGGTCTTGCGATTGACTTTTATTGCTTTTGAAGTGAAAAAAGCACGCGCTTTTGTATTTGTCGCAAACTATCGCGTGAGGAAGTTGTCGTTACAGTGGAGGTTTGTATGCCCCGCTATTGCCCCTCGGGGGATCGTCAACCGGTATAGCTTCAAAGAGATGACGTAGGTATCCTATGAAGCTGGTTCAATGAGTATTCTAGTGCGTAGACAATATGGGCGCTTTCAAGTTTATATATCTATGTTCTGGCTCTTGGATTCTGTATCGAAACTTCCAAGAAATGAAAAATTCGTGTCAAGTTTTGCTAAATAGTATCAGCTTTGAGTCTTCAACCCCTCATATTGAACCCCGAATATATCCCCACCTATCGGCGCACAGCATTTCAAGTTCCCCAGAACTTGTAGTGCAGGTTTATCGCGCGGACGCCTGCTCGGCGCTTTCTAGCGAGCGCCATGGCTGTCAATTGCAAAATAGAGGAGTGGTTCGGTTGTGGGGTTTGGCTTGGCTATTTGCGCAGAGATAGGTGCGGTTGTGAAGTCCTTGAAACGACTTGTTAGTAAGAGGGATAAGTTGCATGACCTTGCATCGTACTATCAGGTCATTGGAACTCATGACACGAAGAATCTGCAAGGCACAAGATAAATTCGAATATAGACCTCAAATAAACTCGGATCGCATCGCATTGATCTCGCGGCTACCGGAGCCGTATCTTCGCAATGATCAAACGAACAGGTTTAGGGTATGAATGGAATAGAACAAGTGACTCGAATACTGGTTACGGGCTATTGTTCATGAACAATTCGCAGCCTCTTCATAGGCGGGCGGCCTTAGGCAGGCAGCTGTCCGTCACTGCCTAGACAATACAGCGATTGTTCCAGCGGTAACCAGTGTCTCGAGCTTTGTTTGTTTACCTACTTTTCTGAATCACTCACACCTCTTCATCAAAGACTTTTTTCGAACGACTCATCGCTTCACTCTACAACTGAACACAGTCGGGGTCAACGCAACAATGAGCTTCCCAACCCAGCAACTAGAGCCTTATACGCTGTACATGACAATTTCCGTTCCCGAAGAGCCAGCTGAAAACTTGGCCCATCGTTACGACTATGACATGTCAACTATCATCGAAGTTTTCAAGGAGAAGAGGTCCGAAAGTTCCAAGGAATTTGTTCTCGGTGCCACTGACTTTGACTGGGGAGTCTATTGGCATCGAGAGCTCGGTGATGGAACATGGTACATCTATCGCTACACTGAACGAGGCATGTATCAAGGACCGCCTGGGTTATGGAAACCTCGAACCTATCATCGATACGATGTGAAGCAATCTCCACGCCTGAATCACCATGTCGTCGGTCTTGTGCGAGTTATGCGCGTCCCTGAAGAGACCGGCAAGGGAGTCACTGCTTTTATCGACTGGCTGGCACCTCTCGTTAGCCTCAACGCAGAATAGGATGACTGGTGGACAACGACTATCTGCCTGCAGACTCGAATGTATGTGGCCCATCGACTGAACAAGGTCGATGAAGGGGTGGAGAACTTTGATGCCAACATGTTGATACTTCATGTGTTGCACTTTGCCTATCGCGAGGTCTAGTATACCTTCGCTGGACAACTCCCACGACCTATCTGGGTACCGGATTATGGAGTGGTCAAGGGTGATCAATCACCGACAGAAGCTTCATGAGCTATGGAGATAACCACCTTTTGTGCGTCTCATCAGAGTAAGCCAAAGCCTCAATTCTCGTTGCGTGGCCAGAAAGCTAACAAATAATCAGCCTCTTCAGAACACGCAAGGATGGACCAATTTTTGGACGAAATCATGAGACACTGAGTAGCCGAGGCGGTCTAGTGGGTATCAGAGAAGAGTCCTTCAAGGCCTGGGGCAACAGAGACATAGCATGAAGCCTACTCTAAGCTGTAATGAGAGATCAATCTATTTCGTCACCCACGCCTCGGTCAGGTTTTCTGATGCCATGATGGCGGTTTACATCCGTGATCTAGATTCATTTCTCGGCGCTCAGCCTCGAAAGCGGATTCAGGGACGAAAAACAGCAGCACAATAGACTGTCAATTATGCATTGCCCTACTCGTGACAGGCCTTGATGAAGATATGAAAACAATAAATAAATTACTCCAATCCCCTCATATTATCAGAGTTCGTTTTTGGCAGTGCCAGTCACGAAAACTCAAAAGGTATGCGCGTTGACACGTGATTAGTATCCCCGAGCCAACGCCAGTCAGTGGCCTCTATTTCTACAAAGGAATTCCACGTCTACCGTAACTTTTGGAAATCGAGAAACAGCGCAAAAAGAGACAATTGCAATTTTGGACACATTCTATACAGAATTACAAAATGGGTCACCATAACCTTCGCTTTGACGGCGATCCTCACTCCCTGAGTGGAGTCTGGAGTCCCCCAACCAGCAGAGCCAAGTGAGACGTCACCTCACCAGTATATGACTACTGTGCTAACTTTGCGATGTAGTTTCTGTGAAGAAGATTATGCTATCACCTTCTATCTTGCAGAGTTCATCAATGCCTTGACAAACGTTACATACGGTAAGTCATGTGCAACCCGACCCGGTATCTTGGTTCTTGGAACGCTGACCCGTCCGGCTGGTAGTATACTTGGCCCTACGATCCATGTATCGCCCGCGTAGCGGTAGCCGTGGATTATTTGCTCCGAAATGGGACTTCATGTCTATTTCCCTCATGGTTCTCGGATTTGGCTCTTTTCTGTTCCACGCGACTCTTCGCCAGACGCTCGAATTTGTTGACGAGCTGTCTATGATGTTGCTGTCTTGGTCGATGCTCCGATCCCTCCTGATCCTGCGACAGTCGCCCACCAACATCCGCTACATCTCGATCGTTTTGGCTATCTTCTTCATTTCATTCTCCGTCTTCTACGTCATGTTCTCAAAGATCATTTACCAGGTCATTGCCTTTTGGGTCTCGCTTATCCTTATTGGTGTACGGGTTAGATACCTGTTCAACTGGGCCAAGCCTGGCTTTTCCGAGGAGAATGTTCGCAACTGGTCTGTACGCGTATGGACCGCCACCTTCACCTGTCTTTTTGGATACCTCATCTGGAATATTGACCTCGAGTTTTGTCACGAGTTGAGAAGCCTTCGGGAGAGAATTGGGTTGCCTTGGGCTTTCCTTCTCGAGTTCCATGGATGGTGGCATATTCTGACGGCTGTTGGAGCAAGCCAGTTCATGAATGTGGTGAGAGAGGTCCGAGAGGAAGTGGACAGAGAGAAGAAGGAGTAAGTGATTTTGGTGCAAGCCGTGTGGCATTGCACATCTTAATATGTCATGCTCGGCCGTGTCTCTTTGTCAAGTCTTTGTTCCGACTGTTTGGACTTGGTATTGTTTAGACAGGGCCTTTTAGCGTTTTTGTGCATTATAGAGTGTGAAACGGCGTCCGGGAGGCTCATATATGTAGCTTTTTATAGACATGATTGATGCAAGAGAGAAATACGATTGCGGCGAACAGCTCCTCAATCTTACTCATGGTCATGGCTGCTTAGTCGTACTCAATTGACCACTAACGGCATAAGGAACGATATGATTACTCGTTTTGCAAGAGTCCGAAATCGCCCCCCAACTTTCTACTTTGTGCAGCCTGAATACATCAAACTACGATATAGAAATAGCTTAAGGCAGCTTCGCCGGGCTGTCTAGATATCTAGGACTTGCCATTTCGGTATATCTGCTATGTCCCGGAAATCCTGGTAGATGACACGAAAGTTGCTTCTTTCTTACTCATGTCTCCTCCAAAACCTGATGACTGGTATTGCTGACCAGCAAGTGAGCGCTTATGACCATGGTACGAGCAGTCGTCACCAATATTGCCCTGGGTGGTGGCTCCAGATTGAGCAGATATCATCTTCTGAAGTTCTATTCTGTCTTATTTCCAAGCCCCGAGGTTACCAGGATCATTACTTGGTGAGCATGAATGCGCAGGATTAATGATATAATTCTCTTGGATTGTGTAACTGAGGCGAACATCAAACAACTCGACGTCACATCTGATTCTGAGACGGGTTACCCCTCCATACCCCGCCGACCTCCACTGATTCAGTTCCAGGGACCTGACTGTACTATGCCTCGGATTGGTATGAATACGCAGTGAGATTTAGTTAAAAGAAAACAGCAATAACTATGTCTTGTAAATCGCAGAGATGGGTCGGATAATGAAGATAGTAGCCAGAACTAAGAACTTGAGTTAGACTAAGTATCCGTAGATCTCTTCACGATCCCCCAGACTGGATGGATCTCGGTAAATTCCATTCCATCAATCTCCATTCTCACAAAGCAAAGGTACTCAACTGCACCAATCATCAGCTACAATGAAAGCATGACTCCCCACGTCATTCGGCGCCTCTTTCGCCTCTGAGCAAAGAGCACCGAGCATCTCTCCTCGGTTGGGAAAGGCCGCCCGATAAGATTAGCCAAGCCTCAGGTGAATCGAGCCATTGAGGAGTACGAGTCCCTAGGGATAGGAAACTCTAGTCGGTGTGAATGTGAATCATAGGAGGAGAAAGCTGGTATTGTGACCCGCCTATCTGCCGGAAGCTAACATTTAGCAGGTGCGACTGTCAGTCAATCAATCTTGGCCCGTCGGGTCGGACTCTCTATTTTAAGAGAAAGCTCCCCTCTCTCGTCTGCCCGCTTCTTTCTTTCTCTCCTCCACATACACCTCTCAACTTCAACAAAACACATAAACAAACACCACTTTTTCCACCAAAAACAAACAAACAATCATCATGTCTGGCTGTGGATGCGCTTCTTCTGGCTCTTGCGGCTGCGGCTCTAGCTGCACCTGCGCCGGCTGCCCTGTAAGTTTATTCATTCCCTGCTTAGCTCTGGAGATGGCGTATGTCGCAATAGACCAAGGATTAACGGATACCAATCAAGCACAAATAAGCTATTTCTTCAACGACTTCGACGGGAACCCTGATGGATGAGAATGAGACATGGGGTAGAAGATGAATACCATTCAGGGCCTGGGAAGATGTGATCAGCAATGGATCCACTCGTTACTTCTTGACCGTACCACTATTCAGTGTAGGCGGAAATGAATAAAGATACAGATTGCAGTCTGATCATAATATTGTTCCTTTTCATTGTGCCGTGAATGTGTTTTGTATTAGTTATTGGCAACTGTCTGATACTAAACAGATGGCCTAGGGACAGGATGGCTATGGACCTCTGACCGTATCACCCGGCTTTAAGTTGAGTCACAACACGTTGTAGAATGCTTGAGCTTGCGTCAACCCAATGTCAACTTGCATGATTCAGTAAAGTTATAGCTATACGTGCATTATGACCGATGGTCCGAGTCTCGTAACCAAGATTCCTGACAGTGAGCTCCAATATTTACGTCTACCAGCGGCTTCCTGAATCGGACGGGAAGAAGGCTAGAACAGGACTCAAACTCAAGTTGTTTTCGCACTTCTTTTGCTCCAAATATTCCCATTCTTCGTCCATGTATACACTTTCCATCGGTTCTATATCTTCAGTAATCTGGACAAAACCCTCAGCTCCGTGTCGCTGCCCTCTATTGTATGCTATCAAGACAACTTCTCTTATCAGCCTTGTACCGTACAATACCACAGCCAGTATCGACACTATGAAGCCAGCTTGCGCAACATGGCAATACCCCCAGGTCTTGTCCCAGGCTACGGAGCAACCTCTCGTGAGGTACCACGGATGTGAACTCGGGTGTTTAGGATCGGTAAAATCGCCGGATGTTTGCCCAGCAAGGCTTGTAGCCCAGAGGCCGAGGAGAATCATGTCGTAAATCATGTTCGTGAAATGCGATAGGTAACGAAGGTAGGACATAGCGGTTCGGGAGGCAAAGACGACGAGGCCGAGTACTGCGACGGCAAGATTCGAGGTAGCTAATCTTGAGATTCTCTTAGCATCAACGTAACAGTCCCTCACAACCGTTCGCTTACTTTTGACTCCAAATAAGAGGGATCTCAGGGGGTTCGCGATGGTTGGCATAGAAGTAAATGCGCTGATTGGGATTTGAGTTGAAGCCTTCCACGCCCCCATTCTCCCAAAGATTGGATCGGAAGTGAGCCGGATATTCGAGAGAAAACAGAACCACGGCCGTTATTGATATCAACAGTTCCGCAAGGATCAAGGCAACTGGTGTCTGTGTCGAGGACGGCATCTTGCTTGGTGGTCACTACCAAATCACTGCACCAAGGAACTACTAAGTCTGGGAGAGGACCTTTTATGTTGATAATTGGTTGGACCTTTTGTTATGTCTAGAGTGACAGAGCTTGTTATTGAATCCTATAGAAATCCATGGCTGGAGAACCGTGCTGTCCTCCAATCGAGAGCCCACTTCACATCTAGGAATCGGAGCAGAAACTTGCTCATACTACCGCACCAAAAAGTAGAATCATTCGCAGATATTGCTCTGATTAAATCATGTGGATATTATTCGAGAAAGATTCAGATGAAGTTCATGAGAACATTCACATAAATTACATGGTATTTTTGCTCCGGGGAAGATGTTGTGGTCAAGTTGAAGTCAAAATGCGCCACGATATCATGGTACTCAATCATTGCTGTTGCCGAGCTATTAGAAGCCACCATAATTTAAGCCCATTCTTAATTAGAATCGACACCAGTTAGCAACAATCTCGGGTTTAGGATGATCAAGAGGTACGAGTTTTCCAGGTGTCTGGCGATACCTCAGTCATCCCTACATAGCATCGGCGTTACCAATAATCAGAAACGACAATGGCACTGTCTTAGTCCAAGTACCATGCAAAACAAATCCTTGCCAAGAGCCTAATGCTAGACAGTTTGCGGCTGGACGATTAACCTTCAGAAGAGAAGGTCTTATATGCAGCGATTCAGACAAACAGACATTTGGTGCTTTGACTAGTTGCGCTCACGATAGCATAAGAGATGAAATCATTTGGTTGCCTTATGCTAGCTTAGTAGCACTAAGACGACTTCATTTTGATTCACTAATGAGTTTTAAAGGACAATTCTTCTGACACCCACCTGTCTGCATCTCAAAAACATAGAAGAATTGTTGTGATCAGAGTTTCTTCATGTTGATTGGCCAATATACTACTCCGTAAGCGTTATTGTTCTCAAGGCAGACGGAGATCGCTCGCTGGTGATGTCAGGCCCCACTTGAGCTAACCCGAGGGGCCGCGTTCTGTGTCACATCCGTCCAACATCATCATCACTTCTACCTGGTCTCAGATAAGGCTTCACTTATTCTTACACTCACTACCAACACCCGACACCTGCCGCCCTCTAACATGCAATAATACAAACTACTCTATCAATAACCAGCAAAACTCCACGGATTTACCTCTCGGTACGCGACCCGAGGTTACAATCTGTGACCATGTCGTCGTCAGACGCTCAACAAGCGATCAACGCGGCCGCTATCCTACCGCAAAAAGCGCCCGACGCACCTCGACGATGCTTCATTTGCTTGACAGACCAAGAGCCTTCAGATCCTCCAGGCACATGGGTTGACCCATGCGGATGCACCCTGGAAGCTCACCAGGACTGCATGCTTTCATGGGTAACCGACTGCGAACGTTCCAACAAACCTCTTCAATGCCCTGTATGCAAGGACCGCATCACACTGGAAGGACCTTGGGATCCCATTGTCGCTGTGACGGAAGCTGTTGCAAACAGGTTTACAAAGGCGAGTCCTTTCATGTTGCTCTCATCCGTTACGATCGGTGCGCAGTTCAGTCTCCAAATGTACGGAGCATTCGCCATGTGGGCTTTCTCGGGTCGCGAGGCTTTGGTAGATTACGTCCTTGGTCACGAAGTTTGGGTCCATGGAGAAGCCTCGAGAGCTTTGATGACTGGAGGTCAGAGGTTGGGAAATGCGCTGGTTCTGACCAACGTAGGACCAGCTCTTCTGGTCGGGCAGTTGATGCCCTGGTTCGCGAACAAGATCTTCTTGTCCACGGCCTCATTGGTATGTTTAGAACTCCGAGTTCGGCGGAAAACAGACTAACAAAAGTGACAGTACGGTGTCTATCATGTCATGCATGATGACAGCTTCTTGACTTGGCCTCCCTCGCCTCAGCTCGCGATGGCTGTGTTCCCATACGTTCGATCGGTCTACTTGAACCTTTGGCGCGAATTCGTTTTCCCGTATGAGGTAAACCTCAACCGACAAATCAACGGCCTCCCCCCAATCGAACCTCGACGAGATGAGCCGCCTGCCGAACGACAACCGGAACAGCGCGGAGAAGGCGGCGTCGTGGGCTTTCTTAATAACCTTATTGAAGCTCTCGAGGGCGACGAGGCTGACGAAGATGAGGCTGATGCTATGGGACCAAGAGCTCCTGGAGACGCACAGGAAGGTGGCGTCGTCATCGAACTTGTCATTCAAGAGGTTGACCATGAGAATGAGAACGCGCAAGGCCAACAGCCAGCTGGGCAGAACCCGGCACCTCAACAACCTCCCAATAACGAGAACCCAGTCGCTCAACCAGCCGAGGAGGATGAAGAGAGTGACGAGATTGAAGAAGATGAAGAGAACGATTATAATATTCCCCCTCTTGTTCCTATCGAGGAACCTCAAAACCCGGCCCCGGAGGTAGTCGCTGCCCCAGCGCCTGTCATTGCGCCCGAAGCTGAAGCTGGAGCTGGTGGAAACGAAGTCGGTCAAGAGAACCAGCACGAGGCTCCTCAAGCGCCACCAGCTCGTCGCCCCGGCTTGGGGGCGATTCTTTCCGGAGTATCCAATGCGATAGTCAGCGCCTTGATACTCCCAGGCGTATCCTATGCCATGGGCGAGCTCCTTCGCATGGCTCTTCCAAAACAAATGACCGCCGCATCCTCACTCTCACGAGGCAGTACAATGCGACCAGGTCTACTTCAGCAACAGTGGGGACGAAGTCTTGTTGGTGGATGCCTCTACGTGGTGATCAAGGATATGCTCAGGCTGTATACTAAGAGCCGCAAGGTGGCTGCCATTGGAAACCGACGGGTGAAGAATATAGACAGAGCTAGACGCCGAAAGTAAGGGCGATGCGGAGTTTGCTATGCTCTAGAGAGAGCAAAGAGGTAGCAAAGGATGGACAATAAATATTTGCATTAGGATGGAGTTATGGTTTGGCATAGCGACTTGGGGATTTTGTCCTAGGAGTCGGGGGCTTACAGGAAAGTGAACCAGGAATTGAACATATCGCTTCTTCACACTGAATCATGACATTAGCTCATGGTCTCAAAGTATTAACTTGCCAAAAACAATGAATAAGTGCTTGACTGAAACCTGCCAGGTGGGTGTCAGGAATTGTCCTCTAAGGCTTATGCTACAGGAATAAAGCAGCCTGTTGCTAACCTAAGCTTGCACAATATAACGAGATTATTTCATCTCTTATGCTCTCGGCGGCTGATTATTCTGACACCCTGACGCCTGCATGCCAAAGATGTTGTTGTAGATGAAGCTGATACCTATACGCTGTACCGGATATACTGATGACTTAGCATCCCCAAACTTGCCCGGCGGCTGCCCGCATTGTCCCCCACATTGCTGGAAGATCTCGAGCGGGAGACAGAAACCTTGGACAATACTCACACAGTTTATGTGACCAGATCGTCTGTGTTTTCTTTCCACCTACGTTTGCCCCACGTGGAACCTTCCAGCCCAAATTCCACTACGCCTCAGCCGAGGGGCCTTTTTGCACTTTATCTTGGGACTAACCTGGCTCACATCCTCACCGAGTCATCTTCTCTGTCTGTTCCCATTGGTACTTTGTGTTGTTGGGTCTATAAGTTTGAATCTCTTTTCTTTGCTCCTCATCATCTCTCCACAGCCTGTTCTTTATTCGTCATGGTAAGCGCAAACCCCCGCAGCATAGGCAAACGCTGGATATTTGTCATGACTCTGTTGCAATTGATATGTGGCTGACTCTGAGCTCTAGGCGTCTACTCAAACCTCCAAGCAGCGCCTTGCGCTCGCTATCTGCGATTTCCTCACCTCTTCATTGAACGACGGTACCCTTACCGCTGACGACAAGGACTCCATGGATGTCGCCATCAACTGCATCGCCGAATGCTTCAAGGTCGACCCCTCCGACACCTCCGCCATCCAATCTGCCATCGGATCCCAGAACCTCCTCCAAATCTACTCCGTCTTCGAGAAGGCCCGCGCTGACAAGCCTGCCGCCGCACCCGCGCCCGTCGAGCTTACTGAGGAGCAGAAGAAAGAGGCCGAGGCTCTGAAGTCTAAGGGTAACGCTGCCATGGCCCAGAAGGACTACACTGCCGCCATCAACTTCTACACTCAGGCTCTTGCTATTAACGCTAGCAACGCTGTCTACCTTTCCAACCGCGCTGCCGCTCATTCTGCCAACAAGGACCATGCTTCCGCTCGCTCCGATGCCGAGGCCGCTGTTGTCATCGACCCCGCTTACACAAAGGCCTGGTCTCGTCTTGGCCTTGCCCGATTCGCTCTTGGAGATGCCCGTGGTGCTATGGAGGCCTACGACCGTGGTATCCAGCACGAGGGTAACGGTGGCTCTGATGCCATGAAGAAGGGTTACGAGACGGCTAAGCGCCGTGTTCAGGAGATGGAGGCTGAGGAGGACTCTCTTCCCCGTGCTTCTCCCAGCGCTGGCAACGATGCTAACGCCGGTGGCATGCCTGATCTCGGCAACCTTGCCAGCATGTTCGGCGGCGGCGGCGCTGGTGGTGCCGGTGGTGCTGGTGGCATGCCCGATCTTGGTAGCATTATGAGCAACCCCATGTTCGCCAACATGGCCCAGAAGCTCATGAGCAACCCCGACATGATGAGCAACTTGATGAACAACCCCCGTCTTCGTGATATGGCCAACCAATACTCCTCCGGCGGTGGTATGCCCGACTTCAACAGCATCATGTCAGACCCTGCGATCGGAGATCTGTAAGTCACATACACTCTATGCATGTCACAATCGCAAAAGCTAATCAAATCTCAGTGCTCGATCAATGATGGGTGGCGCTGGAGGCAACCCCTTCGGCGGTGCTGGAGGTGCTGGAGGTGCTGGAGGTGCTGGAGGCGCCGGCGGTGCCAGCGGCCAGCAGGGAGGTGCGCAACAGTAAGGGTTTATAACTATGGGCAGAATTATTATACCATGACCGCTAGATGATTCTCGGGGTCGAATTTTCATTAATGAACATGAAAAAGAGGCTCCATTGTTTGTGTTAGCTTTCACTGAATAGAACTGTAATAAGCTATTCTTGATTCAGATTTCTTCGTGCTTTCAGGTGATATTTACGGGATGGCGTATCTAGAGCTTGATGACCTGTCATAGTGAAATTGGTAGCTGGCCTTCTACAGGCGAGTTGCTTGAACTCGGATTGTTGATACCTATCGTCGACGAGTTCTTGGGGCTGATGTGTTGACTATACTTGCTGTTCTATGGTTCGACTGAGACTAGATAAGTCCTGATTATTCTTCAGCTAAGCACATACGACCATAGCTATCAGATAACTCGGGATCCCGTCCGCTCTCC